AGATGAATTGTTACATTGTGCGTAATGACAAAGACAAAGTAAAAACAACTAAAAAATGATTCATTTTGATTCAAATGACGTTAGTCAATCGCGTTTTGGTGAATTAATAGTAAAAGATTTGTCGAGCCAATTTTCATGAAGATAATTTCTCTTTAAACATTTTTATGTTGTGAGACTAAGCAATGTAATAGGTTTGACACTGTTGAATTCAAACTTGTCTAAGATAAGAGTCTTTTTGCTAAGATGACTTCAAGAGTTCTGAGTTTACATGAGTTTCAGATCTTCCTAATGAGTATAGACGAACAGTATAAAATAGCTTACATTATACCATTCCCCCAGTCCTCACTGGAACCTAGACTATGAGTCTAAAGTCGTGAAGTGAATCCCCCCCTCGTTTTTCCTTTCCGTTTAATGTATCTGGAACACTTTTTATTATCATCCTTCACATCTCTTGCCACGTTCAGTTCAAAATTTTTCTTTGCATTCTGATGCCTTTTTTGCATGCCAGGATTGTACAAAAAGGTGCTATGATGGCGGGTTTTTAAGAATCTAAAGGGACTGGGTAATTTAGACCATGATAAGCTGAGACCATGTTATCTTGCACTGAACAGTAGAACCGGATGACATGGTCTGTGACTTGAAAGCGGGTCAATTCAAAACAAATGAGCGAGTAGTAAATGCATGAACAGGCTCCCTAAGGAGACGGTGGAAGCAGAAAGTGTTGATTCTTTCAAAAGTAAATTAGATAGATTTCGTTTAGGAAATAATATCTCAGTGTATATTTTGGGACACGACATGTGCAAGCGACTGCCAGGATGGTGGGAAGGCGAACTGGATGGACGTTGATCTTTCGTCTAGTAATTCTTCTGTTCTTATGAGTTGACTATTGTGGTCCAAGAAAACCCTTTTGCAATTATTGAAACTGTTAGCTGGTTGCAGTATATCACGTTTCCTTAAGTATCATGTTTCCTTACCGCCCAGACTTGAATCGGAAGAGTAGTGCAGTTTAATGTATTGCTCTATTATTTAAATAGCCCATTTTATATTGGGTTCCAACGAATCCTTTCAAACAATCGTTTATTAATGGGATACTTTGAAACAAAACATACCGTGACATGTTTTGGAAATTTTCATAATTAATTTGAATATTTTTTTGCTTGCTGACTAAGCGAATGGTGCTATCATGATATCAAACACGATTATGAGATGTTTGTGTGAAGAAGGCCCTTTGGCTCATTTAATCTCATCCTTGTAGAATACTCACTATAGCATTCCGCTGTATCTTAAATGAGTCCAACATCCCATATTTAGCCGTCCTTACTGGTAACTGATTCCAGTTGTTAATTATTTTCTGAAAAAGAAATACTACTATTATTTACTGCTGCATTACTATTAATAATAACTGAAGTAGGTGTTGAATAGGGTATACAAATTACTGTCTTACATTATGGGTAAAATTAGCAGATAATAATAAGTAACAATAATCCTTGCACGTCTTCAAGACGTGCTAAGATGAAAGAATATGACCCATAGTGTCTTATTTGGTGCTGACCAGACATGTTGAAAAATACTCTGTCTCAGCAAAATCCACGGTGTATATTTCTGAACATGGCCTGACCTCTAGAAGCTTCTCGCTGTGAGAATCCAATCCAACATTAGCTGGATGTTGAGTCAGCCTTTGGGAAGGATGGATTAACTGGAGCCTGTACATCTTGTCAATTATTGTTTCTAAAGATCATTCTCAAATGGTACTGGAACATAACTTCACTTCAGTTATGTAAATGCTGGAATCCTCACCAGGCTCCACTGGTTCCCAACGCATTGACTTCAAGATCTTCGCCTTCACATACAAACCTCTTACTTCTCTGACCTGCTCGTACCCTACACCTCCTCCCCCCGCCCTCCCCTCCCCCCCGCTTAGAGCGCTCCGAGACGCTGTCCTGCATGAAAGACTATATATAAATACAAGTTATGTTTCCACTTTGTCTCTCTTGTTCACTCTCGCGATAACTTTCCAGCTCATTGAGTCCTATTTGCGTGATGCTGTGGCTCAATAAGACCGTGTATAACTGTGATACATATACAATAATGATGTGTGTAGATACAGACCCACTTGTCTTTTGACACCAGTGTATCAAACCAATCCACAGTGACCTTTATCCTATCTGATTGTACATTATGATTATCCTCCATTCCGGATTCTCTCTCCCTCCCCAATTAATTCCCCCGCTGCTTTGATTCCCCCACACCCCCCACGGGGCACCCTGCGTTCTGAGGACAAAACACTCCTTTAAATGACAGCACGCCTTAACAGGCAGTTGATCAATGGTCAAATGTTGATGATTGTTCCCTTACGAAATTAATTGGGAGGATATTCTGTGTTTCTGCAGATTGGCTGAACTGTTGTTGGTTCACTGAATAGCAACAGGTTTTCAGGATCGACACTAGAATTTTTCCTGTTGCCTTTGATTAAATAGTTTCAGCACCTATAGGTTAGGCTGGGGATTATGAATATCTGTAATGTTGCTAGGCTGCGTTTGCACAATGTTGTTGCTTTGCGTTTGCAACCCTACCGTGTGTTAAGACAGAAGTAAACTTGACACTACAGCGGTTATTCCAACTACTTTATATTGGATTTCCCCGCCATACACACACATGGTCTCACACTGTTTCCTTTTTGGACTAAATTGAAGAAGTGTAAAGGAGCAGAAATAACGCGAATGAGCTAGAAAGCATTACTATGCTGTGCAACATACAGGGATTACTTTATCACTGTATATACTGAATACCAAGTCAGGTTTTTAACACTGAATGAAAGTGTTTGGAAGCAGTATTTTTAGATGGGATGTTGTTCGTACAACATTACATGTTCTATGACAATACATTTTATGTTGTATTCGTCACATTTGAATCTATAAATTAAAACACGACTGTAGAAATAAAATGTAATTCTGTTAAAATTAACTTTATTCGGACAACTGCAAAAAGCATCTGGCTCGGTTTGAATAAGTCTTTAAGTATAGACAGATAGTGTGGAGATTTTCTTCTTCAGGGATCAGGGAAAAATGTTGATCTTTCCCTAATAACTACAAAAACAACAACAACAATAATTTCGACCGCGCCTTTGGTCACCTTTCCCCCCCCTTCCCCCTGGGTCGGTCCCGGGATCCGTTACTGTAAAGCACTCTGAGACACCGTCCGACGTAGCGGGCGCTATATAAATCCAATTTGTTGTTGTTGTTTCCCTCATATATAATATGAAAGCTGTGAAGAGATAAGACTATTTCTAATTATAATAATTAATAATAATAACAGTCATTGCATTTGATACAGCACCTTATCACATCTTCGAGACGTATCAAAGCGCTTCACAGAATATACTGTAAAGTGATTTGATTGTATATTTTGTGGGAGAAATGTAATTCTATGTGTTCTTCCCTTTGAATCTTTTGACATATTGTGAAACCTTACTTGAAAGGAGGTGAAAGATGACTGTAAGCACGGTCAAAGAGATACGTTTTGAGATGTACTTCGAAAGAGAGGAAAGAGGGATCTAGGAATAGAGTTCCAAAGAGCGAGAGCCAAATGGCTGAAAGCCCTCCCAACAATGGTGAGGTGGGAAACGTGGAGAGGAGCAGTGTTGGCTGAGCTAAGGGAACAGCTGAGTATTGTGGCTGTGGGTAAGGAGGTTGCAGAGTTAGGGTGAGGTGAGATTATGGGGGGGATTTAAATCTTTAAAGAAAGAGAATCTTGAACTCCATGTGGAGGAGAGGATTTTGAACTCGATCCCCTGGGGAATGGGGGAGCCAAATTCAATCCTAATTCTGAATTTGTGTACCATCAATAATCTGTAATGAGATTTAGCCATTGATATTTATAAGCGTGCAATGAAGAAACATGCACACTCTTGATTTGAAGCACGTTGAGATGTAAAATCAGTCGTATTTTAGTGCTTTCGATTTATCAAACCCTTCGCACAAACCATTGCTTGTATATGGGTAGGGTTTTATAGCGCGGCATCTAAAAGTTTATGTGGTCAAGATAGAATTTCACCATAATCTCTCCTGGAAGCTTTAATAGAACTTCTGTAAGATTATGAAAAATGTCCCTATGTATTATGCTCTCATGGTATTAACTTACTTTATTCATTAAAACTATTACTCATGCTTGAGAAATGATTTTCGGAGCTATATGTCTCACTGTAAAGCTAAGGGATGTTTTATGTGATTTTTGTTGGTAAAACTGCACTCTGCACATCTTGGGATCTATATGAAGGTAGCCTTAGACTTCACATTCAGGAAGATTAAGGCTTTAATTGAATGAAACCTTATAGTTTTGATGAAAATAGTGTTCACGTGATATGAAGCCTGGATGACTTGCAAAAAATCTCTGTGGAACCTAGCGATTTACTGGAGACTTCCAGAATATCATGAATTTGATCTTCTACAAGTGACTTTGCTTGAAATAAATTATTTTCGCATTTTTGGTGTTAACGTGGAAACCAAAAACGTATACGCCATCAAATAAATTTATTTAAAAACAAATTAGGACAGAAGTTAGTTATTGTAATAATGCCTGCTGTTCTGCTGATAAACTAGGTATGGGATCAGGTAAACCATCATGCGAAAGAACAATGCCTGATTTATGTTTTTTCCCTTTTTGATTCACAAACCGAATTCACCGCATTTTTTTTCCTTTGGTTTCAATGAGGCTTGAACAGCTGCTCAGAGTAATATTAAGATGATAAGGTGAGGGTGATTCAGTGGTGCAGTAACCCGAAAATTTTCCATTATCATTACCATTTAACAATACATAATCTCTCCATTGAATAAACATTTAAAAGAGAGAATAGGTGATGGATGGATAGGGACCATCTCAAAGAGTAAAGTTGTGATGTAAAATTGTGTTTCGAATCCTCGGTCGTGAAATATTTTATTTTTGACATTAGGAAAAGTCAGCAAGTCTAACTGAATAAATGATACCTTGTCCTTAAATTACAGACTGTAGAAACAATCAGTTTCAGTGTGAAGATGGACGGTGTATTCCTTTGTATTGGAGGTGTGACGCTGTGTCTGACTGCAGTGACAGCTCTGATGAACAAGGCTGCCGTAAGTGAACTGTGATCAGACAATTCTGACTGGCAATAGAGAAACCTTACTGAACAATATTGAGCTACATCAGATTGTGTTTTCCAACTGTTAAAGATCTGATCCCAGCATCTGTTGTGATAACAATGTCAGTTCATGTGCACTCACAAAGCTGTAGGTTAAGAGAAACCAAGTAGTAATTCTTCACTGTGTGTGTGTGTATAGTATATATATATTATATATATATATGTTCATCTATTTAATTAAAAAAATACAAATATATTTCTTGGGTTGGAAAAGTTTTTAAAAAATGTTCAAAACCATAACATATGAAAAGCTCGTCATCTGTTTTAACATGAATCAGTTTTTCAAACCGGAACAAATAGTCTGAACAAAAAATAGTCTTGGACAAAATGTTCAATTCAAAATCAGGAATCTGCCTCTCTTATCTTTTTGAATGCTTTCATTTAGCTCCCATTCACCTGATTAAAATCCCAACACTTTCTGTGATTTTAGCTCGACAGACTTGTGGATCGAATCACTTCCAGTGTGAGAGCGACGGGGAATGCATCTCTGAAACGTGGGTTTGTGATGGTGAGGAAGACTGTGACGATGGGTCAGATGAGCATCAGCAGTGCTGTAAGTCAGGTCTTTTGTAGATACGTGATTTATAATGCAAGATATCTCAGTATGATCTCACTGTTTACCTTAGCAGGGTCTTTAGAACAACTATTGGAAGTTGCCTTTCCGATCAACTGTGATATGAATGCAAATATGTTCATGTTAAGGAATAATTTGACCTTTGTGTTTATATACAATGCGGATTGGCAATGGATAGCTGCCAGCAGTGTTATTGATTTGAGTTTGAAGGGGCGGACACTTTCTATTGGAATAGCTTGTGAATGTCATCTGTATCCAGAGATTAGTTACAGTTCCTTCCAAGGTCCCTTCTCGTTGGGGATTGCTTTCTACGTCCTCTGGTCCATAATGCCAATATCTCCTAGTGCAGCGGGCTGAGTTTTTATTTTTAACCTTCGCTTCGGCTTTGAGCTAATCTGACAGCAAGGACTGGTGCTTTTGACGTTCAGCAGAGGGACACAGTAAATTTGTTTCTGACAAGCTGTCCATCCATATTTCAAGTTCATTTCAACATCACTGTGGGGGCATTTTTGTGTACAGAACATGGCACCAGGCAATAAATGTTTCCAGGAACACAGGGAGGATGTTGAAACTGCTCCTGATAATGGCCTATCTGCACTCATCAGATTGCAGTGTGATCTATTGCCTATTAAAGCCATGCCAAATATATCCAAATCATTCCACATTGCTTTCTTTCTTTCTTCCTTCAGGATTTTGGCATTTCAGGCCATGATACAGCAGTTTGAGAAATCTCTCCCGCACTGGATTTGTTCCCATTAGGACAGACAGAGTATTGAGCAACAGCCTGCAATCATAGTGAGGGAAAATCAGAATAAACTCCTCTTACCAATAACCTGTACGATGTTAACCTTAGAAAGGTAGTCATCAGTGAGAATGTGTGTGTTTGCCACACTCACTGGACCTGCTGAGTGTTCCCAGCGACTGCTGTTTTTATTATACTATTGTGTGAAGTTGTATTTGGTTTTGACGTGGCGTCTTTTCCTTGTTTAATCTTTATGCAGCAAGAAGGACCTGCTCCAGTTACCAGTTCACTTGCACCAATGGACTGTGTATCCCAGCAGAGTACAGGTGCGATCATGTCAACGACTGCACAGACAAAATTGATGAGCGAGACTGCCGTAAGTTTGCAATCCCTACATTTTATTGTGTACAGTAGAAACACGGTTTGCGGTCACCTCAGAAATCCAGACACCTCACAATTGCGGACACATTTTTACAGTCGCTTTCATGGTCTATATTAAAAGCTAGGCTGTCAGTGTGCCAGGCACCTCACTATTCAGGACAACGGTCGTTGATTGGGACCGCTATAAAAACCCACCTCTGGTACAAACACTCCCCCACCCCGACCTCCGTATCTAACCTGTACAGTGCACAGTGTGCAAGGCTTCGGGCTTCTCGTGCTGTTTCCTCGATGTTGCTAATGTGGGTGGAATGGGCTCTGGTCGTTCATGCGCGGCGCAGGGAGTGTTGGGATCATGGAAGTGGCGCGAGTGGGAAATCTATTTGGCCCGACTCCTGTGGCCTTAACCTGAGCTCCTGCCGCCAATTCATGGGTAAGTGCTGTTTTCAGAGCTCGTGATTTGTGTATACATTGTTAGTTTTGATTTAGTGACTGGTGACAAGTGTTGTAAACAATGCCACCACGGAAGGAGTTGTCCCTACGTGACGGAGTGGACTTGTTTAAGAACAGTGAGGACAAAAAGTCATAGAGCGTTAGCTGCGATCAATGGCACTGGCAGAACACAAGTTGGTGCATTCTCAAAAGGAAGACTGATTACATGAAGCTTTTGTTTTAAATGTGACAAAGCCTTTATTTTAATGAGATTGCAAAGTCTGGTTGTTGAATGTTGATCACCCTGACCCGTTGCCAATGCCCTTAACATGACATCAGTGACCTGTTTCAGTAATCAGGTTATCTCACTAATTAGGTCACTTTTGCCCAGTCACTTAAGTGACTGGATTAGTGAGGTTCTACTGTTTAACTCTGTGCTTTGGTGCCATTTTAGTCAGTTTGTTAATTTCAGTATCTCAATCCATCGCATCATTTTATCGTCCAAAATTTTCATGTTCATTTTTTTTCCCCAAAGAATATCAGTTTAACCCCGCAAGCCTCCATAGCCAAGGATATATGGGGCAAAGGTGGGTGATTGGAGTTGAGGTACAGATCAGCCCTGATCTAACAGGTTTGAGGGGCTGAATGGCCTACTCCTGTTCCTATATGCTTCTAAATTTTAACCCTCTAAATTCCTGTATTCTTTTTCTCTGCCCTTTTGTACGTTTCAATGTTCAATGGAAAGTAGGTGGGCTTAAATAATTTACAATATTTAAAATTTGTTCTGAAATACCCCGAAAATATTTGTTTAGCTTTGTTGCTTCACCCTGCCTGGAACACTTGGAATATTTAAATTTCTCAGATATTGGTTTCCCCATCCATTGTCCTCTGCTGCGTAACAGGAACGCTTTACCTAACCGCAGGGAAATACCTGATAACAGGTCTCTACTGTTTATTACAGGTTTACTTGACTGGGTGAACATTCCCACATTTAGTTAGCAGTAAAATGTTAAAGAGAAGTAGGGTAGAGCATTGAAAGTGCGACTTGGTTTGAATTTTGTTATTATTTTGTCCGAAACCATTGACAAAAAACATTTCTCAGCAACGAACAGTGGAAACTTGTTATTAGAATGTCTTCTATCACCAGGGAAGAGCTTTGAACAACAATATCTCTTTCTCTGAGTTTACTTAGACCATATCGACTTTATCTTGAGAGGTTGCAGTGAATATAAACATGGTCGTTGATAGATTATTTACAATCTTTCACATATTGTCATGAATGATAAGTAGATCATTGTAAATACCAAATGGACTGAACTGATTTCAAAACCTTATTAGATTTTACAGACTGGTATTAAGGTCAAGTTCATGTTCTGATATCATAATTAAGGGGCAACAAAATGTTTCTGCAATTTGGTCATGATAAAACTACAGGTCTTGAGTTGTTGTAAAACTCTTATTCTGTGATCATTATCTCAAAGAGTATCCTGTGTCCCTGCTGAATAAAATGACAGGGAGTAAAGTAATAAAATTCACTGAAGCTTGAAAAGTAGGTTTAGGTTTCCAGTCACACCGCAAACACAAAAATGATTTGGTGCATTATCTCAGAAACATTACAGAAAAATGTATGAAGGACCATATATAATACAAAAAATGGAGTCACTCAATCCACGACTGTTTGTGGAAGTCTGCCATTTTGTCCACAGTCAATTCACTTTACAGTACATTCTGAGAAGCACTTTGAGACGTCTCGAAGGCGTGGTAAGGCGCTGTATCAAATGCAAGGATTACAAAGAATTTCGGTCAAATATCTTTTCATAAAGGAGTAGGCAAATGGAATGAATTGTGTTTGTGGATTGTGGTGTTAAATGGTTAACTTCAGCTCCACAGATAGTCTGGTAGATACAACGAAGTAGCACTAGTACAGTGTGGAAGGTGGATCCCTGTTTGTGCTGAGTTAGCTGGCTCCAGCCAAGGCAGCAGTTTTCTAAACGGTATCTCAGTTTAAAAAGCGGGAAAAATCAACCGGTTCCGGCACCTAATTGCTATCCAGGGACCCCTACTGGATTATGTGTATGTGTGTGTGTGTGTGTGTGTGCACGCATGTGTGTGTGTGTGTGCATATAGCAGTGAAAACAGGTTCTGATTCAGCTGTTATAGTCTACATCTATATGGGTGAATATTCTGCCAAATTCATTGTCAAGGCTGATGTGAATAAAGGTCTTCGGAAAGGCACCGGGGGCTACACAGGGAAACATAACCCGTAGAAGGAACAAACAGTCAAAATGGCTTTAGCAGAGAAGTGGGTTAAGGGGAGAATATGGGACAAAAATTTGCGGAAATAAATCTTTATGCCGCGTTTTCTTGTTCCTTACTTCCCTGTTCCTTGTTTGGGGGAATCCTGAGCTAGAGATTTCTCAATGGCTGTGATCAGTCAAGAGGGGTGAGACTTGACTATTAATTCTTTCAGAGCAGTCTAGCATGAGAAATTAGCGGTTGTGAAATGTACTGTAACCGAGGTCAGAGCAGAGGTATGAAGGAGTGAGAGTAGTTGAGAGACGGTTTGGGCAGGAGGTGGATGAATGCCAATGGAGAGGGATTCAGCGACTTGAGATTTCATTCAGTGTCTGTTTTGTTCCAACAAAGTAACATTTTCTTCATGCTATTCAATTATGTGCAGAGTTTCAGGGTCAAAACATGCCAGACAATGGCTGAGGGGGAATGTGCTTCCTGTCAAGGATCAGTCTCTGATCCATTTAATAACTCCTTGGCGCATAATCGCTTCATCATTAGGTGCTAAAGGAGAGAGAAATGTATTGAAAAATATTGTCCAACACCGAGACTGTATCCTGACCAGATCGGGTCATTGAGGAAACCGTCCACTTTGCTGATCAGAGTCAACACCTCAAGCTTTGAATAATACTCTTCTTATTTTGTCAGAGAATGTTGTTGATATGAACCACGGACTGTGCTAAGTAACAATAACAAGGGCAGTGCCCCCATCTGTTGATGTCCATGCGTGTTGCTAGGTTCTGTCTCTTTGCTGCTCTTTGAATTTCACCTTATACAAAACACACAGTCACTACACTTCACAGTGTGTCCTGTGAAGTCTTTTGAGATGTATCAGCCACGTGATAAGGTGCTATACCAAATGCGAGGATTATATTATTATCATCTTTGATTTCCCAACTTGATTTGAAAAGAGAGATAATGGAATACTATTGAGGTCTAAAAAAAATGAACATGTCCAACAAATGCTCTTAATGTCTCACGTTCAAAACCTCTGAGATGTTCCCTGAAATATTCCAAAATAGATCTATGAAACCTCTTGTTGAGTTGAGCACTATAGTTTATTATGATAATCCTTGCACTTAATCTAGCGCCTTATCACAACAACGTTGAAATGTCTCAAAGCACTTCTCAAGATTTCCTGTGGCGAGTGGGCACTGTGTATTTTCAGGCAATAACAATAATTTACAAACAGAATTCAGTCTTTATTTAAACTAAGTTCCTTGAAAGTTGCTTCAGTGTTTCACAAGGACCAGCCTGTACTGCCGCCTATTCTGTGGCGGCTTTGATTTGTCAACAGTTTCTAATTCCAGTGTGAACAGAAGGGATTAGTGATGGGATAGTGCTCGCATTTAAAATGTCTGTTGGTAAATCGTTTGCTAAATCGTTTGTACTGCGTTGGTAAATCGTTTGCTGGTGAAGATATGAGGTAAGGCAGCAAGCAGACTTTAGCAGTCACTTCCTGACATTGAATTTTCCCGAATTATATCGGTCTGAGATTGATGGAGAAGCTCGGTGAATGGGTAGGAATAGGACACATGAGGGTGTGATCATCTGAAGGTCAGAATATATCATGGATGTCACAGAAACCTCTGGATATTCTATTGCTATGAATTACACTTCATACATTGTTGATGTGATGCATCTGTCAATTGTCATTTCTGATGATATGAAGCAAATTACATTTTTCCTTCTTTGTCACTGCTGTTAGAATATCCTGACTGCACTGAGTTGAGCTGTTTGAGTGGAGCCTGTTATAACCAAAGCCAGAAGTGTGACGGAGTGCTGGACTGCAGGGATGGAGCAGATGAAACCAACTGTAGTATGTACTGCTTCTCTTGTGCTTCGATTACATCAATATACATGTTATAGCCTCAGAATTAATAAGCAACAAGTCCAGGCTATCATAAATATAATGGGGACAGGCTACAACAACAACAAAATTAGATTTGTATAGTGCCTTTCATGTTGGGAGGACATCCCAAGGCGCTGGACAATCAGTGTTTCGGGCTATATAGGCCAATTTGTAATTAACATGGTGGGAGGTATTGTTATCTTATTAAACATTTCCTCAAGAGAAAAAAAANCAAAGAGCCATGAGTTACTTAAGCCACATGTTTACTTCACAACTGAAAACTTGGCCAAACATTTCCCTCGCCCCGTCTATAAAGATTGATACTTTCTTTCTGACCAAGACAGGCAGTTGATAAGATGTTCAATCTTTTCAACAATGGGCTGGCGGGTTGAGATTGGGACTCAGTGAGTAGCTATCAAATGCACAGACACATAACACCAGTCAGTGAACCACCTCCTGGACAGGCTGGATCCATCGGCTTTGACGTCTGAGACTTTTACCGAGATGCCTCGTTTCATCACGAATAGCCTCGCTCTGATTTCCCTCAACCCCCAGCTCGGGTCCAAACCCCTAACTGTCCAGAGACTTGGGATGTTCTCCCGACGTGAAAGGCGCTGTGTAAATGTCATTTGCTGTTGTTGTTCTATTTATTCTGTCTACAAAGATTATATCCAATTACTTGCCTTAATACTGAGTCCCTTTCTACTTTAGAAGATTACTTTATTCAGCAATCTGCTAAAGTGCCTTCTGCACAGTGGGGAAGCTGGTATGTTCCTTTGGTAGATAGCGAGGTTGTCAAGACCCTTCTCTTTTCCCAACAAAATACTGTGAAATATTATTAGGCTCACATTTTGATGTGCAGTGCTTTTTCCAGAAATTGTGTTTTTTTTGTTAATTAGCCATGCTCCCCATTATAGTAGTTTTTCAGCCATCTTGTTCATTTGACTTGGTGATTGCTCTTTGCCTCATTATAGACGGGGTAATAGTCATTGTCATGAGTTGGGACTGTTCCTCTTTTCTACATAACCTGCAGTGCGATGTCTCTTGTGATGTTCTTGCACTTGGAGTAGGAATCTGCCCTCCACATAAGGAGTGCCTTTTGTACCAGTGCCTGGTGGAAATCTTTATGAATACAAAGGGCATGTGTGTTGCTACAGAGGCAGAATATCAGGCCCATTATATCCGTATATTAAATTACAACAGTGCGGATCATTCAGCATTTACCAAATATTGAAGTAAATTCTTGTCATTAAGAACTCATTCTCTTCCTTTGTTTCCAAGATGTGGTAACTCAATCATAGGTACAGTTTCAAGATGCTCAAGTGGACATTTTGTCAACAGACTTTTGAACCTAGGCCTTCCAAGTCTATATACTATGCAGAATTACATTTGTAAAGCGCCTTTCACATCGGGAGGACTTCCCAAGGCGCTGAACAGTCAGGGCTTAGGACTATATAGATTAGAACTATGTCATAGAGAAGATGTATCCACAGGATATAGAATCCCTTACCACAAATCACCATCTAAGCCAAGTCCATAACAGTATGGAAAAGGAATTGTTTAAAAATTCGAGGGAAAACTATTATAAGGGAATGGGGAAGATCAGGGAGGAGGAGGAGGGAATGAGGTTAGCGTGGAGTGGCTGCAATAATGTGAGAGCTGGCATCAGTATAGATATGATGAATTGAAGTTATCAGAGAGCCTCAATTTAGCAGATAGTTTAACACTTAACAAACATAGAATGATTTGCATGAACTAATGTGAAAGCTGTTTTTTTTTTCTCCTTTATTGCCCTCTTCCATTACACTCCATTCCAACCCTTCCCAGCTAATAGATGCATCAGAACACAGTTTGAGTGTGCGAGTGGAGACTGTATTCCAGAGATCTATGTGTGTGACCACGATGATGACTGTGGGGATGGGAGCGATGAGCAATCTTGCGGTAGGCCATTTGCTCTTTTTATTGTTATGTAATTGTTATTTTGATGCACATGTTGAGTACAAATGCTTTATGAACAGTTATAATAATAATAATCCTTGCATTTGATATAACGCTTTTGACATTTTCGGGACTTCTCAAAATGTGAATTACTTTACAGTATATTCTGTGAAGCGCTTTGAGACTTCTCGAAGACGTGATGAGGTTCTATATCAAAATGCTAGGATTGTTATTATATTATAAATTCCTAAAGTTGCATATGGGTCTGAAGTTCTATAACTTCAGGGACAGAGTTTACGTTTGAGCTGTGACTTGTTGCTGATTGACGATGCTGATCCTCTGCTTTCAGTCTATCCCAGTTGCAAAGGGAACTTCTTTACCTGTCCCAGTGGCCACTGCATTCATCAGGCCTGGCTCTGTGACGGAGATGATGACTGTGGAGACAATGCTGATGAAAGAGGATGTGGTAAGATTGTGCACTCAATCCATGATGGAGTCCTGTAGCTCAGTGGTTAGAACTGAATGCAAGGATTATTATTATATTCAATCCTGTAAATTTACCTTAGACCAAAACTCTTACTGCAATGTTAGTTTAATTATCAGGTCAGTTTTTAAGCATTGTTTCTGCATTTTTTTTGTTTTGCTGTTCTACTATAATCTCAAATACTTCTCCGTTAAATATCCTGACTAGAAAATAGTGAACAAGAGGAATGTTTCCCAGGAAAATGGAAGTGTCCAGGCTCCCAGCATTGTATTCCTATCGACAAGATCTGTGATGAGACTGTGGACTGTCCTTTTGGAGAAGATGAAACTAACATCACAGCAGGCAAAAACTGCAGTGAGTAGAGACCCGAGTGCCTGTGTATGTGAGGGCTACACTGGTAGCGACATTATAACGCTGGTTTGCTCATTACATGGCTTTCCTGCGAACCCACAGTGACTGTCTTGAGCACGGACTGGCTGTCTTAACACATGACAGAGTTGTAAAGACTTGTTTGTCCTTTTCTGTTGGTCCTCCTGCCTAAACATTACCACTTTCCTGTGCAATTGTGCCTTATTTATATAATGGATCGACGCGAACGCTAAATCTTACAATGATTTCGATTTTGAAGCATTATTGTAGTGACCCCAAGCTGATTGAACTGTAGATTCTCGTGACTCAAAACACGATCCCATTATGAACTGGCCTTCAGCCTTGTCAACAGTGAAGGAAGGCCTCCTGGTTCTGGTAGCCTAGTTAGCCTGGTTCCAATTGACCCCATCTACCATCGCTCCACTCTTTCCACACCATTAATATGCGCCCTAATGGAGTTGGCTATGATACCATGACAGGTGTGGGCTCGAACCCCATACGGGTCAAAGTCAGCCTTTAAATGCTGGCTGTCCATCGTCTGTGAGAAGCGCAGCCTCGGCACAAAATGACCCAACAATTATTTCAATATCGAGATGGAAAAGTATAGAATAAATCCATTGTTCAAAGTTGGCTTTCACATTGACACACTTCACCTGTAATATAGTGAGCCAGATACTAATCCTCAACCCATCAGAAACCTAGCGGCCTGGATACTTAATTAGGCAACTCATGTTGTGGGACTGTTCTGTTCATCACCAGTACAGGTTACGCAGAGAAAAGTCACCGCCGGTGACTGCCTGGCCCATCTACGCAGAGCTTTTAGCATCGATTTGATGCAATTTTCAGCTCTAATTGATATTAAAAGTGAGTTTGAATTTAGAAAATTATGATTTGACACTGAGGTGGGCTCAGAATTAGCCACAGTGAAACCAAGGACAATTCCAACAAACCTGTTCAATTACTCCCCACGAGTCTACGTGTTCCTGGATTGTCCATTGATCACCTTTAAGCACTAACATGTGATGAAGTGTTTAGCATCATTTAGTGGAGCTCTGAGCATGATTCAGTTGCCCATGTGGAGAGACAGAGGGAGAGAGCGTTCTCCTCAAAATTTAGCAGGAAATATGAGTCGTTTCCTGCTCTGAATTGCACTCCACTGAATGTTGCATTCAGCTATACAAATAGACACAATAAACTGGGACAATAACCATTAGATTATGGTACAAAGCAGCATGTTGACTAGGTTAACTGCTAGTTTTATTTCTCTCCTTAGAATGTGGTCACAAAGAGATAAGGAAATCATGCAGGCAGGCAGGCTGATGATCATTGTTACCATGTAACGTGCATTTATTTCTTTATACAAAGCCTTCCTCTAATTCCCCGTTATCTGTTCATTTCCTTTTAGGTATAAGTAACTGTGCTGCTTTAAGCTGCGAGCATCGCTGTCATGCCTCACCCACAGGTGGGGTCTGCTATTGCCCTTTAGGGTTTGTCATCAGCCCCAATGCTCGCTCCTGTGTTGGTGAGTGAGTGCCCTAAGACGAAACTGTTTCAGTGAATTTGGGGATGTGTTAAATGGTGGTGGAGTGTGACGGAATGAGAATGACCATTTGCAAAATTAAATTTAAACTTTTATCTACATTCGGGGGCCTGTTGCGTAGTGGTTAGAGTGCTCCCCTCGCTAGCGAGAGGACACGGATTGGATTTCCGGGCAGGGCGAAACCTTAGGCAAGTTTCCTCACTCTGTACGCCTCTGTTTACCTCGCAGTAAGTAAAATCCTGGTTGTTAGTCGATTGCCAGATCGCTTTCTGGGGGTAATTAATCTCTTTCAAAGAAAAATAATAATAATTTGGTGACTCAGTCCAAGACTGTTTGTGGGACGCTGCTGTGCGCAGTTGGCTGCTACATTTCGCCCACAAAATTCATTTTGCAGTATATTCTGTGAAGCGCTTTGAGACGTCTGGAAGTCGTGATCAGGCGCTATATCGAATGCAAGGATTATTATTACTACATTTATAAATGTTTTGGAGCTTGCTCTCCTTCTTCCTCATGTAGACTTTGATGAATGTAAGCTGTGGGGGATCTGTGATCAGTTATGCGAAGACCAAGTTGGGAGCCAAATGTGCTCCTGTGTGGAGGGATATGTGCTGGAGCACCACAAACACTGCCGGGCAAATGCATCAAGTACGTTTTCATATCTACTAGTCGGTTACTTTGCTGTTTTAGGACTTGCTCTTTTCGGTTTGAAGCACCTCAGAATGCTCTTCGAGTCTGACCCTATCGTTACCAGCAGCAATAGGGTCGCCTCACTCCCTCCCTCGCCTCCTTCAAGGCCCGTCTCAAGACCATCCTCTTCAACCGTGCCTTTGGCCACCTTCCTACCCCCCCCACCCTCCCTGCCCTCCACCCCTCCTGATCCCAACCCCCAGCTCAGGTCCAAATCCCTGACTGTCCAGCGCCTTGGGACGTCCTCCTGACGTGAAAGGTGCGTGTAAATGTCATTTGTTGTTGCTGTTGTTGTTCATGCTGAATTTGGATGAAAATAATTCAGGGAGAAGTAGATTCTTATGATTTAAAAAGTATAATTGACACTTATGGAATTTGATCGACTTAAGAGTAACAGAACACTCTCTGAGGCTGAGTTTAATGTGAAATGATTTCCAGCCGGAGTTCCATCCATTATCTTCTCCAATGGACGTGATTTGCTGATGGGTGATATTCATGGGATGAACTTAAAGATCCTCGTGCAATCTCACAACCGGGGGATAGCTGTTGGTGTTGATTTTCACTACCATCTTGGGATGATCTTTTGGACAGACACAGTTCAAAATAAGGTAAGTCAGTATTCCATAAACTGAGGCTCAGAATTGATTATTAATAATAATAATCCTTACATTTGATAGAGCGTCCTATCACGTCTTCGAGACGTCTCAAAGCGCTTCACAGAATATACTGTAAAGTGAATTGACTGTGTATTGTGTGGGCCAAGTTAAGTCTTGTTGCTTCACTTTCGAAGCCAAATGGTAAAAGTCAAACTAACTTGTGCAGAAGAGTTTTCTTTAGATTTTCAGAAGGTTTTCCTTGTTTTATCAGGTGTTCTCAGCAGATGTCAGTGGCTCTGGAATCCGACAGGTTTTAAATGTTTCCGTCGACACTCCTGAGAATCTCGCCGTGGATTGGGTCAACAATAAACTGTACGTGGTAGAGACGAGCATTGACAGAATCGATTTGGTTGATCTGGACGGAAGCAACCGTGTCACAATCATTGCAGAAAACCTGGGCAGTCCACGAGGTATTGCTTTGGACCCCACTGTAGGGTAAGGACACATCCCTTGAGTTAATAATAATAACAATCCTTGCATTTGATATTGCGCCTTATCACATCTTCGACACATCAAAGCACTTCACAGAATATATTGTAAAGTGTAGTGACTGTATTTTGTGGGCGAAACCCGGCAGCCAATGGCACACAGCGACGTCCCACAAACAGTCGTGGATTGAGTGACCATATTTTTAAAGAAAAGATTCTTGAAAGTTATGAACGGTGTAAATTTTAATGGGTTATAATTAATTAAGATTTATACGATGATGGGTTCATTAACTAATTAATCTCTCTTCAGCTACATGTTCTTCTCTGACTGGAACGATGCCTCTGGGGAACCCAAGCTGGAGCGTGCCTACATGGATGGAACTCATCGTTTTGACGTGGTGAAGACCAAGCTAGGCTGGCCAGGCGGAATAACACTGGACATCATAACCAAAAGGCTATATTGGGTAGATAGCCATTTTGACTACCTTGAGACAGTGACTTATGATGGACTTGAGAGGTAAGCTTTACAAAGGTACACAGGTTGGGCCATGTACGGATTACAATGTACTTGCCTAACCCAACTATTTAGCAATACCTGGATGAAGTACAATTATTATGATGGAGTAAGGCATTATTTTCGAGTTTGACAGCACAGTGATTAAAATGTGGGCATTTCAAAGGCTGCCAACTTTAGATATTAAATGCCTGTGCCCATTCTTATTTTAGGAAGAATAAAGTGTACAGTTTGAAGAAGGATATGCAAACTGCTCTGATTTAACTTGACATTCCCACATTTTTTAAAAAAAGTACTTATTTGTAATATGGAACGCTACTTGGATTATTTTCACTTGGATTTGTAAAATTTCCTAACCAAAATTGCTTTTCCCTTGTTGGAAAAGAAGCATAAAAGATATGAACTCCATAAGCACATTCTAATCCGAACAATGACAAAATAACAGCACATCAATATCTAAAATACAAATGGAAGTGGCCGGGAACACTCAGCAGGTCAGGCAGCATCTATGGAGAGAGGAAAGGGAGTTAATGTTTCAGGTCGATGACCTTTCATTGAGTGTTCCCAGCTACTTCTGTTTTTATTCCAGATTTCCAGCATCTGCAGTATTTTGCCTTTTGGCACTTCAATATCTGTTATGTAACATTTGCACATTTCACTTTTACAAAACATTCACCTACGAAGCTTTAGTACATCAGTGTCGACAGATTGCCTCTGCCTTCATTGCCAGGCTTCTTACGCCAGTCTGTTGGTTAGTGCTTTCCATCAGCTGACTCCTTACGCAGAGAAATTGTTTTTCACTCTTTGGTTTGGCATATTGAACCATCGCCCAACTATTCGCCCCCCCACAAAATACACACAGCCACGTCACTTATCATTATATCCTGTGAAGCACTTTTGAGACATCTTGACGATGTGATAAGGCGCTATGTCAAATGCAAGCAATATTATATTGCTTTCTCACCCATTTCATAAACCAGATGACAATCATCTCCACATTTGTCTATCACAGACACATGAATGTTCCACTAGTTGTGCATCTTGTGAAGCTGTTTTTGTGGAGTAGGTGTGAAATAATTATGTATCATTATGGGGAGGAGGAAAGAATTATGTGAAGCAAAGGTAAGAGATATCAGGGGCAGCAGGAAATGTTGGCAGTTAATTATCAGCATAAAGAATTCCTCCATCAGGAAACAGCACAGGCCTGATTGACACTATCCACTGACCCCCTTCACTTGAAGAACTTGCCCAGTGTTTCACCCTGGCTGGGATTTGAACCCAGTCCTCTTGCTTGCGAGGCGAGTGCTCATTGTAAACCTCAAGCCCTTGTTTGCAGATATTTGCTTTTCCTGATCAGCAAATATCCATTGGAATTCCAGCCCCACTTTGTGCTATTGAGACCCAAGAGAACAAACATGTGCTCGGCAAATATATTTTGTTGTCGTTGTTTATGATATTTTTTGTCTGTCGTACAGGAAAACTGTCCTTAGTGGAGGTGCAGCCATCCCACATCCTGTCGGAATAACTCATTTTGAAGATAAATTGTATTACACTGACTGGACTAAGCTGGGAGTCATGAAGTCCAATAAGTTCACAGAGAGCAATCCACAAATACTCTACCAAACTTCACTGAAGCCATATGGAATAACTGTTTATCATAGACTCAGACAACCATTTGGTAAATTCAATTCTATACAGTTTTAACCAAAGTCCGATATTAATGCAGGTATAAAAATTGTAGGTGTAGTAGAGCATGTTGTGAGACAAAAATATATTTTGATATAATATTAAATATCTAACAGGAAATACAGTATATAGAAATAGTTGCTATATCTCAGTCTGCTACCTGCAGGCAAAAAACTACTATTCTAGATTTCAAAGCCTAGAATTGTATGAGGCAATTTCTGAAGAAGTTATTTTTATTTTTTTTCATCCCTGGAATGTAAGAATATTTCTTATAGAATAACTTGTCTAGTTCTTGGAACTGTTAACCGTGTGTTTATTCAACAATCTTGATAAATTTTTAGATTTTTATGCAATATTTGTACATTTAATTGTATTCAGTACAGCACTATTAAGCACCATTAACATTTTGATTAATGTGTACTTTGATGCAGATACGTCCCTTATGTCCACTATAATGCAACATCTTCAATCTGATTGAAACTATAGTCCGTACTCTCAAGACCCTCCTTATCGACCGAACCTTCTGTCACCCTCCTACCCTTTCCTGCCCTCCACCCCTCCTGATCCCAACCCCCAGCTCGGGTCCAAATCCCTGACTGTCCAACGCCTTGGGACAGCCTCTCGATGTGAAAGGCACTGCGTAAATGTCATTTGTTGTTGTACTGATGTGTTCTTGCTTGGTGCTGTTTTCAGTCAGGAATCCATGTGGCAGTAACAATAATGGATGTGAGCAGATATGTGTCCTCAGCCATGGAAGTGACAATGACGGCTTGGGTTTCCGATGCAAATGCAAATTGGGGTTCGATCTGCACAGTGATGGCAAACATTGCTATGGTATGATTTTTTTTTTGGTCAGCCGGGCGGCTGACACGTGCAAGAACCCATCATCGTTGCTTAAGAGTTTCCAAATCAAGCTGAGAATTCCATGCCTTCTTCCTACACATGGAAATCCCAGCGATATATTGTTGGAATGGAATGCTCTCTCTTCTCTCTCTCTCTCTCTCTCTCTCTCTGGAGGGACACATCCTGCTTACCTAATTCCGGAAAGTATTAGGAGCAGGTTGGCAAAAGCCAAGTCTTGGTGGGGGGATGGGGGAAGTCCAGCGTGTGCGTTGGGGTAACTGCTGGAGCCTAACCAGCTAAACCCACATAGTTTGCCATTGATGTTGCAACAATGCTATACTTTAAACTGTGTAAGGGCTGATGTGTGTATGGAGATTTCCCTTTGAGATACTCTGCAGCATCCTCTCATTGTCTATATACAATTTCATTAACCCAGTACTTTAGTAGTAATTCATTGCTAGAACTGAGCAATGAATTACATGGTGGGGAACTTCATGGACTAAACAAAGCACAACACAAAGGACCTTTGTGGACTGGAGAGCATCCACATAGACAACAGCACAGACAAAGGACTGCTGTACAGCGGGGAATTCCACTGCTACAGAATTGGTCTTCTCTTCGATCTGTCTGTCAGCGAGATCAAACAGTGCCCGTCAATTGAGGCCATTAAACTTATAGCTTAATATCTTAACCATCGATAAGTTAAAACATTTTTTTTTAAAAAAATGTGAGACCATTGAACTATCATCACTATTATTTTCACTTCCTTTTAAGGTTTTTGTCTGGTAAACATGTTTTATGCAAATGTTAAATGGATATAAATGCCAATAGTTGTTGTTACACCGTGGGTGATTAAGTGATAAACTAAGCATTTTATTTATTTTATTAGGCTACGTTCTCACTGTGGGCACAACTGTTAGTAAAACTGACGTGATTTCCTGCCTCGTGTTTCTAAAAGTTTAAAGATTTGGCTCGTAAACTAAACTGAGAATAAAGTCCTTCCTGTGGGTTTTATACAAATGTAAATACAGAGCAATAGCTAGTTAGTGATCAGTGAGTAGAAAATGTTCAGAAATCAAACTGAATTTTATTTTGCTACCATTTCTTCTTCACTAACTCGCAGTCCATATGTTTTGTTGAAACACTTGCAAACGATTAAGTTAAATGCGTTTGAACATTCAGCGTTCTGTCTTTTACAGTCGTGTCCCAGTTCTTGCTGTTGTCATCGCAATTGGCTGTGCGTGGAATTCCCTTTAACATCTCTTCACAAGAGGATATCATCCTCCCTATCACAGCAAGCCCTTCGTTCTTTGTGGGGCTTGATTTTGATGCTGTTCAGAGAGCTGTCTTCTTCTCTGATTTAAGACAGAACCTGATTTACAAGCAAAACATCAACGGAACAGGTAAGGATTGGGTTTACTGTACATAAGAACATCTCTTGTATTAGAGACCGTTTGTACACGTTAGCGCAAGAGTTGATATTTTGCGATATTCTCAAAGGATTTGTAAATAGTCAGCAGATGTACAACAGTTGTATTTTGTGCCTGATGTTTAGGCAGAGAAATCCTAATTACCAACAGGGTGGACGCAGTAGAAGATTTGGCCTTCGATTGGATCTCAAGAAATCTCTACTGGACGGATGTTCGCTATCGTAGCATTTCTGTCCTGAGACTGGCTGATAGATCCCGAACAGCGATCATTGAGAACCTGAACAATCCCAGAGCTATTGTGGTGCATCCAGTGATGGGGTAAATTACATGACAGAGTTTGTTACATATGGAGGCAAAGGTGCCTTAATTTTCTAGTGCTGCAGTGAAAATTCACTAATAAGGTCTGCAAACTGACTGAGGAATTATGACTTATTCATCAGTGAGTGACGTTAGCTATTCAGACCAACACAAACTACTGTACGTGTATAGGCTATATTTATTTATTGCCATCATGTTCATGTTGCCAATGTATTACTGCGTAATGAAACTATAATAATCCTTGTGTTTGACGCAGTGCCTTATCACTTCGTTGAAATGTCTCAAAGTGCTTCACAGGATATACTGTAAAGTGGTGTGACTGTACCTCTTTTAGTGGGCAAACTATCCAAAATAATTTGTGTACATATAGTATTTTGGACATGGAACGTCTCAAAGGCACTGCATTTAACATTGTGGCTCACTTACTGAGACACGAGTCACAATTTTGACCTCTGATCAATGATCACACACCCAGGATGAGAGACGTCCGTCTGAAGTATTTATATTACCATATCGTATAATATTGAAATGAAAAGAACTGCAAAACAAACATGAGGGAGTTCAGCACATTAGCAGGTTGACCTTAAAGTGAGTTTCCAGTACACTCTTTAGCAATGCTCTCTTCTTTCACATCTATCACCATTGTATTCACTTCCAGATATATCTTCTGGACAGACTGGTTCAGACCTGCAAAGATAATGAGAGCCTGGGGCGACGGGTCAAATGCAATGCCAATCGTCAATACAACACTGGGCTGGCCAAATGGTTTGGCCATTGACTGGAGGTGAGACGACCTGATCATCACAGGCTGATTATAATGATTGAGAAGGCAATGTTTGAACATTGGTATTGAAACAAATGTACAGAATCCATAAAGACAAACACTAGAATAATTAATAATAATAGTCCTTGCAGTTGATACACATCAACAACGAATTGCATTTACATAGCGCCCCTTACACAGGGCAGCGTCCCAGAGCACCTTATCATGTCGTTGAGACATCGATAGCCCTTCCCAGGATATACTGTAAAATGGATTGACTGCTATTTTATGGGCGGGAATGCGGGAGCTAATTGCACACAGCAGTGTCCCACAAACAGTCGAGACCAATTTTTGGTTACTCAACCCAAAACTTTATAAGAATGCCTATTTAACAATGATCCATCTAGCAGCCAGAGAATGGATAAATCTACGTGTGACCTGTTTTTCAGCTATTATTAATTTTTAATGCATTTTGTGTATGAATTTTGCACTTCAATCTGTATTTGAGCTGAAACCAAACTCTTGTGCTTTCTAGCTCTCAACGACTTTACTGGGTGGATGCATTTTTTGATAAAATCGAGCACAGCACCTTCAGTGGTTCAGACAGACAAACTCTTAACCGAATCAGTCAAATATCACACCCCTTTGGTCTCACAATCTTTGGTGGTAAGTTTGCTACAGTGTGAACATGTTATCCAGTGGCTGCACATTCTGTAAAGCTAAACTTTTCTGAGAAAATGTACGCTATGATCATACTTTCATTTACAGTTATATTAAGCTGTATGCAGGCCAGAAATAGAATGATTAATAATAATCCTTGATGTATTTGGATTTGATGTAGCGCCTTATCACGTCTTCGAGACGTCTCAAAGTGCTTTTATACAGAATATACTGTGAAGTGAATTGACTGTGTATTTTGTGGGAAAAACTTGGCAGCCAATTGCGCACAGCAGTGTCCCGCAAACAGTCGTGGTTTGAGTGAAAAAAAATTATTAGTTAGCATTTTACATCAAAGGAATTTGTTGCCTTTTTTTCCCTAGGATATGCATACTTTACCGACTGGAGATTGAAAGGAATAATCCGTGTGAGAAAAACAGACGGTGGTGAGATGACCATTATCAGAAGAGGCATCAACTACCTTATGCATGTCAAATCATTCGATGCTTCAATCCATGTTGGTAGGTCTAAATATTGAAGTCGTTGCATTTAACTCTGTCCAAAAAAAGGCCGGCAATCAAACTGCATTGTAAGCTCACAATGAATATTTCACTGGAGCTAGTGGAAACCTTCAAAAAGCCAATTGTCCCGACTTTGCTTATTTTCCTTCTGACTTAATATCAAGAAGCTCTTGTTTTAATGAATTTTTACCTTGAACAGAGAATTCTCGAGTTGTCCACATATGGATCTAACAGTTTACTGACGTACTTCTAATGCAGGTTCCAACTACTGTAACAGGCCGGCAAATCCCAATGGTGACTGCAGCCATTTCTGTTTCCCAATACCAAACTATCAGAGAGTCTGTGGCTGTCCCTATGGTATGAAGCTGGACTCAGACAACATGAACTGCGTCGAAGACCCATCAAACGAACCACCCACCCAACAATGTGGTTCCTTTTCGTTTGCTTGTGCCAACGGCAGATGTGTGCCAAGGTACAAGCACTGCGATGGGGTGAATGACTGCCACGATAACAGCGACGAACTCAATTGCGGAACTCAAAGTACGTGGTGTTGAAAATTGCACACGATGTAACCAGGGCTCCAACATAACCGGGGAGCTTATGGAACTCACTTACTGCGTTCAGAGAGGGCCTTAATTTGTCCACTTGCATAAGATCAAATTTATCTTTCAGCACCATTAATGAACGCATTCTTGGGCAATGAAAGTTAAGGAAGTTATAAAATGCTACAGAATGAGATTAATTGTCCAGCCTTTTCACAATCCCGGACTTCTCTACGCCATGGTTAATTAAATTCCTAATTATACCTACCGATTGGTATTCGTTATAATTCATTGTGTTTAATGAATCCATCCTGAATGATACTTCCTGCAGGGCTCCAGGTCAAGCAGTTTCAGAGTTCTGAAGCCCAGAGAAATCTTTCTGACTTCGCAAAACTCATCATAAAATCAGCATTTTACTCCACTTCTTTTGATTAGTGATCAATGACTAAGAGCCTAAACAATGTCTTCCAGTGCTCCGAGATGCTGTCCTGCATGAAGGGCGCTATAGGTTATTTAGATTCCCCAACTTGAGAACTGTGTTAACTATTATTGATTGACTAGTTCTGACCTTATTGTTTTGATCGATTTGATTTTTACCTTTAGATGTATCATTATATCTCTCCCCCCCCGACACCTTTAAATTATTATGCAAGAAAAAAAACTATACAGTTACTAAGGCACCTGTTATTATGAAACTTAACTGGCTTTGCAACTGTGATGAAATCACGGTTTAATGACCATAAAATATCAATAGAATTAGGTCCCTTAGGTCAAGTCATAGAGCGTAGATCCTACTAAAATATGTATATTTTGGAAAAATTGCTTCTTTGTGACAATATCCATCAAATTTTAATATACATTAATATACAATGGAGTTTCAAATCTAAAACATGGCAACCTTTTGATACGTATTTAATGGTGCACTTAAAAAAAGCGCAAAGTTGCTGAATTGAAGCCAACTATATTCGTATTGAATGATGCTAATAATGCTACAAATGAACTAAAAATAGATTGTACAATTTACCAAAGTAAAGCACAAGCGCAGGTTAGAAAATAAAAATAATAATAATAATAAATTGGTCACTTCAATCCGCGACGGTTTGTGGGACGCTGCTGTGTGCAATTGGCTGCCGGGTTTCGCCCACAAAATATACAGTCAATTCAATTCACGGTGTATCCTGTGAAGTGCTTTGAGTCATCCCGAACAAGTGATGAGGCGCTGTATCAAATGCAAGGATTATTATTATTACTAAAACATTTTTTTGTTGCTGATTGCAAACGTAGACACCACCTGCTCCCCTGCTGCCTTTACCTGCACTAATCACCAGTGCGTTCCAAGCCACTGGCGATGTGACGGACAGAATGACTGCATCGACTCCAGCGACGAGCAGAATTGTCCAACGCGTGGCCCTGTCTCCTGCTCAGGAAACTATTTCACCTGCTCCAACAACAGGTGTGTCCCCATGAGATGGGTGTGTGATACCGACAACGACTGTGGAGATGGCTCGGATGAGCTCAGTTGCAGTAAGTAGATCAGTTTATTCAGCGCACTGTATATCACGGCTTCTCAGGGTATTTTGAGTCTCGCCCTTTGTTGAACTTTCTAACCGTGTTGCTTGTGACCTTACAAAATTGAACTCTTTTCTTTTTTTCCCCCCCCCCAGTTTTGTGGTTATCTCCTAAAAGGAATGTTGCGAGAGACACTGTTGGCAGTCTTTGGCAATAATTTATACAGCTGGAAACAAGATCTAGCACTAAAGATTACCACTGTAACATTTAACAAAAGAACACATTTAGAAACTTGAGTGTAGGATTGTGGAAGATATCCTCCAGGACTAACTTGCCTAAATTATGCAGTCAGGAAATCTATCATCAGGCTGTGCTGCTTAGGGCAGGAGGGAAAGTCAGCCAGCCAGAGTTTTCTTTTTAAGATTGACATTCCAAAACATTATCAAATGCATTGATTATTATTATTATTATTATTGAAAAGCCTACCTTTTGTTGCCTGCTCCACATCCCCGGTCCAGCCCGGCTGCCCCGACATTGGCAGTCGGGCCTTCAGCCTCTCTACCCCCATCCTTTGGAACTCCATCCCACACTCCCTTTGCCTCGCTGCCTCCCTTGCCTGCTTCAAGGCACGTCTCAAGACCCTCCTCATTGACCGTACCTTCGGTCACTTTCCTCCCCTATCCTCCACCCCTCCTGATCCCAACCCGCAGCTCGGTTCCAGATCCCTGATTGTCCAGCGCTTTGGGATGTCCTCCAGACATGAAAGGCTCTGTGTAATTGTAATGTGTTGTTGATGTTGTTGCCTTTCTTGTAACTAACAGATTTTACAAGCACTTGCCGGCCCGGACAGTTTTTCTGCCCAGATCATCGCTGCATTGACACATATTTTGTATGTGACGGTGATGAGGACTGCCAGGATGGGGCAGATGAGCAGGGCTGTGGTAAGTGCTTAAATCTTAGCGTTTAAATACAGATTCCATTACGTTTCAAATCATTAATCTAAATCTGTTTCCCTTATAGTGTACAACTGCACTTCCTATGAGTTTAAGTGTGCCAGCGGAGACCGATGCATCAGCAAGTTCTACCTCTGTGACGGAGTATTTGACTGCAATGATCAGTCTGATGAGGTTGACTGTCGTACGTATAGCAGCTCAATACTGCAACAAATCCCTCTGACCACATACATCAGCGCTTTTAGGTTCTGATTTGAAGATGCTCTTGGTGTTCCTAAAGTGACTGTTTGATAATAACCCAATTCCGTATCGGTTAAGAAACTTCCCCTATCCATTATTTCTGTAGTTGATCTCAAAAGCATAAATGGGTTCTCTACCTCCAATTCACTTTACAGTATATCCCGTGAAGCGCTTTGAGACATCTCAAAGATGTGATAAGGCGCTATCTCAAGTGTGAGGATTATTATTATAAGGGAATGTAAAGATCCTCACAATCTGTTGTTTGTGGTTTTGTAGCCACTCGATCTCCTGGCCTGTGTCACCAGAATGAATTCCAGTGTCAGGGTGACGGAGCTTGTATTCCCTCATCCTGGGAATGTGACGGTCACGGAGACTGTGCTGACGGATCCGATGAACATCTCAGCTGCCCACCCAAGACCTGTTCTTCTAACTTCTTCCGCTGCGACAATGGGAACTGCGTGCACAGGGGCTGGCTGTGCGATGGGGACGATGACTGCAGGGACATGAGTGATGAACGGGATTGTCCCACCCAGCCCTTCCGATGTCCCAGTCACCAGTGGCAGTGCCCGGAGCTCAGCGTCTGTGTGAACTTGGCCAAGGTTTGTGACGGGACGCCAGACTGCCCAAACAGTGCTGATGAATCGCCACTGTGCAGTAAGTACTTTACTTTCAATATCCCCCACAATGGTAGCAGTTCCCTATAATGTCTGCACTAGAGCTATGTCACAAGTGTAATGAACATGACTGGCAATGGAGGTGTGAAGAGGAAATTGTATGACCTTACAATTGTTACACTAATGAGATACCTTCCGAAGATCACGGGTCCATATCACTTCCCAACAACAACGATAGCCCCTCGTTGCGTCTCAGAGCACTTCAATTTGCCCATTCTCGATAGACAAGTATTTCTACAGCAGATTCTTGAATTGTTTTGTGAAATAATTGCTATGTAAACACTTTATCTGAAGTGAAAGGAAATCCATACCTATTATCCTTTAGGGATCATAGGGAATAAAGAACGCAGCAGTTTCAGAACAAATAGGCAGTAAGTAGGGTATATCAACCAATATTTATTTCAAGCTCTTGTGCTCAGTAGTTACATGTTAAATTAGCTGTTCATCATAGTACTGTCATTGAGTTTTCGTTTTAGTATTTGCAATGTTTCTTTAAGTGTTGTATCGACAGCCATGTTTTGCTTAACGTTGAAAATGAGTGTTCGTTGATGGGAACAGATTAAGTACTTATATTTCATTGTATTTATGCTCTTGATGACATTCATTATTTGCAAAATGAATATCTTAATTGGATGTGACTTCATCGTCTGACAGACGCCAATTAGAGGTGATCCTCAGAGTAATCTGTCCCAACATTTATCCTGGTCACTCAATCCACAACTGTTTGTGGTACGCTGCTGTGCGCAATTGACTGCCACGTTTCGCCCACAAAATATCCAGTCAATCCACTTGACTTATATTCTGTGAAGCGCTTTGAGACGTCTCAACGATGTGACAAGGCGCTATAGCAAATGAAGGACTACTATTATGGTTATGATAGAATGCTAAACTGAAAATCATTTTATTTTCAAATAATTGCACCACTACATGTTTGTCAGTAGATGAATATAAATGCAGTTGTTAAACATATCCATTTATAATAGGTTTTACCTGTGTGCATTGATTGTTATTGTGTTTGCGAACTTTATTTCTTTCTTCCGTTAAACATGCTTTCAGATAAACTTATGCAAGGTATGGACTAGTTTTGTAGGCTCTCTCTCTCTCTCTCACACACATTATTATCTTGGCTGTGAATAAATTTAAATCAATGTTTGAATGTGGTGAATCCAATTCATTTAGTTCGCCTTCAACCATCCTGGCAGTCGCTTGACATATCTTTCCCCGAACTGTATACTGTAATGTGTTATGCAAATTGCTTAACCTACCGACCCAGTTTAAACAATGACTCTGCAATACACTAGACTCATGATGTAACCTATCATTTCTACTAGTTGTGCCCAAAACTATTTTGACAATGTCTGTGTCAGGATTGGCTCAAGTCTGGCGTGAATTAAGACTTTTGATAACTTGTTTAGGGAACTTTTCCAGGAACTTATTTGTTCAGTGTGGATTTGCAAATTAAGCGGATTTAATTACTGAATGAATACAAAGTAGTGAGATAGCATGAGTAAGTGTTACCACATGCCAGCTTAAACCCAGATGCTGCTTGTTTGACACAGTGGTGTATGAAAGTCTTTCTAAATTAACAGGATGATTTCACAAAAGAACAAACATACAGTATATACTCTGAAGTGCGTGCCATTGATAATCATTTCTACATCATTCCAAAGTTTGAATTACAGGTTTAGATTCCAATGATAATAATAATCCTTGCATTTGATATAGCGCCTTATCACGTCATCAAGATGTCTTAAAGCGCTTCACAGAATCTACTGTAAAGTAAATTGACCATGTATTTTGTGGGCGAAACGATCAGATTTTCTTGTGAATAGGAACACTGGACAATGCAAATAGGCACCTTATCTTACTCATCATCTATATTGTGCAGTCGTGTAGTTCAGTGGTTAGAGCACTCGCCTTGCGAGCGAAACCTTGGGCAAGTTTCCTTACTCCACACACCTAATAATAATCCCTCCAAAAAAATAAATTGGTCATTTCAATCAACGACTGTTTGTGGGACGCTGCTGTGCACAATTGGCTGCCGCGTTTCGCCCACAAATATACAGTCAATTCACTTTACACTCTATTCTATACAGAGCTTTGAGACGTCGAGAAGATGTGAAAAGCGCCATATCAAATGCAAGGATTATTATTATTATAAGATTGTGCTAATGGTTAATAAACAAAAAAGTGATTGGGGAAAATGAGACACAATGAAATGGCCTCGAGTGTAGAAAATGTCTATTTCTCTCAGGGTTTCAGATTGAAATTGATGCACATTTAAAATGTGGTCAATTCTTCTATTGTACATGGTCCCAACACAGTAAAGCTATTAAAGAAACAGATAGGTAGTTTATAATTTTGGAATCCTGTAGGATACCGTTAGAACATTCCTAAAAGAATTCTGGCTTTGAACATGGTATGTGAAAAACTGTTTTACCGTGAAAACTTTACAAAATTTGTATGACTTGTGATGGATTATTTTGCAATAGAATGGGCAAAAGCTATTGTGATAGTTGAATATTGATTTTTTAAAAACCTACTTAAGGAAATGTCAAATTGTCCCCATTAATATTTTGCTGTTCTTTTCGTTGATTTAAAATCTAGATATGGAGAGCTGCTCGGACAACAACGCAGGCTGTACACATCAATGTATTCAAGGTCCCTTTGGTGCTCAGTGTGTCTGTCCTGATGGTTACCTGCTTGCCAATGATTCCAAGACCTGTGAAGATATTGACGAGTGCAATCCCCCGGGTTTTTGCAGTCAGTTATGTTACAATGAGAGAGGCTCTTTCAGGTGCACCTGTGGTGAAGGCTATGATCTAGAAGCAGATCAGAGGACCTGTAAAGTCTCAGGTAAATCTCATATTTATTTCTACAGCTAAAATCTATATAGTCTTCCCGAGATTTTACCTTGCATGAAAGGACCTTTGTTTGTTCCATGAGTTTAAAGTGGTAACTGTTTTACTTTGCTGCTCCGAGAATCTTAGCTAGTTTCACACATTGCAATGTCCTTTCAAATAATTTTGATGCTGCGTTAATCGAATTGTATGCAAAAACATACCATCATTATACACCTGGAACTGTAACCTTCACAGGATTTTACTGTAAAGTGCAGTGACTGTGCATTTCAATGCCTCGTGCTTGTACCAATTCAATTCATTGTCCGTCGATTATCTCAAAGAGTTCTGACGAAGGTCATCAGCCTGAAACATTAACTCGCGTTTCCCCCCCCCCCCCCCCACCCCACAAATGCTGCCTGACCTGTTCGCTGAGTGTTCCCAACCACTTCTGTTTTTATTTCCAATCTCTGTTGATTTTTTGCCTAGACTCCCGGGATGCTCTGTTGCTGGTTGCCACTGGAGGTCAACTCATTTCTGATAACATCAGCGCTCGACCAAACTATCTTCGCTCTGTGATCAGAAACGGGAGGACCATCGTTGCGGTTGATTTTGATTCCACAAGTGGTCGTATTTACTGGTCAGATGTTACTCAGGACAAGGTCTGGAGCGCTTTTCAAAATGGGACTGACCAGAAAATTGTAAGCATTGGCTCAATTTTATACCTTCTAGTAGATAAAGGCATGAACATGAAAGGCAGTTTCCTCTTGGTTAGTGTGTCTACGTGTTAGTGCTCGTGTTAGTGCTCGTGTTAGTGCTCGTGTTAGTGCGTGTGCTGTACTTGCTAATGTAGCACAGTATATGGAAGGTTATGAAAATGGATATGTTCTGGATTAGCTATGACTAACTATCACCAAATTATAATTTTGACATTTTTCTAAACCTGTATTCATTTTAAAGCCAATTTTTATGGTCGGCCCACAAAATAAAATCTCTTGATTGAATATCTCTTGATCTATGTCATAAAAATCAAGAAATAGTCAATCTTCTTGATGCTTGGTGAGCTAATGGTTGGTCACCATTGTTTTAAGGGATGCTTAATATTGTTGTTGTTGTTAATATCTCTTACAGTGTTCAAATTCTTGAGTAAATCCACGTTTCAGCACTGAAAACAATGCCAGTGATGATTTGTTCTGCAGGAAATAATAACAGTGATTCTGCATTCTAACCCAGACTTGTACCTCTTTGCTAACAGATCTTTGACAGTGGAGTGACTGTCACGGAAAACATAGCTGTGGATTGGGTAGGACGCAATCTGTATTGGGCAGACTACATTCTTGAAACTATTGAGGTGTCAAACCTGGATGGCAACCACAGAACCGTGCTCCTCAGTGAGAACATCACCAACCCCAGGGGACTGGTGCTGGATCCCAGGAATGAGTAAGACAAAAAATATTCAAGATTTGGCTATATGTACGTTTGATATGAGCAAATAGTAGCCTGAGGAGGGAACAGTGGATGTAATAGACATGTGGCTTTGTATGATGTGATCCATTTAAGAGCCTTGCATTGCATTTGCTGACTGAATGATGGATACGTCAGTCACGGCTCAAAGATAACAATTTGGTTTGAAACTAACAGGGTCTAACGGTGAAACGTTGGGCAAGTTTCCTTACTCCTCATGCCTCTGTTTACCTAGCAGTAAGTAGGAACTCATTTGTTAGTTGATTGGCGGATCAATTATCTGGGGGTAATAATCCCTTTAAATAATAAATTAATTAATAATTTGGTCCCTCAAATTTTGTGGGACACTGCTGTGCATAAATGGCCTCTGTGTTTCGCCCATAAAATGCACAGTTAATTCACTTTACAGTGTATTCTGTGAAGCGCTTTGAGACGTCTCGAAGATGTGATGAGGCGCTGTATCAAATGCAAGGAATATTATTATTGTAACACTTTGATTTTAAACTGTGTAACTTTGCTTGGCAGTGCTCATTTAATGTTCTGGACAGACTGGGGTAGGAACCCACGGATTGAAAAGGCCAGTATGGATGGCACACAGCGGACTGTCATTGTAAGTGAGAAGATCTTCTGGCCCAATGGACTGGCCATAGATTATCCAACGAAACTACTCTACTTTGCTGATGCCTACTTGGATTATATCGAATACTGCGACTACAATGGAAACAACAGGCATCAAGTTTTAGCAAGTGACTTGGCAAGTCAATTAGGAACAAGTTTTTTTATATGTATATTATATACATTTGATCTTGCATCAGCACTAAATATTTCATCTAAAAATGCATTTTTTTTTAATGTAAAGTATTTTGGAATTGTACCTGTTGCAGGTCCTGAACCACCCACACGCTATCACTATTTTTGAGGACTTTGTGTATTGGACTGATCGTTATTCTCACCGTGTGATGAGAGCAAACAAGTGGCACGGAGAGAACCAGACTGTACTGATCTATAATATCTATTATCCACTGGGCATTGTGGCTGTTCACCCTGTGAGGCAACCTCCCGGTAAGGTCAAACATCATCATACTGACGTATGACATTGTGATTGGCATCTTCTTTGTAAGGCCATGTTGTCAGAGCTTTAGAACAACACAGCTTGCCTTTTACTATGGTGCAGATACTTACCTGCACAGTATACACACACACACACACACACGCGCTTCAACCTGTTTTATCCCCATCCCTAAATGAATGTCAAGAATAAACACATAACACATGTTTTTTTTTTTTAAAAATCAGGTAAACCACACATTGCTAAGGTCAGACATCACCACAATTGCTCTACAGTAACCTGTATTTTATGACTCCTAGATTCAAATCCGTGCGCATCCAATCCATGCAGTCACCTGTGCTTGCTGTCTGCAACTGGTCCGAGGTTCTATTCGTGTGCCTGTCCCTCAGGATGGAAGCTGATGTCTGATTTCCAGACCTGTGCCAAAAGTAAGTCAATGAATTGTTGGGATTCCTCCTCATTTATTCACCTGTCGGATACCCTTCAGATTCAGTGTTCAGTAATCCAGGATTGTCCGAAATGGATCCCGAGGATCTCAGCTGGGATTCCGACCATCTCGGATAACAGCAGATTCTCCCAAACATTTCAGTTACTTTGAGCCTCTGCAGAGCACGTGTTTTCTCCTTTATATGAGTTTGGAATTTTGAAGGTTTCCTGCAATAAAAGCAATCAGATTCCGTAATAAAGCAATTCTCGTTTTTTTTTATATCCGATCATTTCAGAATTGTGAGACGTAGGAATCTTCCTATGTGATTAATTCTTTTTAATTTCCTATGAATGTAGAATGAGAAGGAATTGTGTAAAGAGATAGCAATGTGTCTTTTCTAGATTAAATTAAACGGTAATTCCATTGCTGCTCAAATTATACCGGTTAAAATTTGACACGTTATGCAGTATACATTTGAGAATACTATACAGAACTTCACATCGATCATTTATTTTGTGCTGAATGATTAGGGTTGAGTGTTCAGTGGATGCATTTGCTTTTTGCTTACAGTTTAGCAAAAGGCTTAATCTCTGTTGAAATTGTGAAGCATTTGGTGCCAGCAGTCGTTTCCAGCAGGAAATGTTTTCTTGGCTTATCCAAAGCTTTCCTAAAGCTGTGTCAGAATACAAATACATTTAATTTATACTCTTGTGTACATTTCATTTTCTGGCCTTGGATAGTCCGTGTCAGATTAAACTCACATTGGGTAAATTGTCCTGGAGCACACTTGCGGATATCTATGCTGTCTATGCCTATAGAGAAATAAAACAATAATAAATAATAATAATTCTTGGATTTGGTACAGCTAGCACCTTATCAAGTCTTCGAGACTTCTCAAAGCACTTTACAGCACATACTGTAAAGTGGATTGACTGTATTTTTCTTAGTAAATAGCTATATTGTTTCAGTTGATATGTAAAAAGGGGATCAGATCTGGAATGTATTGTAGATGTATTGTGCATTTCCTGTTGTGGTTCCTTCAATCTACTTTTTTTTTTGTTCTTCCCAGGTAACGAGCCTTTCCTAATCGTGGTGAAGAGCAGCATTGTTTATGGCATCTCCCTAAACCCCGAGGAGAAAGCTAATGATGCCATGGTTCCCATCGCTGGGTTGTCCAATGGCAATGATGTTGACTTTGATGATGAGGCAGAGATGATCTACTGGGTGGAATATCCAGTAAGTACTAACTAACCTCTTCTTTTGAGATCGAACAGTTACCAGAAAGCTTTAGGCAATAAAATAGATTTATTATTTATTTATTATTATTACGGAGTCCTGTAATTCAGTGGTTAGAGCACTTGCTTTGCAAGCGAGAGACCTGGGTTCGATTCCCGGCAGGTCAGGGCGAAACCTTGGGCAAGTTTCCTTACTCCACACAGAGCCTAATAATAATCCCTCAAAAAAAACAAATTGGTCATTTCAATCCACGACTGTCTGTGGGACATTGCTGTGCGCAATTGGCTGCTGCATTTCTCCCACAAATATACAGTCAATTCACTTTACAGTCTTTTCTGTGAGACACTTTGAGACGTCTAGAAGATGTGAAAAGCGCTATATCAAATACAAGGATTGTTATTATTAGATTGAAGCAGATGTACTAATAATCCTTGCATTTGACATAGAGCCTTATCACGGCTTCGACACGTCTCACAAAGTGCTTCACAGGAAATACTGTACAGTGAATTGGCTGCATATTTTGTGGGCAAAATGTGTCAATTGCGCACAGCAGTGTTCCACCAACAGTCGTGGACCAAATTATTATTATAATTATTTGGAGATAAATTATTTGGAGATGTAGATTTCGTAACTCGGAACCTGGTTGTTTGTTGATTGGCAGATCGCTTTTCCGGGAGTAATAATTCCTTCAAATAATAATAATATTTTGGAGGTTGAAGAAGACCTGCAGAAAACTGACTAGCAGATTAAAGACTGAACTTAGGTGATCTTGAAACATTACCACAATTTTAAGGCAAAGGTTAAAGCCAAGAAGAATTTCAGGCCATTTTGACATTCCACAAAGAAACTGGATATCGACCTGCCTGGCTGGTCTGAAAGATCTCTAATCAGGCCAGGGATTTCACGTTGCTGTCGGAGAGAAAAAGAATATTTAAACATTAAAAAATCGTGCTTGGAAAACCCTCTAGCAGCTAGGGATCAAAACAATAATTATCGCTGTTTAATCTCCAAGATTCAGTTGTGAAATGGCGTTCAACTACAAACCTGTTAAATAGAGGACAAAAACCCTGTATGTTCCCTGTGATAATTGCTCGATCATTGTACAGATATTAACACTAAGTTTCATACCCGTTAGTGCTTCTAACGGAAAAAAGTGCAATGTGCTGTTTGCGGAATTCCTTTTTAGTTCTGTGTGGCATTAGGAAATATTTCAAATACCTGGGCATCTGCTAATCTTATCTGGGAAAAATAGACGACCAAAATCTAACCCGATTCTGATAAATAAAGCTTGCCCCGTAACCACCGTAAAATGAAGGGTGAAATCTTGGGGGAAGGATTTCGAGACTATTGTGAGCAACAGAGTTGAAGTTTAGAAGAGAGCTATGTTAAGTGCATGATAATAAGGCATCTGTTAAACCTGCTGTGTGTTTTGGCCGCAGTAAACTGTTTCTAAATACTTAGGAGGATTTGGGGGATTTCCTTCTTTGCCAGTGAGCCCTGATTGGCACCAGTAAGTAAAAGCTTTGTGCGTGTGGAAGAAACGTTCATTATTTCCCCCTGTTTCTGAGGCTGGAGGATATTCTCAGTTTCTGATTGTGTCCTTTTTAGGGAGAAATTCACCAAGTCAAATCAGATGGAACCAACAGGGATATTTTTGCTCCAGCTGCTGACATCGGCCACCCCATTGGCTTGGCTTTTGATTGGATCAGCAAGAATCTGTACTACACTAACGCTGGACAGCAGTCGATCGACGTGAGTTTGTTTAAGAAAGTTGCCTTCAATTATTTTCTACACAGATTCCCTCCTTTTCCCCCACCCCCCTCCTCCCCCACCCCATATCTAGTATGGTGACGGTCACCTTCAAACTTCAGAACTATCAGGTTATTTTCATGTACTATAATAATAATAATCCTTGCATTTGATACAGAGCCTTATCACATCTTCGAGAAGTCTCAAAGCGCTTCACAGAATATACTGTAAAAGGGAATTGACTGTGTATTTTGTGGGCGAAACGAGAATAATGGTGACTCTTATTTGGTCCTTGGTCTGACCTTTAATGTGTGTGTTTTCAGGTGATAAAGGCACATGGTAACAAGTACAGAAAAACCTTATTAACTAATACTGGACAAAGCTCTGGTGTTGGAACTCCCATTGGCATCACAGTGGACCCAGCAAGAGAGTGAGTATCACATTCAAGTCAATTTGATTGTTTTGGAATTTGATGTACGTTTAATGTGAACCGAAGGAAATGGATAGTTTGTCTAAAGCTGGATATTTTGTGTTGTAATGTACATTTTTCTTTTTTAAAAAAAAAACAAGCACTGATTCCTACCCGTGCTCTTCTCATAACTCCATGTCCTTGCTTCTAATAATAATCCTTGCATTTAAATATAGCGCCTTATCCCATCTACGAGACTTCTCAAAGTGTTTCACAGAATTGACTGTAAAGTGAATATGACAAAATGTAAGTGCATATTTTGTGAGAAAAGTGTGGCAGCCAATTGTGCACAGCAGTGTCCCACAAACAGTCGTTGATTGAGTGACCATATTATTTATTTTTTTTTGAATAGATTATTACCCCTGGAGTTTTTGAAGGGATTATTACTATTAGATAAACAGAGGCATGTGGTGTAAGGAAACTTGCCCAATGTTTCGTCCTGCCCGGTAACCGAACCCAGGTCCTCTCGCTTACAAAGCGAGTGCTCTAACCACTAAGCTACAGGGCTCCTTTTCCCTCAAAGGGTCACATATATAGTAAATAAATAATTGCATAAATACTGCTACTATAATCACTGATTTATCTAGAAATGGTGCAAGTCTTATCTTTACTATTATACACTAACTGCAGGGCTTGCAGAATATTTGATAACTCCCTGTATTTGTGAACCTCTTTCAGGAAGATGTACTGGACTGATCAAGGCACAGAGAATGGGATCCCAGCAAAGATCGCTAGTGCTGACATGGATGGCTCCAACCCGGAGATTCTCTTCACTGACAATCTGCGTCATGTAGAGTTTATTACCATTGACATCAAGGAGAGCTATCTATACTGGGGTGTCACCAGTACTGGCTTGGTATGCTTACTGTTCCCTTTTTGAAAGCAGGGAGTACACAGACATGTAATTACAGGCTGAGGGAAGGGCAGGCTGGGGGAAGGGAGACTTTTAAACATGGTTTCTATAAATCCTGTACATCAAAACGGAATAAATACATGTGAGTTGTAACGTTCAGTCTGTGCTATCTCTGTAGATCGAAAGAGGAAATGTGAATGGTACAAACCGAATGACTGTGGTGAGCGACCTTTCCCATCCCTGGGGAATAGCCGTCCATGGGAACTTCCTTTACTACACCGATTATGCCTATGAGGTGATTGAGCGTGTGGACCTGACTACTCATGAGAAAGTCGCAATGAGAGATAATACTCCAGGGCTGAAGTGCCTCAAAGTCCACTTCAGAGACAGTGAGTCTTTCTTTACAATTCACTGAAACTTTAAGACTTCTGTGGAGTTCAAAACGTGTCTCAAGACCCTCCTCTTCGACCACGTCTTCAGGGTTACCCCCACCCTCCCTGCCCTCCACCCCTCCTGATTCCAACCCCCAGCTCGGGTCCAAATCCCTGACTGTCCAGCACCTTGGCACGTCCTCTCCACGTGAAAGGCACTGCTGTTGTACAAATGTAATTTGTTGTTGTTGTGGTTGTTCTTAGTCTTCGTGTGTTCATGTGTGTTTTCATGCTCTCTTAAGAGTCAGCCGGTTCCTCCAATGGCTGCAGCAGCAATGGGGGAGCTTGCCAACACCTCTGCCTGCCTAAACCTGGAGGAATGTTCACCTGCGCTTGTGCCACAGGCTTCCGCCTGAACCCGGACAACAGAACATGCTCGCTCTTCAATTCCTTCGTGGTGGTGAGCCAGCTGTGGAGCATCCGAGGTTTCAGCCTGGATGAGGCTGACCATGGGGAGGCCATGATGCCAGTGGGTGGCTACAGTAGGTCTTTGTTCTCCTTTCAAAGCCTCACATTAACCATGAACGCCAATCTTTTAATAACAGGGTCCGGTACATCTCCCTATCAGCCCACTCCACAGAATTCCATGGAGTTTATTACTGCATCTAAAATATCCTTTCCATATCCTGCAAAGTATTATATAAATTGTTTTTCTCTTTAAGAGTGTGTTTCAGTGCACAGTTAGCAATATTATACAAAACATTTCAACAGTCTAATCACAAATCAAGGACCCTGCAGTTGTAATTGAATACATTGTATTTCCTGTTGTACTCGGATTTTTTTTAAAATGTTTTTATTACTATTATTTTCTCAGTAATTCAATGAAGTATTTTTTAAATAGGTTTCTGTTCAATATTTGCTCCCTCTGATTGTTGAGTAACTACTTTTTTTTGTTCCATGCAGCCCTCTTTGCCGCACACTTGGATGTGCACATGGATTCGGGGTTTATTTACTGGTGTGATTTACACCGTTTTTGGACATATGGGGCCGGTATCCGAAGAATTAAACCCGACGGCTCTTCCTTCCAGAACATCGTGGTGTCGGGAATTGGTCAGAATGGTGTCCGAGGCATCGCGGTGGATTGGCTGGCAGGTCAGAGGAGAAATGGATTGAAGGAGTAGTGGGTTGGGGAGCAAGCAAATCGGAGAGGTAGGGAGGTGCCAGGGCATGAAGGGATTTGAAAACAAATGTGAGGATCTTGAAATCGATCCGTTCAGTGATAGGGACCCACTGGAGCCTGGCGAGGACTGGTGTGAAGGGGGTACGGAGTTTAGTGTGCGTGATAGGGAGCCAGTGGAGCCTGGCGAGGTCTGGGCTGATGAGACAGAGTTAGTGCAGATGAGTTTGTGGGTTGCGGAGTTCTGGATTAACTGGCTTTTGTGGATAGTGGAGTTGGGGAGTACCGTTGAGGAGGGCATTGGAGTAGTAATAAGCATATACTTGTCTATATCTACATGATGGATATTCAATAACTAGCTAAATTTCACATAAATGAAGTAACGAGCGTTTCTTCGTACAGGAAACCTTTATTTTACGAATGGATTTTTAACAGAAACCTACATCGAGGTTGTTCGGCTGAACAGCACTTTGCGACGTGTTCTGATCAAAACTTCAGTGGATCGGCCCAGGCACATTGTGGTAAATCCCAAACTCCGATACATCTACTGGGCAGATTACGGGCAGCAACCCAAAATTGAACGCGCTTCTCTTGACGGCTCCAATAGGACTATTTTGGTTGACGATGGCATCGCCATGCCACGAGGGCTGGCTGTTGATCGCAAAACTGACTACATCTACTGGGTTGACGACTCCTTCGACCTGATTGCCAGGATCCCACCTAATGGAGGGGAACGAGAATACATCCGATTCGGCAGCCGATATCCAACTCCTTACGGCATCACCATTTTTGAAGACAGTATGATCTGGGTGGACAGGAACCTGAAGAAGATCTTCCGGGCAAGCAAAGAGCCGGGAAATACAGAGCAGCCAACGGTGATCAGAGACAACTTGGGCTCTCTGAGGGACGTGGTCATGTTTGACAAACAGACTCAACCGACTTCACCAGGAGAAGTTAATAATAACCCCTGTCTGAACGAGAATGGAGGGTGCGCTCAGTTTTGCTTTGCATTACCCGAGACTGAGATGGCAAAGTGTGGTTGTGCCCACGGCAAATTGGACACTGATGGCAAAACATGTGTCATCTCAACCAATAATTTCCTGATCTATGCAACAGAGTCCACCATCAGCAGTCTGCGCCTGGACCCCACTGACCATGTCCTCCCCTTCCCTGTAGTAAACGTGTTGCGAACAGCTGTGGCCCTGGATTATGACAGTGTTGAGAATAGGATTTATTTCACACAGAATTCTTGGGGAGGACACAGCAAGATCAGTTACATCAGCCTCAGCTCACCAACTCGCCCTCCCACCCAGGTGGTGACAGGTAAACACGTTAGCCATGTAACTAATGATCGATTATTCTGTCACACAAACTAACAGGCTGGATAAACGCGTGTGCTCTGCATGAGAAAAGATAGATTTCAGAATGGTTTATTGTCATGTCACCATTTCCAAGCGATCTGTGATTTCCAATGCAGTTAATGTTATTACTGATAACAAATTCACTGAAAGGTAGTCTGGTAGTGGGCCCACAACATTAATGATTCAAACACAAATAATTGTATATTACTAAGATTTAGATTTTGTTAAGCATTGCCTGTACCTCCTTAATTATCTATGATATGAAATGGATATGCAGTACAAATATATAATAATAATAATCCTTGCATTTGATATCGTACCTTATCATGTCTTCAAGACCTCTCACGGAATATACTGTAAAGTGGAGTGACTTGTGTATTTTGTGGGTGAAACGCAGCAACCAAATTGATATCTGTTCTCCAGGGCTAGGTGCACCTGATGGAATTGCATTTGACTGGATTAACAAGAGGATTTATTACAGCGACTATTTGAACCAGACAATCAACTCCATTGGAGTGAATGGCCACAATCGTACAATCATTGCAAACGTTCCAAGGCCGAGAGCTATTGTGCTGGATCCTTGCAGAGGGTAAGATTGGCTAAGCTGTAGAGTGAACTCAATAATTGCTCCATTGAATTGGTTTCTGTAGCTTCAATAGCAGTATTAATAATAATCCTTGCATTTGATACAGTGCCTTATCACGTCTTTGAGATGTCTCAAAGCGCTTTACCGAATATACCCTAAAGTAAATTTCTGTTGATTTTTTTTNCTCTCTTCGAATTCCGATGCCTATTACAGTAAAGCTAAGATGATAGAGGAACTACTATGCTGGTTTGCTGATAGCCATTTTGTTTGTCCAACAGCTACATGTATTGGACTGACTGGGGGACTCACGCCAAGATCGAACGAGCGACACTCGGAGGAAACTTCCGTATACCGATTGTAAATACCAGCCTGGTCTGGCCAAATGGTCTAACATTGGACCTGGAGGATCAGAAGCTCTATTGGGCTGATGCTTCTCTGTACGTTTGTGTCTCTGTTTGATTTATTTCCTCTTAAGCCTTTTTAGGCTTCCGCTAACTAAAAAGTGACAGGCTAATTTGCACAGTTTTTTTAAAAAAAAATTCAATACAGTGTTTGGTTGTAAATGATTTACAGAAATGTTCATGAAGGAAATGATGTCAGCATGTAGGAAATAAAAAAATAATAATCCTTACATTTAATATAGCGCCTTATGTCTTCGAAGCATCTCAAAACGTGTCAGAATATACTGTAAAGTGGATTGACTGCGTATTTTGTGGACGAAATATGCACCCAATAGCCACTTTAGAGCCTGATCTATTGAAATCCGGGAGTTATTGGAGAATGTTACTTTACACAGGTTTATATTTTTTTCTCAACATCCAATTATATTCCCTCTTAGACGGAAGATTGAACGAAGCAACCTTGTGGGGACAGATCGGGAGGTGATTGTGAGCACTGCCATCTTCCCCTTTGCAGTGACGCTCTATGAAGAGTACCTCTACTGGACAGATTGGAGCACAAAGAGCATTTACCGGGTCAACAAGGATGATGGGTCGGACCAGTTGGTCATGATACAAAGTCTACCACTTCGTCCCATGGATATTCACGTGCTGTCCGACAGCAAGCAGCAGCATTGCAGTAATCCATGCGATCAGTTTAATGGAGGCTGCAGTCACATCTGTACTCCAGGTACACGCTATTCCCACCAAACTAATCGCCCCAATAGATGTAATAGCCATTTCAAGCTGTTTAATTTTACCATTGTGTGTTTTGCTCAGTCACCAGTGTGTTATGCTGTGGGTGGGTGGGTGGGTCGTGTGCAAGCCTTTGTGCTCGTTTACTCATTACTCTTGTACTGTGTCTGTCTTGCAGGTCCTCATGGTGCTGAGTGCCAGTGTCCTGCCCATGGGAATTGGCGTTTGGCTAACAACAATAAAGACTGTGTCCCTGCCAGTGCCGCAACTTGTGGCCTTGACTATTTTACCTGTTTGAATGGGAACTGCATCCCCGACAGATGGAAATGTGATAACGATAATGATTGTGGTGATAGGAGTGATGAAGCTGAGAGAGTGTGTGGTGAGTCCTTCATTAGGAACACAGTTTCATCTGCAAATTTGTCCCAAATGTGATATTGCAGAAACATGCAGAATCCATTGGGATGTTTACAAGAGAGATGAGTGGGGAGTTGGGAAGTAAAGGGTGTTAGGGAATCTGGAGAAAAGGGTATCAAAGGATATGAGATTAAAAGATCAAGCAAAAAGGAAGAAGTATCTCGCTGGGCTGAATGGCCTCCACTTGTTCCTTATGTGATAGGGAGGTTGGGATATCCTAATGAACATTTAAAGTGATGAGTTTCAATTCATATCAACTTATTTCTCAGTAAGAGTTTCTGATAAATGACAGTACTATAAAGAAGATGCCAGTGAATGTGTTTTGAGGTATCAAGTCGTGAGATGTCAGTTTCACGTGGACTTATTTTGAAGAAGGTTCCAGCTCCCGAGTATTAACTTGCAAGTTGAACAGCTAGTTTAAACCGACTAGTTGTGTCGGTGCGCCAGCAAAGAGAGGCCAGTCAAAGGGTACCAGCTTCACGCTGCTGATTGTACTGGAGCGAGCTTGCCGTGCTTTTGCCTGAGCCTCTGCTCCATGATGGACTTTTTGGAAGCAACGTGCTTTATCCTGATGGATGGAGGGACATTGGGTTTGGTGTTGGCAGCCCACTTCGGTCATGCCCTCTGCTGGCTTATCACAGAGTGACACTGAGAGCACCTCGCTCCAGCTGTGTGGCAGCAGAAATCTTAAGAGCACGAACTGAAGAAGCAGAGTACATTACAAGAGAGGAAGAATGTTACCCCAATAAATATTTTCATTCTGTCTTTCATGCAGTCCACTTGGAAACAAATGCATTTCGTGAAGGTATCTGTTCTGTAGTTTCGTAGTCAATATGAATTTCTACCCTCTCCCCTTAGTCCTATTAGCATTTGTCCTGAATTAATCTGTGGAGTAATGTGCTTTAGTATTTTAAGGCAATAGTTCTGATTGTATCCAGAGAATGACTGAGTGTGAGTAGGATCTGGGTTTGACCTTTTGAGGTAACGTTAGTTACCGTGTGGCTTCTGGCACTGTGACGCTGGGGAGAAAAGATTCAAAACTTGTCTTTAATGGAGCAGTTTTCTGAATGGATCATAATCGGGCTGAATTTGGCTTTAAATATGACTTAAAAGTCCAAGACTTGTTCTGGTGAACATACTGAGAGGTTTGTGAGTGTGTGTGTATATATATATATATAATATATGCACCTGATTCCACAAGTCTGAATCAATCTTCTATTACATTTAACGTTTCAGCTAAAGTAGTTGGGTAAAGTGTTATTGAATCAATGGCTGTAAGTAGTTGCACTTCTATTTCTATATGAGAGGGAGGGTGGGATATCCTAATGGACATTTAAAGTGATAAGTTTAAATTCATCCCTGTTATTAATTGATTGATGTGGTGGAGCTCATTCGGATAGAATATGAGAGATTTGTTTATAATGTGCGTTTAAAGAAAAGTTGTGTTTGGGGGGGGGGGGATTGATTGTATTTAATTAATTCATTTACTGAATAATATTTAGAAGAGTCAGAACACTTTGTGTGGCCTGGGAAAGTCTGATGTTAACTGGTAAGCCTGGATGTTGATTATTAGCTGAAACAAAGTGGAAGTAGATTGACCAATGTGGAAAATAAATCTTGACATTTTATTTTTCATGCAGTCCATTTTGCAGCATTTCTGTACGTGGAAGGTAACGTGATACGAGATTTTCAATTCCTTTAAGCAGTTACATAGAAAAAAAAGTGATTTTGTTTTACTGTCCTTTCGCGCAGTTTACCTCTAATCCTCTTTGCTCCCTCTCCAGCATTCCACGTCTGCCCCTTGAGTGCCTTCACGTGTGACAATGGTCGGTGCACACCCTATAGCTATCGCTGTGACCATTATAATGACTGTGGAGACAACAGTGATGAGGCTGATTGCTTGTTCCCCACCTGTAACCCAAACACCGAGTTCACATGCAATAATGGGAGGTGCATCAATCGAAGCAGCGTGTGCAATGGGGTGAACAACTGCCATGACAATGGCACTACAGATGAGACGAACTGCCGTAAGTACCATACATACTAACCATTCATCTGGAGGACTGTAGCTCAGTGGTTCGCCTCGCGAGCAAGAGGACCTGGGTTCAATTCCTGTGTAAGGCGAAATCTTGTTAAGTTTCCTTACTCCACACATGCCTCTGTTTACCTTAGCAGTAAGTAGGAACCTGGTTGTTAGTCGATTGGCAGCTCGCTTTTCCAGGGACAATAATCCCTTCAAAATATTAAAAAAAAAAATTTGGTCACTTAGTCCACCACTGTTTGTGGGACACTCCTGTGCACAATTGGCAATAAATAGCACAACTGGGGTTTATTGCAAGGACAGTATTAATAAACTGCTCAAGCTTTGCTTTTTATGTTGTTATCTTTATTTGTGTGTACTATAGGTCTTGTTTGTTTATTTCTCACATATGGTTCACACATTGTGCAGTACTAGACCGCAATGCGTTAGACCTCAATATGCAATGGTTTAATACGTTTGTAAAAAAGGTGCTTTTCCCTCCGTGTAGCGGATCGGACTTGCCAGTCTGGCTATGTAAAATGTCAAACTACGAACATCTGCATTCCGCGCACATATCTATGTGATGGAGACAATGACTGTGGAGATATGAGTGACGAGAGTGCTACCCACTGTGGTAAGTATTCTACCATCTTCAAGTACTGTAATAATAATATGATAATAAGATAATAATAACCCTTGCATTTGGTGTATTTTGTGGACATAACCAAACCCGTGCGGAGACGTGGTTGCTGATGAGGTTTAAGTTGTGTAGATGTAAGTTCTAACTGTTTGGTTCATGTTTAGCCACTGGGACCTGTACAGAGCATGAATTCCGCTGCTCATCTGGACGCTGTGTACCCTCACACTGGTACTGTGACCGCGAGGCGGATTGTGCTGATGGCTCAGATGAACCATCTACTTGTGGTGAGTGAGGTTCACTGTTTGGGTGCTGCTAAAGACAGACTCGTGTTTAATTCGTGTATTATTATTATTAATAATAATGATAATAATAATCCTTGCATTTGATACAGAGGATTATCACGTCTTCGAGATGTCTCAAAGCGCTTCTGAGGGTATATTGTGAAGTGGATTAAATGTGTATTTTGTGGGTGAAACTATAATTGAGATTTATGTCACCCATAAAGAATATTTCTGGGCAAGGCGAAACCTTTGGCAAGTTTCCTTACTCCACACACCTCTGTTCACCTTAGCATTGTCATCATTGAATAATTTCCGCTGTCAAATTTCACTGTAATAAGGCAATTTTGTAACCACAGGTGATATCTATTCACTTGACATACAAAATGACGAAGGAAATGTACTAACAATAATTTTGTTCCTCTGCGTGTGGACAATGTCTTTTTGAATGCGACAAACGCGAATATTCTCCTATCGGGAACGAGCTATCGGTTATTTCAATATTTTGATGGTGGGGAATCTTATAGTACTATATATCCGACACGTTTCAGATACATGCTGAAGTGTAATTTATCCTGGTTCCTCTATTCAGTGCAGCGGCTGATGTGTTTCCTTTGCAGCTTCCTTGGAGCGCACTTGTGCAAGTCAACAGTTCCAGTGTGATGATAGCCGATGTGTCCCCTCGACCTGGATCTGTGACGGAGACAATGACTGCGGGGACATGAGTGATGAAGATCAAAGGCATGATTGTGGTTAGTCACCGCAAGAGACATTCTCTATAGCAGAACAAACGCAATCCATCACGTGTCAGGAGGACGATTCAAAGGGCTTTATTGTAAAGTGTTGTACTGTGTGCTGTAAAGTGATTCTAAACAATTTCCAAGCTTCTAGAGTAGAAAGGCAATAACTGATACAGTACTAACCATTTGATCGAGTTGCACGTAAATTGGGTATTATGGAACTGTTGAATCTGTTGTCTGGAACATTAATGACTTTATATTAACAGGAGATTAACAGTGATGTATGGGAACGTATTTTCTAGTGCAGGTGATAAAATTGTTACCAATAAAGGATGTTAAAAGGCTGTAGGTTAAGTGAAAGCTCATCGAGTCTCTCCTCAAACTTGATGTATTTTATTCCAGCAAACCGTAACTGCACAGCTACAGAATTTACATGTTTGAACAACCGGCCTCCACAGAGAAGGTGTATCCCGCGAGTCTGGGTGTGTGACGGAGATGCTGACTGCTCCGATGCTCTAGATGAACATCAGAACTGCACTCGGAGATCCTGCCAGGAGTCTGAGTTCACCTGTGACAATGGGCTGTGTATCAGGAGTTCATACAGGTCTGTAGCAATTATAATAATATGATAATCCTTGCATTTGATATAGTGCCTTATCACGTTGTTGAGACATCTCAAAGCGCTTCACAGAATATATTGTATAGTGGATTGACTGTATATTTTGTGGGCGAAAGCAGAAATCTATTTAAGAGGAAACCCAAGGCGTACATGAGGGAGTAAAGGTGTGTGTGTGTATGTGCAACAGTTGTGTAATATATGGATGACAGAATCTGTTGACTGTTGTTTGGATATTAATGGTTTTATACTAAAAGAGAATCCAGTGATATATGGGAAACATAGCTTCTGGTGTTGGTAATGACCTATGGGTTAGTGCTGTAGACGTGTAAAATGTGCAGTTCAGTTCAAATCGAGTCAAGTTGCAGAGATTGTATCTCGGTTACTGTATTGAACACACTGTTGAACATCTGACCGAAGGTGTGACCGGCGTAATGACTGTGGTGATGCCAGTGATGAGAGAGGATGTACGTACCAGCCTTGTGCCCAGCACCAGTTTACATGTCATAATGGCCGCTGTGTCTCACAGCTGTGGGTCTGTGACGGGGACAATGACTGTGGAGATGAATCCGATGAGTTAGAGCACATGTGTCAGACCGCTGAGCCAACGTGCCCTCCCCAACAATTCAAATGTGACAATGGAAACTGCATTGAAAATGTCAAGGTCTGCAACCGAGTTAACGATTGCTCTGATAACAGCGATGAGAAAACGTGTGGTAGGTACTTACTTTGAAGGAGACCTTCTCCCTGGCAACAACAGCAACTTGCATTTATACAGTGCCCTTCATGTGGGGTAGTGTCCCTGAGCGCTTGACTGTGGCGGAGTCTGACACTGAGCCCGGGGGGAGAGGGAGGGGGGAGGTGACCGGAAACATGGTCAAAAAGGAAGGTCTTCAGGTGGGATTTGAAGGTGGGGAGGGAGGGGGCGAGGTACAGGGATTGAGGGAGAGTTTCAGGACGTAGTGGCTGAAAGCATGGAAAATCAGAAATCCAATTAACTTCAGTTGGTAAAAAGAATGTATCTCCGGTATTTATAGAAGATTAACTGTAACGTTTGAAATCGTTTTGCCTATTGTCTCTTTGCAATCAAAATCAAAGCAAATCGTAACCGAAATGAACCAAATCTAGTGGGAAAACCAATTGAATGGTAGAATTCTCTTAACGTTTTTTTTTCCCTGTTGTGTGGCTTTAGGGATTGATGAATGCAGTGCTCCAGCCCTCAACCACTGCAACCAAATCTGCACCAATACATTGACGAGCTTCATTTGCTCCTGTCATCCTGGCTATCAACTCATGGCTGACAGACAGACTTGTGAGGACATTGATGAGTGCAGTGTCATGCCGAGTGTTTGCAGCCAGATATGTGAGAACACAGAGGGCTCGCACGTCTGCAAGTGTGCTCCAGGGTACATTCGGGAACCCGATGGCAAAACCTGTCGGCAAAACAGCAATATCGAGCCTTACCTCCTCTTCTGTAACCGTTATTACATCCGGAACCTGTCTGCTGACGGGGCACTCTACTCACTGGTTGTCCAAGGGCTCACCAATGTGGTGGCCCTGGATTTCGACAGAGTTGAGCAAAGATTGTACTGGATTGACTTTGGCCGAAGAATTCTTGAGCGAATGTTCTTGAACGGGACTCAAAAGGAAACCGTTATCAACCATGATCTGTTAGGGGCTGAGAGTCTGGCTGTTGACTGGGTTGCAAGGTAAGATAAGGCCATCGAGAGAGCAAGGTACATGACCGACAGGCAGGCTTCCCACACTAAACAAAGGCCAACTTCTGTGTTGTCCCTTCGTTGCTGATCTCACTCAGCAGTGATCCGATGACCAGAAGTTGGCCATTCTCAGCTATTGGACCCAGAGGACTATGATATAAGAGGTTACCCTGTATAAAATAATTCAGTCTGTTCGTCTTTTCTCTTATGAGCGAAGTCATGGATATGTTCTAGAATTTTAGACAATGTTAAACACTATTAGATTTTAGATGATATCTTTTAAGATGTTGAATTCTTTAATGCTCTTGCTTGTTTCTTCCCCTCCCCACCCACCCGTAAGAAAGCTAGAAAGGCGACTCTTATAAACACAGACGTTGCTGGGAACTTGCAGCAGATCAAGCAGCATTCATGGAGAGAGGAAATGAGTTAACATTTCAGGTCATTGACCTTTTGTCAGAACTCATGCCAACTCTTGTTCATTACTATCTAAATAAACACGCTTAAAAAGGGAATGTGAACAGCTGGTATTTTACTGGTAGAAATATGTCTATTGGACTGAGTAGTGCATGTAATTGCTTTCACAATACCTCTGAGTTTAATTGTATTTTTCAGGAAACTATACTGGGTTGATAATGTCAAAAAGTGCCTCAATGTTGGTGAATTGGATGGTCGTCTACGGAAAAGGCTGATTGACCATTGTATTGATGCCAACAATACCTACTGCTTTACTTATCCTCGAGGCATTGTTGTTCATCCTAAGTATGGGTAAGAGACTGTGTTCAGCATTAACCGTAGCACCTTTGGTGATGTGCGACTATAATGGGAAATCCAAAGATGCAGGCAATGCGAGGAAGACTAAACCCAGAAGATGAAAAGGAATCTGCTTTTAAACCCTACATGTACCCAATTTGACCGTGCTTTAAAAGAGTCCGCAGAAATTGTTTGTACGAACCATGAGTAGAATTATTGATGTTTCTGTTCACTCAGTCACAGGAAACAATCCATTATAAGCTTCGAAAAGAATGCCTCAGGACAAAACTGATCCTGCTAGTGGCTAGAACATCACTGGATTTGTGTTGCAAAAAAAACCTTGTTAAACTGTTAAGGTGATAGAACTTGGTCATAAATTACATCAATCTTCGTATTTGATACAGCGCCTTATCACATCGTTGAGATGTCCAGTGCCTTGGGACGTCCTCGTGATGTGAAAGGCGCTATACAAATATAATTTGTGGTTGTTCAGATGTCTCAAAGCGCTCCATGTAACATATTGTAAAGTGGATTGACTGGATATTTTATGGACAAAACATTCTGTGGTCATCCACCATACTGACCATTTTACACAATGGAGTTTAATTTCCATGGCTCCTTCACGGTGTTTGTTTTACAGGTATGTTTTCTGGGCCGACTGGGGTACCCAGGCGTATATTGGTCGAGCAGGCATGGATGGCAACCACAAGTTAGCCATTATTACCACAAAATTGGAATGGCCAGGGGGCCTGACCATCGACTACACGAACGACAAGCTCTATTGGTGTGATGCTCACCTGAACTACATTGAGTAAGTAATTCATCGTCGGAAATTTTAAGTGTTCAAAATTAAATGCATGCTAATCTGTTTGAATCCAATTTTATTGTAAACAGCTTTATTTTCTAAGGGTATAGTTGAGCAGCCAAGAATATTATAGGAATATAATTTTCTTAGCCTCTTTATATTTTATTGCTGATACTTTTAATCGTTTTCCGCTACAAGGTTAAGGACCGCTAGCTTGCTACATGGAGTCCTGTAGCTCAGTGGTTAGAGCAATCGCTTTGCAAGTGAGAGACCTGAGTTCAATTCCAGGCAGAGGGCGAAACCTTGGGCAAGTTTCCTTACTCCACACAGAGCCTAATAATAATCCCTCCTAAAACCCAAAACAATAATAAATTGGTCATTTTCAATCAACGACTGTTTGTGGGACATTGCTGTGCGCAATTGGCTGCCGCGTTCGCCCACAAATATACAGTCAATTCACTTTACAGTGTGTTCTGTGAAGCGCTTTGGGACGTCCTCCCGACGTGAAAAGCGCTATATCAAATGCAAGGATTATTATTATTATATTACATCTCCAGATGTCGTAAATAAGGACACGAGCAACTGTAATGAAGAAGAACTGAGTTGAGTTCAGATACCAATCATTGTGGACTTGAATCAAAAAATGAACGTCTCATCTTTTGTAGGTTTTCCGATTTGGACGGAAATCATCGTCACTCTGTGTTTGATGGAACCCTGGCACATCCGTTTGCCATTACCCTGTTTGAGGATACAATTTACTGGACAGACTGGAACACCAGATCAGTTGAGAAAGCAAACAAATACACTGGGGAGGGCCAGATGTTGTTGGTGAACATCACCCATAGGCCCTTTGATATCCATGTCTACCATCCCTACAGGCAACCGATAGGCAAGTAGCCAACTTGTCAAACTGACCTGAAATTAGGTATTTTTTTTGGCATGGTATTTGCTGCACAAGCATTTCAACGTTGGAATCACTTTATTTGTTGAAAAGCAATGTACTCAGTATCGAATAGGATTTGCCCTGTTTACGTTAATGTATGATAAGTAAATATGACCCCAATGAAAGATGCCAATTTTATTAAGGCTGTCAAAATTTAGGCAATGTGCCATAGCAACTGGGTAAAGTATATTTAACCCATTGCTGACCAAACACAGCTGTTAAACTGCCTTATCAGTCTCTACGATTCTCCTCCTAGCTCGGGAAAAACTTGCATAACTTATAGTGATATGTGAGAAGAAGCAGCTAAGGAGGAAAACAAATCACTCTAAAGGGAAGATCAGTAAGAAATACTGCACTGCTGTTGGCAACACTGCAAATGTTGAGACTGCTTTGAGCACATATCCATCTTACAGTATGCATCGTTATAACTGATTATCTTATAACATGGTATTACTTCTCTCCCATTATTTGCTTCGTCCACTGAAATACATCCCAGGTCTCACCAACTTCTCTCCCTTTTCTCCCAGTGACCAATCCCTGTGGTGTAAACAATGGTGGCTGCTCTCACCTGTGTTTGATCGCATCAGGTGGACAGAGCTACACGTGTGAATGTCCTGATCATTTCCTGCTACTGACAGTCGGCAATACTGCTCAATGCTTTCACAATTGTCTGAGTACTCATTATAGGTGCCTGGACAATGAGAGGTACAGTATTCTGTTCTATGCTGTTTTTATGCTCTGAAATTACATGGGATATCAAAAAACTCCTTTCTACCCTGACTCTTCATAAGAGTAACTGAGCTTCACACTAAACTTTGTGACCCGATCACCCCATCCTCACCCAGCTTCATTGGCTCCCCATCGCCCCAGAGGATTGGGTTCAAGATCCTTGTCCTCCTCTTTAAAGCTCTCCATGGTCTTGCTCCACCATACCTCTGCAACCTATTAAAACTTCACCACCACTCCCTCCGTTCTGCAGGCCCCCGCTTGCTCCACTATTCAGCCCCTCTTCCTCGCCTCCTCCCTTGCTTCCTTCAAGGACTGTCTCAAAACTTTCCTTTCCGACTGTACCTTCGGTCATCTTCCCTCCTCCACCCCTCTCTGATCCCATTCCACAGCTCAGCTACAAACCCACACTGTCCGGCACCTCGGGAAGTCCTCCTGACGTGAAATGTGCTGTACAAGTGCAATTTTGTTGTGTTGTTGTTGAGTTGTGCTGTTAATTGTGTGACTGTATCACGCAGAGATTGAAAGTTCCTGCCATTGTAATAGTTATGTCTCTCTGGTACGCAATGCAGATGTATTCCGATCTGGTGGAAGTGTGACGGGCAGAGAGACTGCAGGGATGGCTCGGATGAACCTGCTACTTGTCCCGTCCGCTTTTGTAGAGTTGGACAATTCCAATGTAATGATGGTAACTGCACCAGCTCCAACTTCTTGTGTGATGCTTTCGAGAATTGCCCAGATGGCTCTGATGAAGACACCGTGCTTTGTGGTGAGTATCTCTTATTTTTAACTATCGAGCTGCTGTTAACTGTCCACTTTGATTTCGACTTTAGTGTAAATTACTGAGCGTGGAATGTACCATTAATTTTTTTAGCTTGGAGCAGGAAATGTTTCCAGAATGGGCTAAATTTAAACCCGATATGGATATCTTAGAACTTTGGATTCGAATTCAAAGATTCTCGGTAGTATTTGAGCTACAGTATCGCCTTCATGTGTTGGTTTGCAAAGATGCTCCTAAATGTCAGTTCAATGGCTGAATGAAATTTCAATTTAACAGCACTGCTTTTACTGCTACATAGATTTCTTGGCTTTTAGAACATAAAAACATAAGAATTTGCTGCCGAAAGAAGGTCCATCTAGTTCGCCTTCCACCAGCCTGGCAGTCGCTTGGCATGTCGTGTCCCATATATTTGATGGGTTGCTGGAACATAAATTGTAATATCTTGTCTTTTCCATACCTGCCTCAATTCCCTGTGATGTGAAGACACGCACGAGTGTGAGAGCTACCAATGGCAATGTGCCAACAAGCGCTGTATCCCCGAGGCCTGGCAGTGCGATGGAGACAACGACTGTCTAGATGGTTCTGATGAGGCCCCAGGTCACTGTGCTTCTCGGAGCTGTTCTCCTGGACAGTTCAAGTGCGACAATGGACGGTGCATCCCACAGGCGTGGAAATGTGATGTGGACAACGATTGTGGAGATAACTCTGATGAACCTCATGATGAATGCAGTGAGTGTGGCTTGAAGGAACATGCAACCCCTCCACAACTAGACCTTAACTTCATGATTAGGTCCAGAAAGATAGTTACCATTTCCTTTACCACAACAACAACAAATGACATTTACAGAGCGCCTTTCATGTCAGGAGGATGTCCCAAGACGCTGGACAGACAGGGATTTGGACCCGAGCTGGGATTTGGGATCAGAAGGGGTGGAGGGTAGCGAGCGTAGGGCTAGGAGGTATGATGGAAGAGGAGGGTCTTGAGATGTGCCTTGAAGGAGACAAGGGAGGAGTCAAAGAGAATGTGGGACGGAGTTCCAAAGAGTGGGGGCAGAGAGGCTAAAGGCCAGACCACCGCTGGCCAGGCAGGGGACATGGAGCAGGCCAGAGCCTACTGAGTGAAGGGAGCAGACAAGTTGATATGGAGTTGTCATTTCTCTTCGCAGTGGGACCGGACTACCGCTGTGATAACCACACCGAGTTTTCCTGCAAAACAAACTACCGCTGTATTCCTATGTGGGCTGTGTGCAACGGTCACGATAATTGCCGAGACAACAGTGATGAACAAAACTGTGGTAAGTGAGAAAATAAGCTGTTGGTAATAACCCTTGCAATATAGTGCATCACGTTTAAAAAAAAAAACAATCCAAACAAACAAAAAAAACCTTGTGTAATTGTGAAAGTGAAGCTGTGAAGTATAATATCATTTAACCAGATTATTTGAACGTTAAGATCAATTTGCTGGGTATCACTGATGTAATACGTGCACAAATTCTGAAGGGAAGGACTTTGATGTAATTGGTGTGTTTCTGTTCATTTTACAGAGGAACGTACTTGTAATCCGTCAGGTGATTTCCGATGTGATAATCACCAGTGTATCCCTCTCCGCTGGAGGTGTGACAGAGAAGTGGACTGTCAAGATGGGTCTGATGAGCAAAACTGCAGTATGTAGTGAAGCCTCATTCATTCAGTAGTGTATCAAGCTACAACACTGAGCTCTCACATTGACACTGTCCTGTGGGTAGTAAGCAAGGTCTCCTTGGAGCTGCACAGGCGCCAATGTTTCATGCTTGGCAGCCAAGTGTTGGAATTACGCCAATCCTCTTTGTGGTCTCGGGAGTGCAGGAAGATCCGGAATATTCCACGGCACTGCTGATGGTAGACCAGCCAGCCTGTCACATGGCAATAACTTGGAGGGGCAGACAAGAGCAGCAAGGATTCTTGCCACTCAGCTCCTATTAAACCTGCAGCCTAAAGGGTAGGGTTAGGGCGAGCTAGTTGGGCTAGCAATGCGTAAGTTTGCCAGGCAGTGCTCTCAATGGCAAGCTGTGTAGTTTTAGCTGGTTAGCCTCCAGCAGTTACCCCAACCCACACTCTGGGCTCCCGCCAAGCTTTGCCTTTTGCCAGCCCAATACTCTCCAGAATTAGGTGATCAGGGCGCATCCCTCCAGAAAGAGAGTGTTCCTTCCATTCCAGACGCGGGTATTTCCATGTGTAGGTGGCATACATATGTGGTACTCTGTCTGGCTTCGATAGTCTTGAACACGGTGACGGGTTTCCACATTTGTCAGACACTGACTGACCACAAAAACAAATGTACACATCGTCATTGCTTGAAGATAGATCACTTTTTATTTGGTTACTGATTTGGCAAGTTGTTTCTAAAATGTTGTTAGCACTGTCCTGTAAATGGTTTGGTAAAAGTACAATGTATGGTATTTTTTAGTATATGTTATGCAAGCCCATCTCACATGGGACAGTACAATCTTTAGATGACTCACTGTGATTAACACAGAGCATTGACAGAAAGAATACTTGGAGTAATGCTCCTTTCTCGCTTACTTACCTTCATTGCTTGACATATCCAGAGCTGAACAGTTCTGTTATGGAATGAGTTCTTCACTTCGTTAATCCACTCTGAAAGCTGTGATGGTGTATTTCAGGCCCGCGGGAGTGCACAGAGAGTGAGTTTCGCTGTGACAATCTGCGCTGTATCCCTGGCCGCTGGGTGTGTGACCATGATAATGATTGTGAAGATCACTCTGACGAACGAGACTGTGGTAAGTTCAGAAATAGAACACCTAGATTCAGGAAGTGTACGCTTTCAGTCATTCAAATTGGCTGCCACGTTTCATCCACAAAATACACAGTCAACTCATTTTACAGTATAGTCTGTGAAGCTCTTTGAGACGTCTCGAAGACGTGATAAGGCGCTGTATCAAGTGCAAGGATTATTATTGTTATTATCATTATTAGCCCCGAAAAGCACATGGAGCTTTTAGAGCTTTTAAACATTTTGAAAGAATGTGCGTTGACAATGAGCATGTAGTATAGAGTGATGTTACAACGATAGATAGATCTGTCGAAATGGAAAAGTGTAGGCACTTACTCATGTAGGTACAGTCCTCAACATAGCCACATAATGCCCTGACATCTCAAAGGAAACACGTCAATAAGTCTTATAGACAGCTGTGCAAAGGTATTGATGCACTTGCAGTTAAAGCACGACATGAGGCCACACACTGGCTTTATCGTCAAAACTTGGAAGAATGCAGGACGTGAATTAGATATGTATTAGATATTAGATATGTAATGCACAATATTAATGAGATATGTGTATTAGAGATGTAATAGCCTCACGTTGCTCCCTGCGGCTAACTGACCCACGGATATCGCTGTGCTTGTTTCAGAGCTGCTGACCTGCCTTCCCGACTACTTTGAGTGTAATAGTGGTCACTGTGTCCCAGAGAGGTTCAAATGTGATGGCAATCCCGACTGTTTGGACTATTCCGATGAAAGCACCTGCCGTGAGTGTCTCTCTGCCCCACCCCCCGCCCCGCCCCAAAACAATCTGCTTACAGAAAATGTGGGATAAAGTAGCGACCGGCTTCGCTCTGGGTATCATCTCTTAATAAAGCGCAAACGTACCACCAGATTATGCAGAATGGCAATGTTTGCCAATATACTCAAAAACCACTTCAAAGATAAATAATATTAATTTGGTCACTCAGTCCACGACTGTTTGTGGGACAGACGCTGCTGTGCGCAATTGGCTGCCGCGTTCCGCCCACAAAATGTACAGTCAATTCACTTTGCAGTTTATCCTGTGAAGCGCTTTTGAGATGTTTCGAAGACCTGTATCAAATGCGAGGATTATTATTATTTATTCTTGTACTCTTACTAACTTTATCAACGGCATTGATCTCAACCAGAGTGCACTAACTAAGTCACTTCCTGCCTTAGCTGTGACTTTAAGAAGCAGACATCCCATAGTTCACTTCCACCATATAATTATGTGCTTGACATTTCGAAAGTGAAAAATCGCAGCTCCATAACTTTCCACTTCTCTATTTCTACAGCAACTCGTTACCCCAACGGCACCTACTGTCCCCCTTTCCTGTTTGAGTGCCACAATCACGTGTGTGTCCTGCCAAAGTGGAGATGTGACGGAGACGATGACTGTGGGGATGGGTCTGATGAGGAGCTCCACCTTTGCTGTAAGCCACTTCATTCATCACATGACATTCAGGTTTACAGGCAATCTGTTTAGCAACAGAATTAAAACCTTAAGAAACAAAAACGGAAGCCGCTGGGAGCGCTCAGCAGGTCAGGCAGCATCTATGGAGAGAGGAAATTGCTTCCGAAGAAACGTCATCGACCTGAAACGTTAACTCGTTTTCCTTTCTTCCGTAGATGCTGCTGACCTGCTGCCTGTTCCAGCCACTTCTGTTTTTATTTCAGATTTCCAACGTCATTGCAGTATTTTGTCGTTTGTTTAAAATCTGAAGATACCGGGTTTCCTTTGAGCGTTTAGATTTAGGTTTCTTGGGTCATCAAATCTAGGAGCATTCATTGAAACATGCTGAATATTCTCAGTGAGCTGGGTTTCAAATGTCTTTTTTTTGTAGTGGAAATCTCATGCGATGCTGCTTTCCGTTTCCGCTGTGACAACAATCGTTGTGTGTACAGCCACGAGCTGTGCAATGGCATAGATGACTGTGGAGATGAAAGTGATGAAAAGGAAGAACACTGTAAGTCTCACTGCGTGCTCTCTTTCTCTCTCTCTCCCCCTGTCTCTTTCATAGCCTATGATGAATAGCCATTTTCCTGAACCTCTCGAACGATATTTAACCATTTATTTTGTGATTAGGTCAACCGCCTACTCACGGCCCCTGCACAACAGAGCAATATAAATGTGGCAACGGCTACTGCATTCCCCTGGCTTATGTGTGTGACAATTATGGTGATTGCCCTGATCAATCAGACGAGTTCGGCTGCTGTAAGTATTCACATCTGCATTTTATACCCAGACCTTTATGTACAAATGTACATGTACCCAGTCATTGTGTGCCAGCTCCCCCTGCTCACATGACCAATTTCCCAATCAATTGGCTGCCGCGTTTCGCTCGCAATATACACAATCAATTCACTTTACAGTATATTCTGTCAAGCGCGTTGAGACGTGATAAGGTGCTGTAGCAAATGCAAGGATTATTGCTATTATTTTAACATCTGCATTTTGAAACCAAGCTAACAAGCGGGCACATTATCGCCGGGTTCAGCTGGGTATTACACCAGCTCCTATTCAGCACTAATTGTTATTTATCAACACTATACCTTTAAAATTTGGTGTGGTCAGCAGTGATTTCAGTTTGCTGCTCGATCATGTCACTGGGGGAGCTCTACTACCTCAGCATAAATGGAGGGCTTGCAGCAATACTACTCGGTAGATAAAGGTGGAGATTTGGCTTGTAGCCATACACAGGCAATTCAGAAGCAGAGCGACTGTGAGGAAGAAATCTTAACTGAGTTTCCCCCTGTCCAGTTTTGGCTGTTGAGACCGGCATCTCAACAACAACAACTTGCATTTATATAGCAGCCTTCATGCAGGGTAGCATCCCAGAGCGCTTAACATTGGTGGTGCATAAGAGATTCCATCTGGGTCCTTGAGTCTATAGGTGTCGAAAGAATTTTTTTCTTCTCATAATATTTCCCCCTCAAGCTATTGGCTCATGTTAAGGCTCAGCCTTCAAGGTGCGGTCATGTTTATAATAATAATATAATAATCCTTGCATTTGACATAGCGCTTTTCACATCTTCTCGACATCTCAATGTTTGCCTCATGTTTGCCTCCTGGCAGTGACTTCACTGAACGATAATTTTGCAATCTTTCAATTTCTCATCAGTTAAGGACAAGGCAGCCTAACCTGTCTTGATTCAATCTCGAAGTGTTCATATTTTGAGTTCTGTTCCTGTTACGATGAGTTTATCTTTGCATGGATCATACCTTGCTAATGATTAACATCTTCAGTGACTCTGTGGCACAAACAATGTCTTGAAGCAATAAAGTGAAACAAGTATGTCTCGAAACAATATGGTGATAGTAACTTATTGTTGCCTTAGTCTATGGTACCACACGATCCTGTGCAGAAAACCTTTGTGAACACAATTGTACAGACCTGCCCAAGGGAGGGTTCATCTGCTTCTGTCGATCTGGCTACAAACCAAGTGAAGTGGACAGGAACAACTGCGATGGTAAGTGTCTCCAATATCCTCATGTTCACACATGACAAATGTCAAATATTGATGGATTGTTTGAGTCTCAAAATGCATGTTACATTTAACAAGAACAATATATCAATCGTAAGAACTTTAGAACATAAGAATTTCCTGGGGAAAGAAGACCAAGGTCCGTGTAGTTGGCCTTCCACCATCGTGGCAGTTGCTTAACATGCCATGTCCCAAACTATATACTGTATCCCCAGATATTATTTTCTAGCAGAAATCTATCTCATTTGTTATTGAAACAAATGACATTTTCTACTTCCATCTTCTGGCTCCCTAGTGAGTCTGTTCGATAAGTTTATGACTCGCCGACTGAAGTCTTTTTTGTTTCTTCAATCAAAGCTGAACTGTACTAACAAAACTGTGTTAGTGAGCATTATGGTCAATTATACATTTGGTGTAGAATGGTGAAGTCTTGTTGTCCTCAAGGTACATAATGGCCTCAAGGAATGTATGAATAATTACTAGGGTCAGTCATTTCATATGGCACCACACTTCGCTATCGTGTTAAGAGCTATGGGTCATACAGGCGTCAATGGTGGGTGTTGAACTTCCAACGATGAAATCTTTGCCTTTAAACATCTAACTCACTGTATTTTGTTGCTCATTGCTTAGACATCAACGAGTGTGAGATCTTCAGCTCCTGCCCTCAAGATTGCAAGAACAGTAAAGGGAGCTACGAGTGTTTCTGCGCTGAGGGATTCCGCTCTGTTGGTGAGGAGCACGGCACTCAATGTGTAGCCAACGGTAAGTATGTATTTTCGTGTCACTTACAATGCAAGCTCATCGGATCAAAGGCAGCTTAAGCCATCAGCATAGCATCTCAGAGTGGATTTACGTTTCACCCACAAAATATACAGTCAATTCACTTTCCAGTTATATATCTGTGAAGCGCTTTGAGACATCTCAACGACATGATGAGGTGCTATATCAAAAGTAAGGATTGTTTTTATATAGTAACCAGATTCTGCTGCTACACACTGAATCAAATCTTATTTTTCAGCTACCCTATTATCTAAAAACTATCAGGATTTCTTTAAGACATTGTAATGGTATTGTGATTTTTTGCGTCACCCTGTAAATGTGTAAAATGGTGAAATGTTCAACGAAATGTCCAATATATAATATATTCTGTAAAAGCAGATTTTTTTTTTTAAGAAGGCATTTCAGTGCAATCGATTTTAGATTTCCTGGTCAATACAACCGCTGAATACTCTCAAGTGGGAAACACAAACTGACTATGAGTAAATGCATGGCCCGTGCTTTGGTTTACTGTGACTTCATGTGAGTCATTATAGTACGAGTGATAGTAATTGCTTCTATTGTAGGGAATCCACCCATCTTGCTTCTGCCAGATAACATCCGAATCCGGAGATACAGCCTCTCCTCTGAACGCTTCACTGACTATGTACAGAACGAGGAGCACATCAAGGCTGTGGGCTATATCTGGGAACCAGAACAACCAGACCTCAGTATGTAAACCTGTAACAACTAATCTCTCTGTTTAGTGGTTGGAGAATAGTGTTTGATATGTTTGATATCCTATGTTTAGTTAGTCTCCTATAAATTGAAATAAAATCGTGGAGTCCTGTAGCTTCCTGTAGTTAGAGTGCTCAAAATACCACGGAAATGGCTGAGAACAAAAGAATATCTTTTCGTTTTCCTCTTACCTGGTCCTGTTTCACATGTTATGGGAAACTGCTGCAGTTGTGGTGCTGACAGATTGGAGTAAAATTGTGTCTCTCTGACCCACCAGTACGGTCGATGGCCAAATAAAATCCTGTCAGGATGAGAAAAATACTGAAATTGTTCAAAGCCTATTGAATAACTTCATTCTATTCAGCCACAGACCAGTGATCATGGAGTCCTGCAGCTCAGTGTTTAGAGAGGACCTGGGTTTGATTCCTGGGAAGAGCGAAATATTGTGCAAGTTTCCTTAGTCTCCATATGCCTCTGGTTACCTGGCAGTAAGTAGGAACCCGGTTGCTAGTCGATTGGCAGATCGCTTTTCCAGGGCTAATAATTCTTTCAAAACAAAATAATAGTAGTAATAATTTGGTTACTCAATCCATGATTGTTTGTGGGACGTTGCTGTGGGCAATTGGCTGCCGTATTTCGCCCACAAAATACACAGTTGATTCACTTTGCAGCGTATCCTGTGAAACACTTTGAGACGTCTCGAAGACGTGATAAGGCGCTGTATCAAATACAAGGATTATTATCATTATTAAGCAATACAAGCACAGGAGGAATAACACCTGTTAAGTAACCAGTGTGTCCTTCCTGTAGGTATTGTTTACTGGACTGTCCTGGGACGTGGCTCAGACCATGGTGCTATAAAACGAGCTCACCTTACTACATTTGATGACAATGGAAACAACCCAATTACAGCAGTAGATCTAGAGCTGAAATATATAGTGTCACCTGATGGCATTGCAGTGGACTGGGTTGGAAGGTAAGGAACAATGAGTGATATCGTTGAGATATGTGAGAATCAATCTTAACAGAATAATTTATGAGAAAATTATATCCTTCTGGTATTACTAAAAATATCTTGTTCATATTACATCTTTGCCTTTCAATGATTTGACTATCCAGAAGTTATTTTACGAAAGTTTTTTTTTTACAAATGGCTTTTACAACCACGCTGGTTAATCCGAAAAAGGACCGTGTAGCAAGCAAAATACTCAAAAGAAGAGAACTTAAAGCGATGCTTTAAATTTAAATGTTTTCCCAATTTGGAAAAACTGACCTAAATCCGCATTTATATGGAGAATAAATACAGCAGAAAGAATCAAGAAGTGTAAAGTTTACATGTGCTCTTTTTATTTTATTCAGTGAACCTCACTGGAGCAGAGAAAAGTTAAAAGTTAAAGAGCAGAAAAGTCTTTATACTAACATATTTCAGTCAATTCCAGTGTCACATTGCAGCCTCGTTAATCAGAATGTTTATAGGTAATTCCACTTGTTTTTCAAGACATATTTATTGGACTGATGCCACCACAAACAGAATTGAAGTGGCTAAGTTGGATGGGAGATATAGGAAATGGTTGATTTCCTCCCAACTCGACCAGCCAGCTGCTATTGCTGTCAATCCTAAACTTGGGTAAGTCAATTCTCATTAGCTCTGGAAATTTGGAATTATTTTACAGTTAAATTTCACTCCATACCCTGTAGGGACTATAGGTAAATATTTTTCTGCCATTTTATAGAAGGTGTTTAAACTTTAATCCATTGTTTCTATGAAGTACAAGCACCTTTTCTGCATGGAAATAGGATTGTAGTAAACTCCTTCAACAAAACCATATTTGAAGGGCAGCATCCCATTATATTTCAATGAATGAAACTACTCACGTAAAAACAAAAATACATTCCCTTCTGGCACAGGTAGCAAGAATATCATGTAATTTAGATTGTTAGTCAATTGGAGAATTGCTTTTCAGGGGTAATAATCCCTAAAAATGAATAAATAAATAAACAAATCAAAAAAATAATAATTTGGTCACTCAATCCACGACTGTTTGTGGGACAGACGCTGCTGTCTGCAATTAGCTGCCATGTTTCACCCACAAAATACACAGTCAATTCACTTTACAGTGTATCCTGTGGCAGTCCAAGGATTATTATTATCTTTGTATAAGTGGTTAAGCATTTCTTTCTCTTGAGTGGCTGTCAGATATAGAATGTGTTTTGCTTTAATATTTAGAATCTGGCTAATCCAATTTGCGTGTTCTGCTTTTAACCCTCATTTCAGCCTGTTGTACTGGGCCGACTGGGGCCGAATGGCCAAGATAGAGATGGCCTGGATGGATGGACAGCATCGTCAAGTACTGGTGGACAGTGATCTGGGCTGGCCAACGGGCCTTACCATCGATTACCTGAATGGTGACAGAGTCTACTGGTGCGATTCCAAAGAGAACCTCATTGAGTCCATGCAACATGATGGCACTGACCGCAAGCTGGTCATTATTGGAGGTGAGGTCTGCCCTACCTGGCGACCATTCTGTTATGGTTTCAGCAGTTACAGTAAAAATAAATGGTTCAGAAGCTTCAGTAACTAATTACAATGTTTTGTTTTAATGCAAAGTTTGGCTAAAAGAAATAACCTCAGGTAAAGGTATGCGACACCCCAACCCAGAATCCTAATTTGCATTACAAATAATCCTTGCATTTGATATAACTACTATGTTTATCAAGAAATAAAAAGCAAAATAATCGGCCTTACAAAAAATGAACATGATCCTTCTATTTCCAGGAGCGCAGTCGATGTTAAAAAGCTTCTATTTGTCTCCGTGTGTGTTTGTTTTATCAGATCTGGGTAACCCTTATAGTCTGGATGTCTTTGAGAATCACTTGTACTGGACATCAAAGGAGAGGGGGGAAGTGTGGAAACAGAACAAATTTGGAAATGGGCGCAAGGTGAAAATAATGACTGTCAATCCATGGCTCACTCAAGTGCTCGTCTACCAACAGAACCGGTACAACCTTTCAGGTACAGGCTTCCATCTAAGACCCAACATAATCACAACTCAAGGTTGGGGTGGGGGGGTCTAACCTTTTGGCTGCTGAGGGCCAGATGCCCCATTTGAGAAACGTCCGTGAGCCACATTAGCAATATTTTTGTGTTTCCCTTTCCAGAGAAACATAACATTTACGGGTTATGGACGCAGTGGGTGGGACCAGATGAAATGGAAGGGTGGGGAAGAGATGGGGGAGGGGGAGGGAATGAAATCACCCTGACAAAACTGATAATTGATTTCAATGGACTTTTAAAACTGGATGCTAGTTGATGTGTTATTCTTTTGCTAGTGCCTAACCCTTGCCAGGATGTCTGCAGTCACCTATGTTTGCTAAACCCCGGAGGCTATACATGTACTTGCCCTCAGGGCAGCCAGTTTTTTCCAGGCTCCAGTTCTGAATGTGATGCAGGTATGTAAGGTTTAAGCAATCACATTACTTGATTGGTGGACTCAATGCTTTGATGCAGTTTAGCTAGAATAAAATAAAGTTCACAGTCAATGTATTTACACTCAATTTTCCAGTTTAAAAAAAATCGATTTAGACAAATTTCAATTGTTTTTTTAATGTGTTAAATAAAATGGCGTTTTCATCAAATGTCCAATTTGTTTTATTCTGTGGGATCCTTGGCTGTAAACCTCAGATAACTGAGATATCTATATATAATTTATATTCTATCATAATATATTAAGTTACTTTGTAAACCTTTCTCTCCTCAGCCATTGAGGTAAGGAAAGCCATGCCTCCTGCCTGCCAGTGTAGGAACGGAGGAACATGCTACATTGATAAGGACGTGGCAAAGTGCACGTAAGTTCCAGATCATAAAATTAGTTGCAAATAATCTGAAATTTAGTCTAATAATTTGAAATATGTCAAATTTAACGCACACTTATGTTGTAAATCCTTACAACAATGGCAAGGTGAACCAACAACCATGAGAGGAATAGCAAAGGAATGTGGTTCCCAATTTGTACCTGCAGTCTTGACCCAGCACCTTGGGACTTCCTCTCAATGTGTAAGGCGCTAAACAAATGTAATTTGTGGTTATTGTTGTGATTGTGAGGTAAAACTGCTGCCAGCTTGACATAAGACACATCTACAGTTTGTTGAAATGCGTGTGTTTTACTATTCACAACGAACAGACCAAGTAGAGTATTCTTGTTGTAGAATTTGAAATGTGCTGTTTTTTTGTGTCTGCCCACTGCAGGTGCCCTCATGGCTATTCTGGCATTTATTGCCAAATTGGAAAGACTAGCCAATTACACCAAACAACAGGTACATGGCGGCATTCACCCACAAAGTATACAGTCACTACACTTTATAGTATATCCTGTGGAGTCCTGTAGCTCAGTGGTTAGAGCACTCGCTTTGCAAGTGAGAGACCTGAGTTCAATTCCAGGCAGAGGGCCAAACCTCGGGCAAGTTTCCTTACTCCACACAGAGCCTAATAATAATCCCTCCAAAACCCAAAACAATAATAAAAAAACATTGGTCATTTTCAATCTACGACTGTTTGTGGGACATTGCTGTGCGCAATTGGCTGCCGCGTTCGCCCACAAATATACAGTCAATTCACTTTACAGTATATTCTCTGAAGCGCTTTGGGACGTCCTCCCGACGTGAAAAGCGCTATATCAAATGCAAGGATTATTATTATTATTAAGCGCTTTGAGATGCCTCGAATACCTGATAAGGCGATGTATCAAATGCAAGGATTATTATTACTTGAGAGTCACCATTCACTCAGCAATGTGTTAACACATTACAGTGTTTGCTTATTCCCAGTGTGGAGCCTGGCCTTAAACCTTGGGCTTATGTACACCTCCCAGCAGTGTGGCTTTTAGCCAGACCAATGACTTCATTGATATCAATGACTTCTTCAGAATTACCACATATCTTTTCTGTTACAAGGACATAGAAACATAGAAAGCTACCACTCAGAAGGAGGTCATTCGGCCTATCGTGCCTGCACTGACTCACAGAGCAAAGATATTGCTTCAATCCCACCACCACCCTGTCTAATTCCATATCCCTTTAAGCCCATCTGTTTCATATGCCTGTGTACTTCCCTCTTGAAGGCTACAATGAACTCTGCCCCCACCACCCTCATAGGACATTCCACACCCCAATTACTTGACACAATTTGAAGAACGGGAGGATGGTGTTTGACAACATTGCAGTGTGAAGGATCCTGTGAAGGATTTATATTTGTCTTTGTTTTTGCAGCAATAACAGTCTTAGTGACGCTCATTATCATTCTCATCGTGGGAGCACTTGCTGTTGGTGGATTCCTGAACTACAGACGAACAGGCTCAGTCTTGCCATCATTCCCTAAGCTCCCACGGTAGAGATGACAATAACATTCTTTATTAACACATAAACCCCAAGCAGGCTGTACATCAGCATGGACATTAATCACATAATGAACCTAATTTTTAACAAGTAACCAATAATCCCTTAAAAAAATAATAATTTGGTCTCTCATTCCACGACTGTTTGTGGGGACGCTGTTGTGCGCAAATGGCTGTCGCGTTTCACCCACAAAATATACAGTCAATTCGCTTTTCAGTATATTCTGTGAAGCGCTTTGATGTTATTTTGATAACAACAATAACAACTTGGATTTATATAGCGCCCTCCGCGCTGGGCGGCGCCTCGCGTCTGATGTACGGTGTGCGTTTCACACTGATAAGTCACAAAGTATTCATTGATTATTTCTCTCTTCTTGAAGCTTAAGCAATCTTGTTAAATCCAGTGGGAATGGAAATGGAGTAACATTTAGATCAGGAGCGGACACTGGGATGGAGAGCGGAGCTTCAGGAATTGAGATTGATTCTGCTATTGACCGAGTGATGCAGATGGTAAGATGTGAAACCTGCTCAGTTATTGCCAGCGTTCTGGAGGTACAATTGTTTAATAACAACAGCAACAACTTGCATTTACGCAGCACCCCTCACACAGGGTAGCGCCCCAGAGCGATTGATCATGATGGTGCATGACCCCGAGCTGGAGGTGACAGTAGGCACAGTCGAAGAGGAAGGTCTTCAGGCATGAGCTGAAGATGGGGAAGGAAGGGGCAAGGCGGGGGGATAGAGGGAGAGTTTTAATGGAATGTGCACTCACTGGAATGCATTGCCTGAAAGGCTGGTGGAAGTCAATTCAATAACAAGTTTTAAGAGAGAAGTAGATAATTATTTGGGGAGGACAAGTTTGCAGAGCTATGGGGAGAGAGCGGGGGAGTGGGGTTGATCAGGGCTATGGGGGGAGAGCGGGGGAGTGGGGTTGATCAGGGCTATGGGGAGAGAGCGGGGGAGTGGGGTTGATCAGGGCTATGGGGAGAGAGCGGGGGAGTGGAGTTGATCAGGTCTATGGGGAGAGAGCGGGGGAATGGGGTTGATCAGGGCTATGGGGAGAGAGCGGGGGAGTGGGGTTGCTCAGGGCTATGGGGAGAGCGGGGGAGTGGGGTTGATCAGGGCTATGGGGGGAGAGCGGGGGAGTGGGGTTGATCAGGGCTATGGGGGAGAGCGGGGGAGTGGGGTTGATCAGGGCTATGGGGAGAGAGCGGGGGAGTGGAGTTGATCAGGTCTATGGGGAGAGAGCGGGGGAATGGGGTTGATCAGGGCTATGGGGAGAGAGCGGGGGAGTGGGGTTGATCAGGGCTATGGGGAGAGAGGGGGGAGTGGGGTTGATCAGGGCTATGGGGAGAGGGGGAGTGGGATTGATTTGGAAGCTCTTTTCAAAGAGCCGACACACGCACGATAGGCCGAATGGCCTCCTTCTGTGCTGTATAATTCTATGGTTCTATGGGGCTCAGCATATGTGTGAAGTCCAATTCAATTCTCTTTCTTCAACAGAGTGAAGACTTTACGGCCAGGACTGGAAAGGAGCCGGTTACCTTTGAGAATCCCATGTTTGGAATGAAAGGTGCTGGTGAGCCGGCTGCAGTTCAGCAATCTGAGGTAAAGCAGTGAGGATAATAACTAGCATCTGGTTGGTCCATTCTAGAAGCATCAAGAATATAAGAATTGCTCAAAAGAATACCAAGGTCCATCCAGTTCGCCTTCCACCATCCTGGCAGTTGTGTTCCAAACTATACACTGAGCTCAGCTGGGGTTGTAACATTATATTTGAAGATTATGTTTTTTTTTCACTGTTGATCCAGGTTCCTTCAGCGTTTGGAGAGGAATCGCAGGGCAGTCAGGCTGACAATCCCAACTACATTTCTGTACCTGAATCCACCGTCAAACCGATGACAACTGTTCCACAAGCTCAGGTGAAAGCAAAGCTTAGACCAGCATAAGTGGTTTCTTTCTTTTATACAGTACACAGGGGAAGAGTGTCTATGTGCACAGAGTGTGTGTGTCAGCTTCCAATAACAGCAACAACAACTTGCAGTTATACAGCACTCCTCAAATGGGCAGCGTCTCAGGACACGTAACAGCAGTGTGGTTTGTCGGTGAGCTGGAACAAGAGGGGAGGTGACCGAACATATGGTCAAAGAGGTGTGATTTGAAGATAGGCAAAGAGGGGATTGAATAACGGCTCAAGCAAATTGCTGGAGTGTTCAAAGAATGTTATTTCTGCCCGACCTATCCCACATTCTTCTCGTGTCCTCTTTCACCTACTGGATCTGTCACTGTCATTGCCACTTTGTGCTTGGCTTATGAGCTGGAGAAAGACAAGGATGTTAGTTTAGCAGCCGTGTAATCGAATCTTGTATAAAGCTCAAGAAATTGTCATTTCATTTTTCCTTTCAGGAATCCAAGTGGAATTTCTTCAGACGAAAACTCAAACCAGGCACAAACTTTGAGAACCCAGTGTACAACGAGGTAATGGTTCATTTACAGGGTTTAATAGAGACACTTGTTAAGGATGAAGTCCTAAGAAAGAAGTCAATGATCTGCATCATCGACTAAACAAAATCAATTGAGAATCAAAAGTACCGTCTTTGATATTTCGATCACATTTGAGCAGTAGAATTGGAAATTTCTCATTGCAAACAAATTAGAATTCAATATTTAAGTTCAGTGCTTTTTTTAGCAAACGTATAGAATAAGTTTAAATTGAAGTTGATGGATGTGTGTCTTTAATCTACCTATTAGGAACATAAAGAGCAACAGGCAAACAGCCCATTTGAAGAAGCATCTTCCATACCTCCGTCCTCTGAATCACCTCCAAATAAGCCATCTTCCAGAAACAAGCCTTTAACATTCAGTGCAACAGAGAATACCTTCAAGGATACCGCCACTCTTGTTAAAGAGGATTCAGATGTATAATCCAGTTGCTATCCGGGGAAAAAGACAGACTTTCCTATACATTATACATTATATTTTTATATCAGCCAGTATATTTGGATATGTTAGAAATATTTAGCTACATGACACCCTTTTAAAACAATTAGCAGGGGCCCATTAGCTGTTGTAAAGGGTAGTCTGTCTGTCAGTCCCTTTGCCTTCAGTAATATTTCTTTTATGCCAACTCTTATCAATTTTTTTTGGAAGACTTTTTATTATGAGGCTCTATATGTATTTCTTTGCACTGGATTTGTGTAAGAGTATGAGACGTATAATGTTATAAATATGTTGTACATTTGTAAATTTTCAAGAGATTATGGTATTGTTAGTGTTGCCGAGGGTGAAAGGTGATTTATACTGAAGGTGGCAATGTGTGTCAACCTGACGATTGAGGTGAAACTACTGATTATGTTATAAAAAGTAACTAAATGTGGAAACTACTGAGCTAAAGATATCTTCGACAACACAATTTGATGAGGAAAAAAAAAGAGCATAAAGTGTAACTAAAATCAAGTGAGTTTGCTGCTGTTTTTGGATGTTAATTATTGGTAGACGGTGTAGCCTGTAAATAACCTCTCGGCCAAAGTATCCAACTTGGCCCTTTGACCGCAGATAGCTGAATGTCTAGAGAGGTAAAATCAATCCCACATAAATAAAGAATCTGTTTTGATAAGTTCCATGTGCTTATTGGGAGCCAGAGTGGTTTATGTCTGCTTCAATCTTAAATTAAGATTTCCAGAAATGTAACAATATTTTATATACTGTTAAATCGCTCCGTTCAGCAAACTGTTGAAAACAATGTTTTCTGCAATGTTAACAGGAAGCACCCTGAAAGGCGAGGCTAATCCACCAGACTATGCCATGCAGCCAACATTTAACATAAAAAATAATTAAAACACAAAATTTGAACAAAAATAAGTCGTGATCAGGTGAAACAGAGTTTGTTAAATCAGCGATTGCAAAAATGTTTTGGGTGTACAAAAATGTGATTCAATAGGAACTGAAGGAATAATGGTCTTATTTCCAGAATATGTTTACCTTCCTGCTGTAGGAATAGCTGGCGTTATCCAATGGCTTTCCTATTCAGTTCTGGTTTGTGCTAATCACAGGCAGAAACCAGAGTTGAGGAGCAAAGTAACTCTTGTTAAAAGTATATTTTTAAATTGATATCGTAAGGAACAATCTTTCTAATTATATAGGTGGGCTTTAATGTCTGATATCTGAATATGGAATACATAAATACCGCACGAGGGACAATTACAAGGACTGGGAATTTTAATTTCTAGTCACTTATCTTATTGTTGTTCCCTTCTCTGATGTTGACTGCATGTTATAAAGTAAATGTACTTAAAGACTGAGAAAAAGTGCCATCAGAAAGATGTTCCTGCCAAATATAGGTGACTGTTAATACAGGTATGTATATTACCTTACTTGATCAGGTTTAAAATTGCCAGACTCGAGGCAAGGTTTCCTATCCTGTCCTTCCTGCTCAATGAATAACTGCGATGACTGTTCATCTTCGTTTACTTCACACTGAAGTCCAATTTCAACTGGCATTTGTCCTACAAACAACCTAGACTAGCTGCCTAAATGTATAATTAGTTAAAGGCCTGCACACGTATTCAATGTTGATTGCACCTGATTGTAATTACAGTTTTTTATATAAATATATATTTCAAATCGTAAGGAATTTCCATGGAGCTTTTAGAATCCTGTGTGTATTAATTATGACAGATGTATTTTAATTAGGGTGGAAGTTTTATTGTACGTTGATTAGACAAAAAGAGATACTTCTTTCACTGGAACAAAAATCTGCTGCTGAACAAATCTAATAAATTTGGTTATTTTATCATGTTCTGTTGTTGCTTAATTGTCTTGAACAATTGAACTGGTATCTATTTTCCTTCAGACCCTCATCTTCAACCACGTCTTCAGCCACCCTCTATCCCTACCCCCCCTGATCGCAACCCCCAGATCGGGTCCAACTCCCTGACTGTCCAGTGCCTTGGGACGTCCTCTTGACATGAAAGGCGCTGTGTAAACGTCATTTTGTATTGTATTCAATCTGTTTTACAGATACAATATGAAGGCTTTAAATGCACACAAATAGTGCTCTATCAGTGTATATCAGGTTCTCTTAGCTATTTGGGATTTCTAGTCTGCTTTTAGCTCTTGTCCAGAAATAATGGGCAAATAATCTCTTTAAATAAATGCATGCAATAATAATGAAATGACATTCCACCTGAACCTATAAACTGCACAGCAATTGAAAACCATTAATGCCCCAAACACAATACAGAACAAATAACATACACGATTAAATATTAAAAAGACTCCCATTTTAAAATTAAATGGCTTAGTCTAAAAGGTCAAAGCAATAGTCTCCCAGCTTATTCAGTTTGTTCAGTGCAGTACAGAAGTGGTGTCCAGTAATGTAGTTGGTCACTTGAACAGTCAGTTGATGTATGAAATAACAGGCTTTGTATATTGCAAACAAGTTCACTCTGGTTGAAATAATAATAATAATCCTTGCATTGGATATAACGCCTTATCACGTTGATGTCAAAGCGCTTCACAGAATATACTGTTAAAGTGAATTGACTGTACATTTTGTGGGTGAAACGCGACAGCCAATTGTACACAGAAGTGTCCCACAAACAGTGGCCAAATCATTATTATAATATTTATAACAATATAAATATAATATTATAACAAACTGTGATTAAATAGTTGTACTTTTTTTAAAAAAAATCTTTTTTTGAAGGTATTATTACTCCCGGAAAAGGATCAGCCAATCGACTAACAACCGGGTTCCAACTTACTGCAAGATAAACAGAAGTGTGTGGACTAAAGAAATTTGGCTTAGGTTACCCTTCCCGGGAATTGAACCCAGTGATTTGTGAGGCAAACGCTGAAACTACTGATGCCTATACAACAACAACAACAAGATTCCATTTATAGAGCGCTTTTCACGTCGGGAGGACGTCCCAAGACGCTGGACAGTTGGGTCAGGACCCGAGCATTGAGGGAAAATGGTCAGGGTGAGGGGAGGGAAGGGAGGGAGCGAGGATGGGGGAGATGGTCAGGGGGAAGGGAGGGGGCGAGGAGGGGGTGGAGAGTCGAGAGGGGAGCTGAAGGCTGAAGGTACAGTCAAAGAGAAAGGTCTTGAGACCGGCCTTGAAGGAGGAAAGGGAGGAAGCGGCGAAGGCACTGGGGATGGAGTTCCAGAGCCTCGGGGCTGAGAGGCTGAAGGCCACCGATGGTGGGGCGGTTGGGGCGGGGGATGTGGAGCAGACCGGAGCCAGAGGGACGGAGGGTACGGGCGGGTAAGTAGGGGGATAGTAGGTCAGAGAGGTAGGAGGAAGCGAGGCCATGAATGGCCTTGTAGGTGAGGATGAGGATTTGTAACAAAGTTAGAAATTTACAAGTTATAGGGAAATAGTTATTTAATGCTAATGTGACCTTAACGGCAAATCCCATCACAGTTACACATTGATTGAGTTTCTGACTTTTAGCTTTCTCGTGGAGTATGCAGGGATGGGTAAAAAGAAACGCAGCATATAATCTGCTACGCATGAGGGTGCGTACGAGATAGGAATCCAGAAAAACTTGGCATCCCAGCCAGCGCTGTAACGACTCCGTGGATACTTGGCTGTGAGTGCATGTTCCATGCACTTCGTGACTTTGGAGAGATCAGAATCACACAGGTACCACATTGAGAACCGTTGCACTTTAACATCTGTAACAAAGAGCAAATCATTTAGCACATGTCCTGGACATGCATCAAGTTAAAATATTTTGTCTCAAAGACATTGTTTAAAGTCAAAACCACTTGATAGTAAGTCATGTATATTCTGTGAAGCGCTTTGAAACGTCTGATGACGTGATAAGCGGCTTTATCAAATGCAAGAATTATTATTGTTATTTACTTAAGAGCTAAGGAAACATAACACAAGTATTACACTTTTATATTTTTTTTCGGTTTTCACATAAATATTGAAGGTTGGCACAAGCACATGTAAATGTGAAGATTTAGTCACTGCTTCAAATTTAACATCCTATAGATTTGTGAAAAATTCTTAAACTTAATCCCAATTCTAAGATTGTGGATCCAAGCCCCAAACTTTGATCTCTCATCAAGTGAGCTATTGAATAAACGGACTTACAATTTTTAAAGTATTTCAATCCATAATATTCCTTGACCTCAGGGGCAAGCCTTTCCCAGAGCCGTAGAAGATCTTTCTCAATCATGTCTAAATTCGTAACTCCGGTCTTAAAGAAGCCTGGCTCAATAATGCTGACTTTCATTCCAAAATGTTGCATATCTCTCCTAGACACAAACAAAGTTTTATTTTGGGCGCAGTTCAATTTAGTTGAATTCCGCCCTGCTGAAAGTGTTAGTGAATACAATGCTCATCAACAGCAACTTGCATTTGCCCAGCGCCCTTCACGCAGGGCAGCGCTTGACAATGGCAGAGTCTGACACCGAGAGGGATGTGACCGTACGCCTGATCAAAAAGGCAGGGCTTTAGGTGGGATTTGAAACTAGGGAGGGAGGGGGCGAGGCGGAGGGATTGAGCGAGAGAGTTCCAGAGTTTCGGGGTGCAGTGGCTGAAGACACGGCCACTGATGGTGGAGCAGACGGGATGAGGGACCAACAGGGAGGCCGGAGCCAGCCGAGCGGAGGCAGCGGGGGTGGAGAGTGGAGGGGTTAGCAGATCGGAGAGGTAGGGAGGGAGGGGCCAGGGCATGAAGTGATTTGCAAACGAGTGAGAGGATCCTGAAATCGACCAGGACAGCAGCATTTATGGAAACCGGTGTTGATAGCACCTGACCTTAAACTGTCCGAGAAAGATTCCACACCGCATTTCGATAAACAATAGCCACCGCCAGCAAACGAAATGCGTCCCATTACACTGGCAACATTCACAATCCTCCCCTTGGCCTCTTTGATCAGAGGCAGCAAATGCAGAGTCACGTCAATAAGGCCGAGTAGATTCACATCCAAAACGTGGTGAAAATCTTCCAGTGTCAGCCATTCTGTGGGTCCTATCGGAGTTGCTCTCCCAGCATTGTTCACCAAACCCCACAAGCCTGCGGCACAGGAGAAATGTGAAAGGATGATAATATTTCTTATTGTTATTATTGTGATGTGAAAGGACGATTTGCAGTTTCTCTCTGGAGAAACTCATTACTAGTGATACAGGAGTTCACGAAAGTCAATTGTACAATTTCCAATGTTTTATTAGGTGATAAGAAAATAGCTAACAACGGAACATCTCACAGACTAAATGATCAACACAAACCATTGTGTAAAATGGAAGAGACCAAATAGATTAGGAACCTGAAAGCCATAGACAGTTGGGGGAGATGCTTCTCAGAATCTAGTGCTCTTTCATGAATGGAATAAACCTGGTATTTTGTATATATTTTGTGGTTGAAAATAATCCTTGCATTATCAAATGCAAGGATTATTGTGATGTAATATGAAAGTATGCAATATGTATACAAATGCACAATATACATTTTAGGCCATGTACGTTGTATAAACCTCAGGACTTGACACAGCCAATAAGCTGGAGTCGAGGGAGGTTAATCTTTTAATCTTCCTGATACAACATTATGCTGCTAATAATAATTAAGATAATGTTTACGTCAGGACTGTGATAAGAGCTTCTTAAATGCAGAATAATTTCTACACGTCACTTTAAACAGAGATTCTCCCAATCCACAAATGTGCGGGCTTGATAACAAATATTCGGGGAGGAAAATAATTGTCTCAAACTAGCAACTAAAGGAATAAAGTTTGTAATCTGTGCATCTCTCTTTTACCTTGATTTCCAACTAATATTTGGATGAACTCCACTGTTTTCTTAATGCTCTCTTGGTTGGTGACATTAAGCAGGACTGCCTTTAGTCGGGAAGAAGAATTTGCTTGGATTTCCTCTGTCCCTTTGTGTGTTAAACAAGCAGCAATGACGTGAAAGCCTTGTTTGTCCAGTTGGTTTGCCAGCATGTTCCCAAAGCCAGTGTCACATCCAGTGATCAAGACATATTTCTCGTGGATAGCTTGGATTTTCAGCCGATCTCGAACTAACCAGCACAAGGAGAAGACCGAGAAGATTCCCAGAATCGATATCAAAAATGGAGCCGTATGAAAAGGCTAAAATAACAACAACATATGACGTTTACACAGTGTCTTTCACGTCAGGAGGACATCCCAAGGCACTGGACAGTCAGCAATTTGGATCCGAGCTGGGGGTTGGGATCAGGAGGGGTGGAGGGCAGGGAGCGTAAGGAGTAGGAGGGTGACTGAAGGCGTAGTCGAAGAGGAGGGTCTTGAGATGGGCCTTGAAGTAAGCGAGGCAAAGGGACTGTGGGTTGGAGTTAAAAAGAGAGACTGAAGGCCTGACTTGCTGATGTTGGGGCGGGCCAGCCTTCTGAACGATGGGAGCGGACAGGTTGAGATGGCAATACATACGTGAGCTAGTGTTGTCTGAGCCTTCAAAAGGCTATTTGTTTCAGAGAGCTGTTAGCAATAGGGTGATTCATTTTAAATCTTTGAATTGTACCATTTGAGATCACAAAGATGTTGTACTTCATTATTATTACAATAATAATACAATAATAATCCTTGCATTTGATGCAGCACCTTATCACATCTTCGAAATGTCTCAAAGCACTTAACAGAATATTCTGCAAAGTGAATTGACTGTATATTTTGTGGGCGAAACGCGGCAGCCAATTGCGCACAACAGCGTCCCACAAACGTTGTGGATTGAGTGACCAAATTATTTTTTTTTAAGGGATTATTACCCCTAGAAAAGAGATTCACCAATCGACTAACAACCGTGTTCCTACTTACTTTTGGGTAACCAGAGGAGTGTGGAGTAAGGAAACTTGCCCAATGTTTCGCTCTGCCCAGGAATTGAATCCGGGTCCTCTCACTTGTGGAGTGAGTGTTCTAACCACTGAGCTACAGGATTTCTGTTTTGAAGCAAGAGGTACTTACATTATTGAAGATAAGTATTTTGTTTCCTTCTTCCATTGAGCAGGGGATGAACACACAGTGATGTGATGAACGTTAGTAAATTGTCAGACTGCGTGCGACCTGCTAGATCAGGGTCTACTGTCTAGTAGCACAAATATGCCTAAGGTTTTAAGGACTTGAGCTGCTTATACAAATCTAAGATGTGTGTCAATCATTCCCTGACAATGTTTTTCTGGTGTTTCTTCTCACTTCTACAGATGCTTCACGAAGAACCAGTGATGTAATGTTTAATTTCTTCGGTTTGTTACCTACATTTTACATACAAGTGGATTATAAAATGGATTGTGTACAGGTTAGTTTAGTGGCACCTCAATAGAGAGTAGGATTATTTGTAGATTTACAATAGGTTAGTAAACAATTACCGCTTAAGGTAGACTTTGTCAAAGAGTTGCTAAATATAGAAGAAAAACAATGTCAAATGCTATGTTTATACTTTACCAAAGTTACTTATGGAAAGTGATGATTAAAGGAAAATTAGGTGGAACTGGTGAATTTGACAAAATAGGAAGGAAATTCTGGAGACTGCAGCTATACTTCTATATTAATATCATTAATATTCCTCCATTATATGCCACAGAAAGGGAGAAGGTAAAAGTTATACTGCAGGTTGTTAGAATGTGGTATGTCTTACAATAAAAAGACTATGATATTTGTGGAGTCTTGTAGCTTAGTGGTTAGTGCATTCGCCTTGCACGCAAGATGACCTGGGTTTGATTCCAACAATAATTTCCCATTGCGGATGCTCTTAAGCATGGTGAAGGATTTCCTCATTTGTGTTAATCTCTCGCTGACAAAAAAAATCTCAGGTCCTTATTGTCAAGTTATTACAATATTTTCAACTGGACTGATTTGCAGCTTCGGAAGTGCTATCAGTCATTGCTATTTCATTTTTGCTGACTATTGTACTGCACAGCATTGTACTGCATATATTTGTTTGCTTTGCACTGATTTGTCCAACTGACCCAGACCCAAGCCCAAAATGAAAGAATGACACTATGAAACTGCAACATTACTTTTGAATATTTTAATTGAAGCCTGCAGTACAAATATGCATATGTTGTGATGTGTTCCAACACCGTCCACCCCTGTGTAAGCACTTCCCTTTGATAAACTCTCTGAGACCCCATCTGGAGTGAAGGATACTATATAAATCCAAATTGTTGTTGTGTACATGTTCTGTTAGGTTCTCTTCTGTTAGGTTCTCTGATCACTGGAGGCAGCCCTAGTAAGATGGTTGCATAGCCAACTGATGGGCCATTATCTATGACTGTATCCCTGTCTGGAGTTGATTGAGTGTCTAACTTTGTGATCACTGTAATTAGTAGCCCCCAATGCCAACACCTATTGTTATTATTCACGGCTCTGCAATGGGACACAACCTCCAATAACATGAGAGATTTACCCACAAAATACACAGTCAAGTCGCTTTACAGTCTATTCTGTGAAGTGCTTTGAGATATGTAGAAGATATGAAAAGCGTTATATCAAATGCAAGGATTATTATTATTATGTTATTATAACCCTGGTAGTTTTAGGTGGAGAATGCACATGTGTAGACAACAAGATTACAAGATTACATTGTATAGCACCTTTCATGTTGGGAGGACGTCCCAAGATACTGGACACAGTACATTTCAGACCCGAGCTGGGGTTGGGGGGGAGGGGAAGGGGGGTGACCAATGGCATGGTTGAAAAGGAGGGTCTTGAGGCAGGACTTGAAGGAGGCTAAGGAGGGGGTGAGGCGGAGTGACTGGGGGATGGAATTCCAGAGGTTGGGGGCAGAGTGGCTGAAGGCTCTCCCACCAATGGTGGGGCGGGTGGGTCGGGGCACGTGGAGCAGACCAGAGCCGGCTGAGCGGAGGGAACGGGCGGAGTGGTAGGGGGTTAGGAGGTCGCAGAAGACACTATATTAAATGCAAAGATTATTATTATTATAATATAATGTTTACCCCATAGAATCATAGCATTTTAAAATCATAGCGACTATACTGGATACTGAAAGAGCTTTCCACTTAGTGCCGCTCCTATTCAGTTCAAGCAATAATAATTAATTCTCGTATATCCCCTGTCCCCTAGGCCTTTTCCTCGTCACAGACACATTCCTATCTGCTCACCAATAAAATTGTTTCATTACATACGAGGTTGTTAAGATCCAAGATCCTCATCCTCACCTACAAGGCCATTCACAGCCTTGCACCCTCCTACATCTCCAATCTACTATCCCCCTACTTACCTGCCCGTACCCTCCGTTCCTCTGGCTCCGTCTGCTCCACATCCCCCGCCCCAACCGCCCGACCATCGGTGGCCTTCAGCCTCTCAGCCCCGAGGCTCTGGAACTCCATTCCCCAGTGCCTTCGCCGCTTCCTCCCTTTCCTCCTTCAAGGCCGGTCTCAAGACGTTTCTCTTCAACCGTGCCTTCAGCCTTCAGCTCCCCTCTCGACTCTCTACCCCCTCCTCGCCCCCTCCCTTCCCTCCCCTCACCCTGACCATTTCCCCCCTCTTCGCTCCCTCCCTTCCCTCCCCTCACCCTGACCATTTCCCCCCTGCTTGGGTCCCGACGTGAAAGGCGCTCTATAAATGCAACCTTGTTGTTGTTAACATAAGATTGTTAAACCACACTCTTTGCTGGCTTGACTTTGGCTAAACGGAATACAAAGTCAGCAAAGACGGTTGGCATGTAAGAGAGAGGAATCCAGAAATACTTTGCATTCAGTCCAGCAGAGTAGCGAGTGCGTGGATGAACAGCAGTCAGAGCATGCTCCATACACCACACCACCTTCATCAGATCCGGGTCGATCAAGGTCCGAGCAGTTTTCATAAATACTTGCATGCCTGTGGTACAATATAGGAAATGTACAAATTATAAAGCAAATTCTCAGTGTCTTCCAACCTTACATCTCTTCATTGCAAGTGTAAACGGCTCCCCCTCTATGGATGAATATAACCCTCAGCCCCAACAACATAGGAATTGGTGCATCTTCTCAAGCGTTTGAGCATTTTTGTCAATACCTATGCCTGAAACTTTCAAATGCAGCAGATATTTATTTTGCACATCTTGAAAAGAAATAATTTGACACAAGATCGATTGCTTTGCTGGGTACTCTGCTCTCGAAGTCCACTCCAGGAAAGTTGCCTAACGTTTCACCCCGACCTGCCCAGAAATCAAACCCAGGTCCTCTCACTTGCGAGACAAATGCTCTAATCACTACACCACAGGACTCTACAATTATGACTATTAGAAGGTGCCCAAGTGTTTTTATCAATTTATTTTTTTAGGGCTTGATTCAGCAGGAGTTTGACTGTGTGGCATTCTTTCAGTAAAATAAGATATTTAAAATTATAGAAGGAGCTCTTTCCTACATCAGAGTTCAGTACTGATCAAGAAATCAACCAGAATAAAATAACAATCCCTACATTGGATCTATCATCCTTCACAATGTAATGACATAAATAACAATTCATATTAGGGGACTTATTCGCCAGGATGTTGGGAGAAACATCCTTTTCTTTTCAAACAGCACCCTGGGACCTTGAGCATAATAATAATAATAATAATAATCCTTGCATTTCATGTCTTTTAGACGTCTCAAAGCGCTTCACAAAATATACTGTAAAGGAATTGACTGTATATTTGTGGGCGAAACGCAGCAGCCAATTGCACTCAGCAGCGTCCCACAAACAGTCGTAGATTGAAGTGACCAATTTTATTATTATCATGCGTGTGGAGTAAGGAAAATTGCCCAAGGTTTTGCCCTGCCAGGAATCCAACCAGGGTCTCTTACTTGCAAGGCAAGTGCTCTAACCGCTATCTACAGTGGTTATTTTAACTATCTACAGGACACCACAACAGGCAGACAGGACGTCAGCTTAATATCTAATCCGAAGATCAACAATTCCAGAAATTCAGCCTTGCAGGTTCATTGTCAGGAATGTCAGTCCAGATTTAACAATGTAGGTTCAACATCTTGGACTTTGGAGGTTTGAACCAACAAACAAACACTTACTTTTTTCTACGAAATCATCACCGTAGTCTTCCTTTACTTCTGGTGACAACTTTTCCCAGAGTTTATTTGTGTTCTGCAACACCAAATCGAACCTGGTGATACGTGTTTTGAAGAAGCTCGGCTCAACACAAAGCACCTTCACTCCAAAGTCATGCATGTCCCTCCTGAAAATAATTTAATTATACGTTATTTTCTCACAGTGTTGTACAGATTTTTAACTATTTACACTGCTCTTCTGTTCATGAGTGTTTGTTTTTCTCTGAAGTTTATTGTTCTTATTTCCATTGCCGTTGATTACACATAAAGCTTACAGTATATTGAGTTACAAACTGACTGATCCATACAGCTAAATCTTACCCAGCCATTGAGCTATTTAGCCACAAGAATATGTGATCAGTGAGGCAAGTTGGTGGGTGTGGGACAGTATTATTCCAAGTAAAATCTCACCTCGACTTCACCGATAAAATCCCTTTCGATCTTTTGATCTCAGCAGTTCTTAAAAAGAACTGGCTTCCCAATTAAGAATGAATTGAAGAATCACCCACCATGGATTATAATTAAGAAATTTGAATGTTGTGAAAAATTATGGATCCTTATTAAAAACCACATTCAAAAGGTACAATACAAATCTTAACATTATTGCCAAATGGAGTCCTGTAGCTCAGTGGTTAGAACACTTGCTTCGCAAGTGAGGGGACCTGGGTTCGAGATACAAGACTAAACACTGCAGTATCCTGTCTAGGCCTTACGACATCAATAGACTGACATTAAAAACCGAGATGAACAGATTTAGTGGAAGCTCAGATTCCAAATGAAAAGTATTAGGGCAAAGCTTATTTAGTAGACAAATTTAGAAAACTGGTAGAAGATAGGTAACTTACCTGAGACTGTCATTGAACGCTTCTACACCATATTTGGAGATGCAATAGGCGCCGCCAATAATACTCAATCTGCCAAAGATGCTTGCTATGTTCACGACTCTCCCTCGTGCCTTCTTTATCAATGGCAGCACACTCAACGTGACCTCAATAACGCCAATCAGGTTGACGGCCAGTATTTCTTTATAGTCTTCTATGGTTAACCAGTCACTTGGAGCAGACGGAAAGCTGATCCCTGCATTGTTCACAAGACCCCAGAGGCCTACAGTATGTTTTTTAAATAAAATCTACATGTTAATATGTAGCTTCATTCAGAAAACTGTGGAGTGGATGTGAATATGCAGTGAAAGGCAACACAACCGAGATCTATACCAGTATTGTACATGCTCCTAATTAGAAATCAAGCTAAGCCCTTAGCTAACACTCTACCAATGACCTCCTCTGTGCTGTAAACTTTCTTTAATTCTAAACTAGTGAACATAACATAACAATAGCTTTTGTATTGATACAACGCCTTATCATGTCTTTGAGACGTCTCAAAGCGCTTCAGAGAACATACTGTAAAGTGAATTGACTGTATATTTTGTGGGCGGGACAGCGATCAATGACAGTCAATGGCCGAGTTACCTTTCTCTTTAACCTCAGATTTGACGATCTCCGCAGCCTTGTTGATGCTTTCGCTATTGGTGACGTCAAGCTGCAGAATTTTGAGCCTGGGTGAGGTGCTGGTCTTCAGATCTTCGGCCCCATTCTGAGTGTAACAGGCGGCTAACACGTAGAATCCCAGTTCATCCAACCGCTGAGCCAGCCGGTGGCCAAAGCCAGAGTCACAGCCGGTGATGTATACATGTTTGTCATTCACACTGTTTAGGCGTTTGCTGTCTCTGTGCCTGTAGTACAGCACACCGAGAAACAACAAAACAGCGACCACATATACCAGCATTTCAAAACTGGGAAGAAACGCAATGGAAGAAATGTTTCTCAATAACAGCCGCAAACTTTAGTTCGACACCACTTTTACTCACAAAGTGTACACCTATATTATTATTATTATTGTTAATAATAATCCTTGCATTTGATATAGCTGGGCAGAGGAAAACCAAAGGCAGGTTTCCTTACTCCACACACACGCCTGTTTACCTAGCAGTAAGTAGGAACCAACTTGTTAGACGATTGGTGGATTGCTTTTCTAGGGGTAATAATCCCTCCAAAAAAACCCAATAATTTGATCACTTAATCCACGACTGTTTGTGGGACACTGCTGTGCACAATTGGTTTCGCGTTTCACCAATAAAATATACAGTCACTGCACTTTACAGTATATCCTGTGAAGCTCTTTGAGACGTCTCGAAGATGTAATAAAGCACCATATCAAATGCAAATAGTTATTGTTTTTATAGCGCCTTATCATATCGATTAGATGTGATGAGGCACTATAATCTTAAAGGACTTCACAGAATATACTGTAAAGCGAATTGACTGTATATTTTGTGGGCAACATATTCAAAGTAACATGGAATTTCAAGGATTAGTTCTCAACCAACTTGTACAAAGATTTAATAGTTTTACACATTGCAGTCAGTGAAATCCAACTAGCCTGGACCCGTCATACCATTTGTCTTAAAGTTTAAAACCTGGCAGAAAATGGTAATATTCTTACATTTAATTTTCTTCAGCTTTCTTTTTTTCCATAATGCTTAAAAAGAACTTTGGAACTCACTCTGCTATGAACACTGTTACCCACTGTGAAGGGTTTCTGTCCCCAAAACAAAATTTGGCAAATTAACTGAAGTCTACACACCTCTCAGCTGGAACTCTTCACACAATGGACCGTCTCCCCCACCAACCGCTGCTTAATGCTTCAAGAAAGTTCACTTCAACCCGGTCTTCTCTGTGACGTAAGAGCCAGTGAAATGTATAGTCTATTTACTCTCCGGTCCACTAGTCGCTAGATTTTAACATATATCTGGAAACTGAATAACCAGTGAAATGAAAGTATTGCACCTTCAATTACTGCAGCCAATGGGTTTGTGCAAACACACAGATTCAGGGACATGACAGAATGTATTCCATTTTACTGCTGCAGGAACCAGTCACAGTTAAGAGGGAGGGATATCAGAACCCCCAGAGTAATTTTAATTCAATTTCTGATACTGTCACCCTACTGGTAATCAGCTACACACAATAGTATCACAGACTTTGCAATATTTATTGAAAGGTGTTCGAGTGTAGCACAGGGTGAAGGCAAAATGGACATCCATAGAAAATACAGTTTCAATCAATCTTTCAAGTTTCACTTTAACCTCTCACACAGGAAGTACACCACATTCCTGATTTTGACGTATTGCTGAGTACTTTATTGCAAGGGTGCAAATCTACTTCCATCTGGTGGTTGAAATGCATCATCCACCTTTTTTAAAACAAAAACAGAAGTCGTTGGGAATATTCAGCAGGTCAGGCAGCATCTATGGAGAAAGGAAAGTGAGTCAACGTTTCAGGTCCACGACCCTTCGTCAGAATTCATCTTGTTAGCTGGCTGGGTGTCTGACTCAAGTAGAAACCCATCACCACGCTTAAGAATGTCCGAACCAGACTGAGAGTTCCACATGTGTATGTCACCTACACATAGACATTTTCTTGTACCTGCAATAAATTGTTCATTTTTCTCCCTGGAGGGACGCACCCTGCTCACCTAATTCCAGAAGGTATTTGGCACATGTTGGCAGGAGTCAAGGCATGCAGAGCCCAGAATAATAAATGTGTGTTGTTGAAGTACTGCTCGAGTCTAACCAGCTAAATGTACATAGCTTGTATTGTGAGCACTGTCAGGCAAGCTTCCCTCTGTATTAGGGAAGTGTTGTCATCTTTCTATCTTGTCAATTCGTTTCATTATTTTATTGTAAACGCCTCCTGGGCTTTAGGGAATAGAACTCTACACACTTTGTTTGCCTAAAAAATACACCATCACTTCATTTTACAGTAAATTCTGTGGAGTGAGTTTCAATGTGGAGAAGTTTCAATGTGGAGAAATGAAGGGTAATGCATTTTGGTAGAAAGAATGAGGGGCAATATAGGCGGTAATACAATCTTAAGGGGGGTGAAGGAACAGAGAGACCTGGGGGGGCAGGTAAATGAATCCTTGAAGGTGGCAGGACAGGTAGATAAGGCTGTAAAAAGGGCATATGGGATACTGGGCTTTATAAATAGGGGCATAGAGTACAAGAGTCAGGAGGTTATGATTAACCCATATAAACACTGGTTGGGCCTCAGTTAGAATACTGCGCCCAGTTCTGGGCACCGCACTGTAGGAAGGATGTTAAGGCATTGGAAAGGGCGCAGAGGAGATTTACGAGGATGGTACCAGGAATGAGGGACTGTGATTATGAGGAGAGGCTGGAGAGGCCGGGATTATCCTCATTGGAGCAGAGAAGGTTACGAGGAGACCTAATAGAGGTCTTCAAAATCATGAGGGATTTGATGGGTTAGAAAGGGAAAAACTGTTCCCACTGGTGGGAGTGTCGGTGACTCGAGGTCACAGATTCAAAATAGTCTCTAAAAGAAGCCGAGGGGAGGGGAGAAGAAATGTTTTCACGCATCGCCTGAAAGGGCGGTCGAGGCTGATTCGATAACTTCTTTCAAAAACGCGGTGGACGGGTATTTGAGGAGGACGGGTTTGCAGGTTATGGGAAAGGGCCGGGAGTGGGACTGACATTAATTGCTCTATTCAAAGAGCCGCACAGACTCGATGGGCCGAATGGCCTCTTTTTGTGCTGTACGATTCTATGATTCTATGAGTGCTTTGAGACATCTTCCTGATGTGAAGAGTGCCATAGATTATTATTATTATTTCACTGTAACTATTCTTTCAGTGAGTACTTTACACTTATATGGGGTGGTTTAGATTTAGTTTTGTACTTGTTCCTAGTGCCAGACACCAGATGTCACCAAAGTCTGATTTAATGTGGTAAAAATGGCTAAGTAGCGGTTAAGCTTGTCTCTTCTTCTGTGCTTTCCTTATTGTTTTCACCACCTTTCTAACATACAACAATAATACACTACCCTTTCTATCACCTCTCAGATTACTACTGATAGTCAGAGACATGTTAAGCATGTTAAACATGTCCTGTCATGTTAAGCAAATTTAAGCCAAGTCTCAAAGCGAAACTATAAGAAGTGTGGAACAGTACAGCTTACTCCATGTGTGCAAACATTAAACGAATCACGTTTTAATAACGGTTTGTAATAACAATAATAATAATCCTTGCATTTGATATAGCGCTTTATCCTGTCATTGAGACGGCGCAAAGCGTTTTTCAGAATACAACAACAAAATTACATTTGCATACAGTTTTTCACGTCAGGAGGATGTCCCAAGGCAATGAGACATTACAGAATATCACAAGAATATACCGTAAAGTGTACTGACTGTGTTTTTGTGGGTGAAAGCAATGGAATAATACAATATTTACACTACAAGTAAACAAAATGTATAAATTGGCTAAAACATTACTAAGGCAACGCTGTACCAGCTTAACCTAATGAACAATAAACATTAGAAGGGTTATTTTGGATGGAATGAAGCACTCGCTAATAAATATAAATGATGTAGATTAAAAATAATTTAGGATGGTAAAATGCCAGATTGTCGGTGAATAATTAATTAAAGTCACTGATTCACAGGTCATTGAACTGTGCTGAACTGTTGAATGACCGAGTTCACATTGGGTACAGTTGTTTGCCAATAGCAATAATACTTTATTTTCCAATTCATCCCTGGATGGATAGTATTAGAATTTAACTCCAGGATACATTTTCCTTTAAACCTAGATGAGAGTGATATGTGTAGTAAAAATGAACCGAAATGTTTGACAGAACCTTAATTATTATGTTATTAAAGAAACTGCAAACACTATATTATTACATTATTGAACAAATTATAAAACAAAACTGACATTAGAACACATGGCAAGGAGTCTACAATATCAGAGGCAATAGCAATAGCCTCGGATATTGGTGAGAGTTGAGACAGACACAAATAACTCAGAAAATTAATAAAATAAATAAATAATCTGGTCACTCGATCCAAAACTGTTTGTGGGACGCTGCTGTGTGCAATTGACAGTTGGGTTTCGCCCACGAAACACACAGTCAATTCACTTTACAGTATATTCTGTGAAGCGCTTTGAGGCATCTCGAAGGCGTGATAAGGTATTATCTCAAATGTCAAGGATTATTATAGGATTATTATTATAGCAGTGTGCACAGACAGGTAGAGATTCTTAATAATTTACAAGTACAATGTTCAGCACTTAATGAGGAATGACTCAGACAAAAAAAAATTAGCAGGTGTGGGAAGTCTGTAGGTAAACTGATGCATTATGCGAATATGCAATATTTAGCAGGTGTGGAGGTCAGTCTGAAGCAGATATGATATTGTGGATGAGAGGGACTCCCTGACTAACTGACTGCTCAATGATATTACCCAATGACTAACTGAAAACCCGGGAAAGAAGAAGTACAAAACCCTAATGATGAAAAGCACACAATGAGAGGAAACAGGATAATAATAATACAATGCCCTTGTTCTCCAGGTACACACCTAAGTAAATGTCACACAGCAATTTCCTGGTGTGGAGGTTAAGCATGATTAAAGGGAGAGGTTCGAATTGTTCAGTGTTTGTCATCTTGTGATCAGCATCACAAGGAATCTTTGGATTATTACACTGTGGCACAACTGAGACTTTGCCCCTCTGAGGAAAGAGGAACAGTTTCTGACACAACACAGCCTAAGTTGCTGTGGTGGTTTAGCTTACATTGTGTGCAATGTTTGTGGCCATGTTGAACAGACTCCGCTCCTAGCAATAGCAGTCAAGACTGTATTAATAATAAGAATAATCCTTGCATTTGATATAGCGCCCTATCATGTCCTTGAGACGTCTCAAAGCGCTTCACAGGATACACTGTAAAGTGAATTGACTGTGTATTTTGTGAGTGAAATGCAGCAGCCAATTGCACACAACAGCGTCCCACAAACAGTCGTGGATTGAGTGACCAAATTATTATTTTTTATGATTATTAATTTTTTGAAGGGTTGAGCTACGGGGTGAAATGAGCAGATTAACAGTCTCTTGTTTGAATATGTAATGGCAGTGTACTAATTTAAGCCCTTTATTTACGCCCTTTATATTATGTTTGTTCTGTGAGTATTCAAAATATTATTTTAGGTGGTGGGTTGATTCTATGAAACATGTTGTTAACTCCGAGGTTGCTCAATGTGTTGAATACTGGGAGTATCAAAGTGCCAAACTGAAACGCGTGTGGGGTAAATCCACCCAGCATGTCCAACCTGTAAAACTGCACATGGCTGTCAATCTCTCAATGTACTGAAAGAAAATCAAGAGCCACCTTGAAACTCAAAGACAATCTCAGACCCCCAGAAACCAGGACTGTTGTGTCTGTCTTCCACATGGGATCACATCTAAAATATACATAATAATAACACTAATTCTTGCAGTTGATGTAGCTCCTTATCGCATCTTCGAGACGTCTCAAAGAGCTTGACAGAATATACTGTGAAGTGAATTGACTGTATATTTTGTGGGTGAAACGCGGCAGCCAATTGCGCGCAGCAGCGTTCCCACAAACAGCCGTGGATTGAGTGATCAAATTTTTTTTCGCATCCAAAAACAATTCAATTCTAATTCTCAACTACCTACCTCAATTGTTTGTTCAGCAGTCAAGGTGAAAAAAAAAGGTCAAAACTAATGACAAATCTCAGAATGCGAAAGATTCTTCTTTTGATAAAGTAATGAATTTAATATAGTGCATTTAATATAGTGACTTTCATGTCAGGAGGACATTACAAAGGAGTTTCACAAGATCTACTCTAATGTGTAGTGACTGTGTATTTTGTGGGCAAAATCCAGTATTATTGCTTCACTTACATGTGCAAGAACTGTTGTTTGTCTTGTGCAATAACTGAATGGAATGAGTAATAGGCTAATGAGAAGTTGCAATGCATGATGAATTAAATACGTGCACTGAATGTTCAGACTTCAAGGAATGGGAGTAATAATAATTGTATGATTTGTAAATGTGACACATCGGTGATTAATGAGCTGCATCAAAGGTGACTCAGAGTTTCATATAAAAACTCAGAGTCTTTGATACGTCTCAAAGCAGAATATACCGTAAAGTATTTTGTGTGCGAAACATACATGTTCAAAATGCAGCAGAAAATGTGTACTGGTCAAACTGCGGAGAAAGGCAATGCTGTGGATATTGAACCTTTTCGGTTGACCAACAAAATAAATGTTTCTTGTTTGAATATTTCTTGATTTTATGGCATAAATGGCCAATTCTTTAGCAATGTTTAACCTAGGTCCTGTCTGCCTGTTCAGGTGGATGTGAAAGATGCCACGACACTGTTTGAAAAGAGGAGGGAGTGTCTCTTGGTGTTATGGCCCCAGGATAAGATTAATTATTCACTTCATGACATTGAAGTGCTCCTCATGTTACGTGCAAATTGACTGTCGTGTTTACCTACAAAAATACAGTCACTGCACTTCACAGTGTATCACGTGAAGTACATTGGGACGTTGTCCTGATGTGAAAGATGCTTTATCAAATGCAAGTATAGTATAAATCTGTCAACAGTATACTTCATAACAGGATAATGAATTACAAACCACCTAGAATGTTAGCAGTTCAGGAGATATCTACTTCCCCGACGGAAATTCGATAAAAATATACGTTGTTCACAACATTTCACCAGGACATTTATTGAGGTGCAGTAACAAGTTGACTAATTGGCACATACTTCATCAGGGAAACAAGTTAGGAATGACAAACAACAACAACAACAAATGACACTTACACAGAGCTTTTCACGTCGGGAGGACGTCGCAAAGCGCTGGACAATCAGGGGTTTCGACCCGAGCCAGGGGTTGGGATTTGGAGGGAATGGAGGGTAGGGTTTGGAGGGTGACCAAACACGCGGTTGAAGAGGAGAGTCTTGAAACAGGTCTTGAAGGAGGCAAGATATAGCAGAAAAATAGATTCAGATGAATTGTCTGTCTGTTTGTAGTTTATTCTTAAACATAAAAAAGATTCCTTCAATTCTTAGCCCAAAATGCAATCTGCAAGAGTCAGCACAGTTTAATTTCATTTTCCTTTAACCAATGTTTAACTGAATCCAGGAAAGCCTTTGTATATGGTAACATGAATTCAAACAACATTGCAGGGCTGTGCCCAAATCCAAATGTTCATCCAGCACTGAAATCCCAGCTCACTTATCTTGTTTACTCATGGTGTTTCTTCTCTTGCTAGATAGCGTTTGGATCGACTATCTTTACTGTATCCTTGGTTAACAGATAGTCTGCTACAAATGTCGGTAAGTATGTCAAAGGGATCCACAGTAGCTTGGCATCAATGCCGACACTATATCGAGTCCGTGGATATTTAGCTGTTAGAGCGTGCTGCATACACCACACAACCAGGGACAGGTCTGTGTTCAACAATCGTTTCACTGCTTCATCCTTTTTATCATCCACTGTGAATGTCATAAGAGAAGTGTTGGAGAGAGATTGTAACAACATACAACGCTGACTGTTTAAGTTGCAGAGATCCCTTCTTTTGGTCTGTAAAACCCTGTATATTTTTTTTTGCTGAGCCGGGTGTCTGACACATGCAGAAACCCATCACCGTATTTAAAAGCCAAACCAAGCTGAGAATTCCAGGCCTCCCACCTGCATCCTGCATGGAAATCCCAGAGATAGATTGTTGGAATTGAAAACTCTCGCTCTCTCCCTCTCTCTCCCTGGAGGGATGCATCCTGCTTACTTAATTCTGGAAAGTATTAAGCACAGGTTGACGAGAGCCAAGTCTTGGGGGGAGCCCAGAGTGTGGGTGGGTTGGGGTAACTGCTGGAGTCTAACCAGCTAAATCCACAAAGCTCGCTACGTAAAACCCAATGGACATTTAGCAATGGAAACAGCAAACGAGAGGCATCTGAAATTTGGCCTTAGGCAAATAACTAAAGTAAATGTTACAGAATAAAATTATTTAATTGCTGTTTTCCTCTGCCTCTAACACATTGCGTTAATTACATCGTCTACAGACAATTCTGAGAAAAGTTTGATACGCAATAGAAACAGTGATTTAACTTTTCATGCTTTTCATTTTCTGTAGATGATAAATAATTGTGGGATAAACTGCACATAAGTAATTATTGTTAATGACATCAACCCTCCACCCAGCCCTAAACAAAAAATTATAGGACCACGATTTTATCTTAACTGGTTTATAAGAGTGCCTTTAACCAGCCCATGGTTTTTACTTGGATGTCCATTTATCCTCAACGGATTTATCCTTGGATAAAAAAACTATAAATAAACTTATAAATAAATTGATAAACTGCTGTGCGCAATTGGCTACCGTGTTTCGCCCACAAAATATACAGTCAATTCACTTTACAGTATATTCCGTTAAGCGCTTTGATAAGTCTCAAAGACATAATGAGGCACTATATGAAATGCAAGGATTATTATCATCATATTTCTTACTTTGTTTTAAATAATCCTCTCCGTACTGTTTTTGCACCTCAGAAGGTAAGCTGTCCCACATGGCTCTCCTTTCCGCCCGGTGTTTACTGCAATCAGTCAGCTTGGTTTCGAATACTCCGGGTTCAATGCAAGAAACATTGATTCCAAAACTTCTCATGTCACGCCTGTGTATAGACCAGATTTTGTTCGCAGTTTAAATAAAACAGGGAAGACATGGCTCCCTAATGACCTTGTCGGTAAAAAGCCACCTTAATAACGTAAGAAGACGAAGGTCCATCTAGTTCATCTTCCACCATCCTGGCAGTCGCTTGACAGGTTGTGTCCCAACTATATACTGTATAACCGAGATATTATTTTCTAGCAGAAATCTATCTAATTTGTTCTTGAAACAAACATAATTTTCTGCTTCCACCGTCTGTCTCCCGAGGGAGCCTGTTCCATACGTTTACTACTCGCTCACTGAAGTAGTGTTTCGCAGATGTGTTCTGAATTTACCCAACCAGCCACATAGATCAGAAAGACACAAGAGTGTTGACTTAGTCATGGCAAAAGTTTGGGCTCTAAACATGACCTCAACATTACTGGGTGGAGAGAAATAAGTGAGTCCTCAAATTGTTATCTAGTTAAGATAGGAGCAAGCTGCTGAATCGAGGGAGTGGATGGGTTGATATGGGGTTGACAGGTTGAGTCACTGCCTTTGGGAGAGGCCATCAGTTGGAGTGGGTGGTTCTGGTTTAAAACCACACCATCCTTTTCATGGGAATGAAACCATTAACTAACTAATTAATTAATTAATTAACTAATGTTCTCACGATACGCTGAAAAATAATGGCTAGTTATAACAATTTCTGCTCTGGTGATTTTGTAATGATTTTGGAATCCTAGAATCTAAACGTATGAACCAAAAATATATAGAGCAATAGCTGTAATAGCAGAGAACCTGGGAAGCATTATCTCCAGGATAGGAATGTTTCAACCGCAAAAATAAAGAGTTCTTCCAACTATCGAGAAGCCATTTTCTTTTCATAATGCTATATCAGATTATTATTATTATGATCCTCACCTTAAGCTGTCATTGAATGCTTCCATTCCAAACTTCGATGGATAGTATCCTCCACCTCCCAAGGCCAAACGGCCAAGTACACTGCTTATGTTCACCACTCTTCCTCTGGCTTTTTTTATCAGAGGGAGCGATTTTAATGTCACTTCAATACTTCCGAGTAAATTAACTTCAATTGGAGTCCGGAAATGTTCGATTTTCAACCAGTCTGTAGGACAGAGGATTCCTGATATTCCTGAGTTGTTTATTAGACCCCAGAGACCTGCAGGAACAACATGGAACAATTACAGAGACAACTCGTAAGTTATACTTTGGATAACTTTTGAGTTTTAAAGGAATATTATTAATACAATATAATACAATACAAAATTACATTTGTAAAGCACCTTTCGCATCCAGAGGATGTCCCAAAGCGCTGGACAGTCAGGGATTTGGACCCGAGCTGGGGGTTGGGATCAGGAGGGATGGAGAGGAAGGTAGGGGTAGGAGGGTGACTGAAGGTGCGGTCGAAGAGAGGAGTCTTGAGATAGGCCTTGAAGGAGGCCAGGGACGGAGCAGAGCTTATTCCAACATCAAAATGCCATTAGAGTAGGTATAATATGATTTTGTTGACTATGCTGAGCTGGAGAGTGCTATCATTGGCTTTGGTATCTCCAGTGAGATTGGGGAACTTTGATTAAGACTCAACTCCTCAACGTTGAGTCAGCTTTTAGTTACACTATGATCGGTGCAAAGATGTGGAGGGGAAATAGCAATAGGTTCAGCAAGAATGCTCCAATGAGCAAACAAGTTGTCAACATTCATGTCCTCCTGCACATGTATAGGGGGGCAACTTGGGCAGGTTAGGAAGGATGACTGCCAGCCACCAGTCACTGACTTTGGAAAATGCAAGCAATAAAAATGCCTAAAACGCTCTGTCTGTTACCCATGTCTCTCACTTCCCCTATCGCACTTACCTCTGTCTCCCACTGCACTTCGGATCTGCTCAGTTGCATTCTCGATGCTGTTTGAATTAGTGACATCCAGCTTCACGGTTTTCAGTCTTTCTGAGGTCTCTTTCTTCAGCTCTTGAGAACCGCTCTCAGTCAGACAACCAGCAAATACACGGAATCCATGTCGGTCAAGTGTCTTTGCAGCGAGGTAGCCAAAGCCAGTGTCACAGCCCGTGATGAACACGTACTTGTCTGAGACTCTTTCGATCATAAGCTTATCTCGCATCCACCAGCACAGATACCAGATTAACAAAATGCCCCCAATATACACAAACATTCTCCAATGGCTTTGTAGTGGATGCAGCTAAACTGAGAAGAAAGAGAAGAGAAAGCCTCAAAACCAGGAATAATGTCAGCAACATAATAATAACAATAATAATAACATAATAATAACAATAATCCTTGCATTTGATATAGCGTCTTATCACGTCTTCAAAGCGCTTCACATACTATACTGCAAAGCGGCTGTTTATTTTGTGGGTAAAATGCGGCAGTCACTTGAGCACAGCAGTGTCCCACAAACAGTCGTGGATTGAGTGACAAATTATCATATCCAGGTCCTCTCGCTTGCGAGGCGAGTGCTCTAACCAATACACTACAGGACTCCACATACAAAATAACAAGATTTTGCTATAATATTGTTGTCCAATCGTATTTGGATTCTTTCATCCTGTTTGTAATTTTAGGCTTCAGATTTCATATAAATTTACAGGAATTACTGGTATTTGGATGACTGTAGTTACTTACCACATTACCAGTTTGGTGAGGAGCTTTATGGATGACAATAAACTAAGCTGTGGTCTGTTGCCTGGACAACACATAGACTAGACATTGAAGTGTAAGAATCTATGTATCTGAATTTAATACTGTAAGCGCTTTGAGACATCTCAAAGACATGATGAGGCGTTATATCAAATGTAAGGGTTATTGTCATCTATCCAGCATAACCTGATACCATCCATCATATTTTGAAATATATAATTTAAGTAAAACAGTTCAGTCCCTACACTTAATTTATGAGCGGTTTTTATTTCAAAACATGAAAGAAAATGTATAGAACAAGTCTTTTCAACTCATAAAGCTCAGTTTTTCTGAGGTTTTTGTTATTGTAAACATTACCTGGCTTTAACAATGTCTTGAGAACCAGGTGAATGTATGTCTGTCAAATATCTTCAAACCCTGAAGGTAACTGAACACAAATGGGAGTCAGTGACTGGAAACAACAATTTATAATAATTAAGCAAGGAGCAAAAGGAGAAAATTAGGAGAGAGAGAGTCAGATGTCAGGATGGTGGGTGTGGGGATCGAGACAGAATCCATGTGAGCTTTCCACAGGGATCTTGACAGATATCTAAATAGGAATAACTTTATGGGAATGGAGAAAGGGCGAGTAAATGGGACTGAATAGATATCTCTTTCTAAGAGTCATCACAGACGTGATGGGCCAATGGCCTTCTCTGTGCTGTAACTTTCTCGGGTTCTATAATAATAATAATCATAATAATTATAATAATCCTTGCATTTGATACAGTGCCTCATCATGTCTTCGGGATATCTAAAAGCGCTTCACAGAATATACTGTAAAGTAAATTGACTGTATATAATTTTGGGGCGAAAAGCGGCAGCCAATTACACACAGCAGCGTCCCACAAACAGTCGCGGATTGAGTGGCCAAAAAAAGTTACTTTTTTTAATCATTATTTATTTATTTACTTATTTTGTGGAGTCCTGTAACTTAATGATTAGAGCACTGGCCTGGTGAGTGAGAGGACCCGAGTTCAATTCCTTGGCAGGGCAAAACATTGGTTTCCTTACTCGACACACTGTTTACCGAGCAGTAAATCAGAACCTGGTTGTTAGTCGATAGACAGATCGCTTTTCTGGGGGTAAAAGTTCCCTCAAATAAAAAGCACAATAATAATTTGGTCACTCAATCCTCGACGGTTTGTGGGACACTGTTGTGCGCAATTGGCTGCCGCGTTCGCCCACAAATATACAGTCAGTTCACTTTACAGTGTGTTCTGTGAAGCGCTTTGGGACGTCCTCCCGACGTGAAAAGCGCTATATCAAATGCAAGGATTATTATTATTATTATTATAGTCAATTCACTTATGTGGAGTCCTGTAACTCAGTGGTTAGAGCACTCGCTTTGCAACCGAGAGACCTGGGTTCGATTCCTGGCAGGTGAAACCTTGGGCAAGTTTCCTTACTCCACACGCCTGATAGTAATCCCTCAAGAACAAAAACAATAATAAATTGGTCACTCAATCCACGACTGTTTGTGGGACATTGCTGTGTGCAATTGGCTGCCGCGTTTCGCCCACAAATATACAGTCAATCCACTTTACAGTGTATCCTGTGAAGAGCTTTGAGACGTCTAGAAGACGTGAAAAGAGCTGTGTCAAATGCGAGGATTATTATTATTATTATTATTTCTGAATACAGTACTGGCCTAAAGAAAATGACAAGAAAAATGCCAGCATCAAGGTTTGTCTGTGTAATTCCCAGGTCAGTGAGTGTTGGTCCCCAGTTCAATGACTGACAGAGCAGTGACACTGACTATCCCCAGATAGGACTGATTGATTGACTGACTGGCTGGGGAGTCAGCAATAAGATGAGCCCTGAGCAAACAGACTCTCTCACAGACCCACCGCGCTCTCCTTAACGTGCAGCTAGTTTATAGAATCTGCTCGTAAAACAGATAGTGGTTTGCAATGTTTCAAGTCACCCCCTCTGCGTTACAGTCTGACTTTCAGATTGTACGATAGTTATAACACCCTCAGCCTGACAGCATATCACAGTAATCACCTCTGTTATAGAACAAAAGGTTGGCAGGTCAGTAACCAGCAAACCAGCACCTGACTTACCTACAGACCCACACTCTCTCTGGGGCTCCGTCAAGGCAATGGGTTCAGTTCAGTCTGTTTACGGGAGCTTGATTTTGCTGCTCTTTATATAATCCCGACTACATTGCTCATAACTATCTGATTACTGGGAGTGGATTTCCGCCAACTAAACTCGCTTGGGCAGGTTTAGCACTCTGGGAGGTTTTCTACTCTAAACGTATTGCTGCTCTGTCTACATAGGACCTTATGCAATAGATATATAATGAGGTGCAAAGTTGAAAACAAATATAAATATAAATCTATTTATATCCAATTTGGAAATCAAATATCTAATCAATGTATATTGATAGTTTCACCCACAAGAGTACACAGTCAATAATTATTCACTGTACACTATATTCTGTGAAGCGCTTGGAGGCGTCTAAATGATGTGATAACAACAACAACATGATTGCATTTATAGAGCGCCTTTCGCGTCGGGAGGACGTCCCAAGGCGCTGGACAGTTGCGTCAGGACCCGAGCCTTGGGGGGAAATGGTCAGGGTGAGGGGAGGGAAGGGAGGGAGCGAGGAGGGGGAAGAAAACTTGCCCAACGTTTTGTCTTGCCCGGGAATCGAATCCAAGTCCATTCGCTCGTGAGGCGAGTGCTCTAACCCCTGAGCTACAGGACTTCACAAGCTGTAAGGTAGATGTACACGCTGCCAGGTTGTGATCTCTCTGTCTCTCTGTGGGAGGTACAGTACTAAATAGAAGCCAGCTGCTCCTGCCTGGGAGAGTAATCCTCTCCCGCACCCCACTCTTGCCTGACTCCATTGGCTCCCTATCCTTCAGAGGATCCATTTCAAGATCCTGGTCCTCACATACAAAGCCCTACGTGGCCTCGCCCCACCCTACCTCTGCGACCTCCTAACCCCCTACCAACCTGCCCGCTCCCTCCGCTCAGCCGGCTCTGGCTGCTCCACGTCTCCCGTCCCACCCGCCCCACCATTGGCGGGAGAGCCTTCAACCACTCTGTCCCCAACCTCTGTAATTCCATCCCCCAGTCACTCCAACTCACCCCCTCCTCAGCCTCCTTCAAGTCGCGCCTCAAGACCCTCCTCTTCGACCATGCCACCCCCCTTCCCCCCCCCCCCCCAATCCCAGCTCGGGTCTGAAATGCTGTCACTCACCAGCGCCTTGGAATGTCCTCCCGACGTGAAAGGCGCTATACAATGAAATCTTCTTGTTGTTGTTGTTATTGTTGTCATGACTGCTCACTCAGGTCTCCTGACAAGCAGTGATATCTATCAACATGCCATTTGGCTCCCCTGTTAGCTGTGCGTGCCCCGGGGGAGTCAGGGTGGGGGGAAATGGAGAACAGACGGGAAACCACAGAAGAAAATAAGCTAAACATAAAGTTGGATTGGCAGACACGAATGAGAGTGGGAGAAGAGGGAAGTGGAATTATGTTATTACAATTAAATACTCACCTGATGTGCCAGTTGCTGCTGTTTCCAATTTGAGAGCGTAAGTGAATGTTTGTGGCACTCACAATTGATTTGAAAAAGTGTTTCACATAATAAGCATTTCAAACTGTGATCAATCAAGGCTTTGTTCCTGTCTGCACCGCAACATTGCCCCATTATGTCTTTTTATGTTTTACCATGTGTGTGTGGGTGGGTGTGGGGTGGTGGGGGGTGTTGTGGCATGTGAACTCATTGCTTTACTGTATCCTTCAGCAAAATGTCTTTGGTTAAAAAGCCACAATAGCAGTCAAGACTGTCAATAGACGATAGTTTGAAGAATTTATTTTCGTACAGAGAAATGATAATAATAATTCTTGTGTTTGATATAGCGCAATTGACTATTCATTTTTTCCAGGGTGATGTATTATTACTAAAACACTGACTGAAGATAATCCTCATTCTTTTTTCCTGAATGAATTATTCTGTTTCATCCAGCTGTGTCGGGCACACCATCTGAGCAAATGAAAGTCCAGGAAGTGGGGTGGCCTGCCAAGGGGGTTACTGAATATCAACGGATTCCATTAGCAGTGGAAAATATCTGACTCAAGGATGTAAACTCATTCAAGGAATTTACAGATTAGCTCTTTCGTCACCATGCTATAAGAGTCTCCAAACCAAACTATTGAGAACCAACTCCATGTGTGTATGCTTTCTGTTTGTGATTTCTGGTCTGGAGTGCGCTCTCTCTCCCTAGAGAGTTGTACCCATGGTTATTCTTATCCCGGAGAGTTTAATCATCCTTATGTTTCCTAGATGCAGGTTTAGGTGCAGGTTGACAAGAGCCAAGGCTTTGTGGGTGACCCCAAAATTTGCATTGGAAGACGACTGGAGGTTGATCAACTAAAATGCTGCATGATTTTGCAAAATACTGACATACCTTCCTGTTTGTCTGGATGGGTCACTGTTATGGTTACGGGGGCCGGGGAGGGAGTTAATTGAGGTCTCCATGGAGCTGAGCTGAGATGGTTCCAAGATAATGTACTTGCCAATGGAATATTGGGACTGAGTCAACCCTTGTTGGCAGTTTCAGTTGTCGGGTTCCTGAACCAGGCGAGTCCATACTACTCCAGGGCCCGGCTATGACAGCACAGACAGCCTGGCTCATCGGGAGCAGAGGGTTCTTCCCAATCAGATCCTGTAAACTCTGAAACCAAAGTTCTAAAGGGTGAGGGTGCCCAAGCAATAACAACAACTTGCAATTATACAGCGCATGTCACATGGGGTAGCGTCCCAGAGCGCTTGATAGTGGCGGAGTCTGACCCCGAGCCAGCGGGGGAGAGGCAGGGGGGAGATGACCATAAGCACAATCAATAGGCACTTGGAAGCTAGTACTCTCAATGGCAAGCTGTGTGGTTTAAGCTGGTTAAACTCCAGGATTGCCTCAATACACACTCTGGGGTCCCCAAGCCTTATCTCTCACCAGCCTGTGCTTAATACTCTCTGGAATTAAGGAGACCATTAACTAAGGACAGTCACTACACTGTAGTGATAATCTGGCAAGAGCAAATGTGAGCATTAACACAGGAGGTATTTGCGAGTTAATATTACAAATCAGACTTTTTTTTTGTATCAGGCAATCTCCGAAGGAACTGTGACCCCATTGTTTATGAGTGTAACTTGTGCTTCACAGACCAAACGATAAAGGTAATCAAGACACGGACAGATTTGGTAGCAGATCCAAGGGCTTTGTGCAGAGCCTAAGAGGAGCACGCAATGAATTTTGTTCAAGGTTCTGAAAACGAACCATTATTCATCACAAAGGTAAAAGATATCACCAACACAGCACAGCACTCCTCTGCTAGTTAATTAAAAACATCAGGCAAGTCTCCGTACTCCACACCCCTCTGTTTACCTATCAGTAAGTAGGAACCTGGTTGTTAGTTGATTAAAGGATCGCTTTTCCGAGGGGTAATAATCCCTTCCAAAATAAAAAAAATTAAAATAATAATTTGATCACTCAATCCACCACCCAATCGACTAACCAACCAGGTAAACAGAGGTGTGTGGAGTAAGGAATATGTGAATGCGAATGTGAAATAGTCATACCCTCATGATCCGAATGACCAATTCAGTACAGCAGGTGTGGCTCTCTCAGTACAAAGTCGGTCACTTGGGTCATGAACGTATGGTCATTTACATTAATCATTAACTTTTCTAAAGTTATAATTCTCTCTTTTAGCATTCCCATTCAGTTCTAAACCAAGCGGGTTTGGTGAGACAGACACTCTATATGAAGCAAGCAGCAATATATTTCTCTCTCTACTTGAGAATTCAGCGAAGGACTTTATTAATATTTGCGGTAGATGAGAGGAAAATTACCCTTTGTACAACTCACCCATTGTAGTTAACAAGAACCTTGTTACTTTCTTTCATTCACTTTGAAAAGTTGATTGCATTCCAACTCTCTTGCTATTCAGAAATGGAACACTGTGAACCAAACACGATGATATGTTATGTTATTTGAATTGAATGGCTGGCTAAAGTAATAGTAATAATGCTTGAATTTGATGTAGTGTCTTATCACGTCTTTGAGACGTCTCAAAGCGCTTCACAGAATATACGGTAAAGTGAATTGAATATATATTTTGTGGGCGAAACGTGGCAGCCAATTGCGCACAGCAGCGTACCACAAACAGTCATGGATTGAGTAAAACACCTTTTGTGCATTCATCCTCTTCTAAAGTTCATGTTTTGAATCAGGTAACTGGTGCTGAATGAATGTCAGAATTCACACACCCCAAGCCATCCATCTCAACCAAATCAAATTAAGGATCTTCCCAACCCTATTCAGTGAACAGGAGCACATCGCTATAATACATTAATAATTAGCTGTTGTCACTATATTCATATGTAAAATAAATATATATATATATATGTGTATAAAAAACTACAATGTGAACTGACAGATCCTCATCAATCAATGTTGCAAGAGTTTTTAACCTCAGATTGTTCTGCACTTGGCGCCTGTATTTATTGCTGGGGGAAAAAAATACAAAATGCCATTGACCCACACTGGAAGCAACAAACTACAGGCTATCTACCTTAACCTTTAGATGAATGGAGTTCGACTATTTAAAACCCTGAAGGCATTTGCTTCTGAATTCTCCAGCAGTCGAGCAACGTGCAAAAACTGGGAGTACCATTAATAGCTGTACAGATGGATTCCGTCCCTTGTTTGCTGCAATAAAAATAATCCTTGAGAATTTTTGCAACAATATTATATCCAGGTAAGGGGAAACAATTATATTATTACAGCGGAGAATTAAAATTCCACCTGTGTCTCGATAACAATAATAATAATAATTGCATTTGATATAACGCCTTATCGCGTCTTTGAGACGTCTCAAAGCGCTTCATAGAATATACTGTAAAGTGAATTGACTGTGTATTTTGTGGGGGAAAAATGTACTCTATTAATCGGGCATTTCACAACACACAGAAATTAGCAAATTCTTAAATACAATCTTAATTTCTAAATTGCTTTTCTGTAAGTCATTTAAAGAATTCCAAAAAACAAAAAAGCTTGAACGTTACAACTGAATTCAACAATTTGCCAAATTCTGGACGCAAATTATTATTTAAAAAAGTAAGTCTAGACTCAGGTGGAATTTTACTCAAGAGATAAGTTGGAGACAATGGAGACACGAATGGAGATGAGAAAGGTTAATGGTAAATGTAACAGACTTTATTACATTTCAAAAACACTCCTCAGGTTTTTCAGTGTAACGTATCAGACTGACTGCAAATGGTAACTATTGCGTTTTTTAAATCTATCCAAAAATGTCTTATTTTCAAATACATTGTGGATTTGCTAAGAGGCTATGAAAGAATTATGTTTAAATTACCATTTTGAGTAGAAAGCACTTGTGTTACTCCATCAAGTAAACGATTAGTTTCTCACCTTGGCACTTTATTCTGTGTCTGCTCTCTGAATATTTCTACAACTGCTTTCAATGTTTCAGCAGAATTCGACAGCCAACAAGGTGGAACTGTCTCGAAAATGTCAAATTCTATCACCCTGCATCGATTTAAACAACTTGGGCAAGACAATAAGGCATTCGAATCGGAGTGGACAAGTAAGATGCACCAGCAACATAGCTCATTCCTCTCACATTAGGGTAAAGATTCCTGAGCCAAAAGAATGGCAACAAATGATAATCTTCACTGTGTTGGTTAACATACATTTTGCTCTATTACAGGTGCCAAAAATCAGAATCGAGGGTGAGTATGTGCTTCTCATACTAAGCGCCTTGTACTGTAATATGTGTATTGTTCTGTCAACAATAAAAGTATAAGACATCAGGTGTCAGCCTGACTCAATTGCGAACGCTCTTGAGTCAGAGGTTTATGGGTTCAAGCTCCACGTCAGGACTTTGAGCTCACAGTCCAGGCTGACACCTAACACAGGCAATTCACAAAATAGAGTCAATTCGCTTTACAGTGTAATTCTGTGAAGAGCTTTGAGTCGTCTCAAAGATGTGATATGGCTCTCTATCAATGCACGGATTATTAATATTATTATGACAGTTTGTGGGCCATTACTGTAAACAATTTGATTTCTATTTGCCTAAATGCACGCCATGCAGTTTACAGTAAATCTTGTGAAATGCTTTGAGAGGTTTCAATAATGCGTCGAGGTCCAATATTAAACGTAAATATTATCATGGAAACTGTATTGGATTGAGAATGATTTTTTATTTGACTCTCATTTATTGATTGATGCATTTCCACATTGCCTGTTGTTCACGGAGTGTGTTTTACAGAAATTCCTACACAGTAAATGGACATTCCTCCTCCAAAACTAAGAACGTCAATGGAGATATGTAAGCCAGATGTATTGCAAAATTATTCTAAAAGTGCGGACAAAAAATCAGTTTATTCTTGTTATTACTATTTATATTTCTCTGTGTTAGGCTAACTAGAAAGTAATCATGATTTTTTTTCTATTCAAAGTTCGAAAAAGAAAAAGGAAGCAGTCATTCAGATTGGATATTTTGAGCTGGTAATTCTGAATTTTTAATAGATTATTGAGATGAATCATTTCTTCCAGATTACTTCAAAATACTGTAGAATTCCTCTGTACATCATTAGAATTGAGGAAAGAACCATTTTGTCCAGGCAGGACATTGAGTCAGGAGCCTTACTCACGTGTCTGGGAAGAGGAAAGTGAGTTAACGTTTCAGGTCCATAACGAAAGATTCTGACGAAAGGTCAACGACCTGAAACGTTGCCTCACTTTCCTCTCTCCATAGATGCTGCCTGACCTGCTGAGGGTTCCCAGACACTTGTGTTTTATTTCAGATTTCCAGCATCTGCAATATTTTGCCTTTTTTTAAATCTTACTCAGCTCACCCTGTGGGAATATAAACATTGAGCCAAGAGACTGACTGGGAGGGGCAGATTCCAGCACCTCACAACATGCAGTTTCTTGTATAATTGGTTGCCGATCTCCTGGTTCGGTTCCCAGCCATTCTCTCTAGCTCTCTTTGGATTACCGTCAAAGAATCACCTCTCACCTATAAATTGCTCTATGCCTTTGTTCCTCCTATCTTTCTTATCTTCTCCTCCCTTCTCCTCTGCTCAACCTCCACTCGCTAACTCAGATTTCCCCCCCCATTCACCCCAGGCATCATTATAACCACCCTCACTCCCTCAATCTACCCCTCTGCTTAGCCCCCTCTCAATACATCCTGAAATCCCATCTTAAAATCTTTCTCTTTGATCTTTCTATTTGGTCACTCAATCCACGACTGTGTGTGGGACGCTGCTGGGGACAATTGGCTGCTGCGTTTCGCCCACAAAATACGCAGTCAGTTCACTTTACAGTGTATCCTGTGAAGTGCTTTGAGACGTCTCGAAGACGTGATAAGGCGCCGTATCAAATGCGAGGATCATTGTTATTATTAAACTAAATTTAATAAGATTCCTTAAACACTGAAGCGCGTGCTTTATTAAAAAAAAACTTCTTTCAACAAAATGATTAACAGCAAATAAATCTCGTGGAGCTTCGAAATAAAATAATAACAGTATTAAAATTAAAATGATACAATTCTACAATGATTATGAATACAATGCGGCAGGCAATACAGTCTTAACCCATTTGTGTATCTAACACAGCTGTTGGCTAAACGTGCACTCTCTTCTCCAGCTCGTATTAACCCGATGCCTATCTTCCATTCACTGGGTTTTGCTACACATATGTGCTTTAGGGAGTCTCACATTATATGAATTCAGTACAAATTGTCCCTGTCTTCCTATAACAATATTGTACACCCATTAGTCGTGTTATATACACGTACTGCTTCCTCCCCCCTCCACTTTTTTACCCTGTGCAACTCTCTCTCTCTCTCGGCAATGATGAGTCAATCTATTAACAAGCCCTGTGTCAGTGCCAGAGTTACCGCAGCTCGAGCTACATGGAGAATTATCAATGTCAATTCACCTGTTGTCTGTAAGCACTGATGCTGACCTTATCAGATCATCGGAATAGGAAAGTTTGGGGCTTTGCTCGTGACTAATCCAGAACATTCTTTTCTTCAGTTTCGATTTGCTTCCTGCTATGAGATCACGATGATGGTTATCGGAGGCCTGTGTGCTCTTCTCCACGGCTTGGCCCAGCCCAGTGTGTTGTTGATATTCGGTTTACTGACCGACACGTTCATTGAATATGACATAGAGTTACAAGAACTGAACCAACCCGGAAAAACCTGCATAAATAATACAATATCTTGGGCCAATGGATCAGAATATCAAACTGCAAAAAACGAGACAATAGCATGCGGGTGAGTGATTGTCTGCATTTCCAATGGATTATGTGTTCATTCATTGTACAGGATGGTGCATTTTATATATTACAGTTACAGGTAAGTTAAGGCATCATTAGGATTTGGACATTGTTTCGTTCTTCGATCAATTCAAATGAATCATAACACACGTAATAATAATAATCCTTGCATTTGATATAGCGCTTCTCATGTCTTCTCGATGTCTCAAAGCGCTTCACAGAATATACTGTAAAGTGAATTGACTGTATATTTGTGGGCTCTCACAGCAAGTGAATGATTTTCTCAAACCTTTACTTTTGCTATTATCTTTACAGGATTTTAGACATTGAAAAAGAATTGACTATGTTTGCTTATTATTACATTGGAATAGCAGCAGCAGTTCTTATACTGGGCTATTTTCAAGTAAGTAAGTGGCTTCCTGTGTATCCAAATGAATAATTTCCAAGAGTCAATGGCTTCTGATAGCATTTCCAAATGTTCTAAACTCAATGCCATCATCCAACTGATACGATTGTGATTGTAAAAAAGAACACTCGCTTTCCTATCATTTTAACAGAGTGAGTGTAAAGTTAATGTGTTCCATATCATGTTACGCTTGGAAAATAATATTCTCCCCAATCGCCTCATGCCTTTACAGATCTGTTTCTGGGTCACAGCTGCTGCGCGACAAGTGCAGAAAATCAGGAAGACTTACTTCAGAAAGATCATGAGAATGGAGATCGGTTGGTTTGACTGTAACTCCACAGGAGAACTAAATACAAGGCTGTCAGAGTAAGCATGCTGACTTCAAAACAGTCCAACTTTGCCACGATTAAACTCCGATAGCTAAAGGTTTAATGTGGAGGATCACAATAAATTGTACTGGTAAATAAGCAACAATAACAAATTACATTTGTGTAGCAACTCTCTCATCGAGACAATATCCCAAGGCGCTGGACAGTCAGGGATTTGGACCCGAAGCAACAGTTTAAGTCAAAAAAGAGAAGCAGGGGTGATTTTTGTAAACACTAAACAGTCTGTGAAGTGAATGAAAACTGCTGCACAATGTTTAACTTACTTAAAGCATCACACACCTGTTTGAAATGCAAAGGCGTAGAATGGTTTATCAATATAGAATTCATGGCAGTTTCCCTTTGTTCACAGCGATATCAATAAAATTAATGATGCCATCGCTGATCAAGTTGGGATTTTTATTCAGCGATTCACGACCTTCACTGCTGGATTTCTTCTCGGATTCATCAGTGGGTGGAAATTGACCCTTGTGATCATTGCCATCAGCCCTCTGATTGGTCTGGGAGCTGCTCTTATGGCATTGGTGAGGACATAGTGTGAGAACTTCCAGTTACTACACAAAGAGACATGTAACCTTGTGCCATCACTGTGTATTTACTGCTATCAGTGACTCTCCAGATTTACTATGGATTCACTTCAAGACTGAGGTGGATAGATGTTTGTTAGGTCAGAGAATCAAGGGATATGGGACAAGGGCAGGTAATTGGAGTTGAGGTACAGATCAGGATATGATTACATGATCCATTTAAGTAAAGTGTACTTATTTGTGAAAAGTAACTGGTGTCCTAGAATAATAATAATAATAAGCCTGAGAATTATCTTACAGGCTGTTTCAAAACTAACTGGTCTTGGACTGAAGGCTTATGCCAAAGCTGGTGCTGTGGCAGATGAAGTACTTTTTTCTATAAGAACAGTGGCTGCGTTCAGTGGTGAGAAAAAGGAGGTTGAAAGGTTAGTTATTACAGCAATAATATTTCTGCCTTGAATTAATGCCTATTTTTTCACGATTATTATTATTATTATTATTTCATCCACAAAAAATACAGTCAATTCACTTTACAGTATATTCTGTGATGCGCTTTGAGACGTCTCGAAGATGTGATAAGGCTCTGTATCAAATACATGGATTATTATTATTATTAATTCCGACTGGATGTAAAACCGGAACAGTATTGGACTGTATTGCATTGAGTTATTTGATAGAACAATGTTTCATTGCATTAGGGGATAATTATTCTCTCTCCATTTCACTGCACAGATATGAGAGGAACTTGATATCTGCACAACGCTGGGGAGTGAGGAAAGGCATGATTGTGGGATTTTTCACAGGATACATGTGGATGATCATCTTCCTGTGCTACGCCCTGGCTTTTTGGTACGGCTCTTGGCTGGTGATCGAGGAAAATGAATACACGCCTGGCAGTCTCCTACAGGTATGTATACAACACCAACACCACCAACAACAACAACAACATGTATTTATATAGCGCCCGTCACGTTGGGCAGCATTTCACAGCGGTTTAAGCATCTTTCAGTTTATCAACTTGTTTCAATAAGGTTACGATGAAAACCGAACCAAATACTCGTTTTGAAATCAGAAGGATAACTCTCTAAAGTTTTGTTTTATTTACCATAAAGTGTAGCGACTGCGTACTTTGTTTCATCCACAAAATACGCAGTCACTATACTGCGAAGCGCTTTGAGGCATCTCAATGCCGTGACAAGACGCTATATAAAATATTTATTATTATTGTTTAAAGGTGCACCTTGCCTCACTATTGTATCAGACGGATTATAAACTTGGTTTCCAGAGAGTGCTATCGTCTAAATCAGATTTCCCCAGATTACTAATTCAACAGCAATGAATGAGGAGCGAGTAGCTATTTGAAGTTTTTATTGTGGAGCAATGGTTTGGCACCGGATCAAGGCACTAGAGCTGCAGGTTTAAGGTCACAGCGGGAAAACATGCCACAGATACCATGATTCTTCCATTGTCCCTTTCCGTCCCTGTCCACTGTCCCGTACACGCACCGGTCTCACTCTCAAGGTTAATGTGGGTAATTCTCCAGCCCAGCTTCCCGTGTTCACAAGCAAAGTCGGGCTTATATATTGTGTTTATACAGTGGAAATGTTGGGGAGCCACGAATTTTTACAAAACAATAATAATTTGGTGACTCAATCCACGAGTGTTTGTGGGACGCTGCTGTGCGTAATTAATTGGCTGCCGAGTTTTGCCAAAAAATATACGGTCAACTCATTTTACAGTGTATCCTGTGAAGCGCTTTGAGACATCTCGAAGATGCGATTAGGAGCTGTATCAAATGCAAGGATTGTTATTAAACAATGGAGAATGAACCAATTAAATAGACAGTTTTGTGGCTTTGAAGATTCGGAAAATGACCTTTCAGCAGCATAATTGTTGGTACCTGGATTGAGTTTCCCAGCCTTTGTATCTGTGTGCAAAGGTTAAATTCAGGGACAATTTTTACCCGTGCCTGTGCTTTGTTTCAGGTGTTTTTAGGGGTGCTTATAGCTGCGATGAATCTTGGACAAGCTTCACCCTGTCTGGAAGCTTTTGCCTCTGGTCGAGGTGCAGCAGCCAAAATATTTGCAACCATAGACCGGGTGAGTGGTTATACGGTTATTTACAGCACATTACAACCACAACTTGCATTTATATAGCGCCCCTCCCACAGGGTAGTGTCACAGAGCACTTGACATTACACAGTCCTACCATCAGGATACAACAGTAATAATAATAATAATAATAATAATCCTTGCATTTGATATAGCGCTTTTCACGTCGGGAGGACGTCCCAAAGCGCTTCACAGAACACACTGTAAAGTGAATTGACTGTATATTTGTGGGCGAACGCGGCAGCCGATTGCGCACAGCAATGTCCCACAAACAGTCGTGGATTGAAAATGACCAATTTATTATTGTTTTTGGTTTTGGAGGGATTATTATTAGGCTCTGTGTGGAGTAAGGAAACTTGCCCAAGGTTTCGCCCTCTGCCTGGAATTGAACTCAGGTCTCTCACTTGCAAAGCGAGTGCTCTAACCACTGAGCTACAGGACTCCACAGTGTAACAGTGTAACCTCACCTCACTGCTGTAATAAACTATAACCATATTCCTCACTCTAGGAACCAGAGATCGACTGCATGTCAGTGGAAGGATATAAACTGAATAGAGTCAAGGGCAACATCGAATTCCATAATGTGACCTTCAATTACCCGTCCAGGCCAGATGTCAAGGTAGTGAACTGTTCACTGAAATGTACCTGGATTTATAATGTTAACGGTTATCAAGCCTTGGTTATATTTCATTAGCTTCTGAGTTGCCTTTAGTTGATTTATAACTAACCTTCGCAGATTCTCGATCGCCTGAGTCTGGTTGTTAAAGCAAGTGAAACCACTGCGTTTGTTGGGCCAAGCGGATCTGGTAAAAGCTCGACTGTGCAACTCATTCAGAGATTCTACGATCCCAAACAAGGGATGGTAATGCTTTCAAATTACTATATCGATGCCTTTCCATGACCAACTAACTAGTTTTCAAATATGCCAACAAAATACTGTATTAATTAATGAATGAATTAATATATTTATTTCTATTTATTTCATATCATGTGTTGTGGTATTATGTTATTGACTGTGTGTTTGCAGGTTACTCTGGATGGCCATGATATTCGCTCTTTGAATATCCAGTGGTTGCGTTCTCTGATTGGGGTTGTTGAGCAGGAGCCGGTCTTGTTTGCTACCACCATTGTCGAGAACATTCGATACGGTTGTGACAAAGTGACAATGGACGATATTATCAAAGCCACCAAAGAAGCCAATGCTTATAACTTCATAATGGAACTGCCCCAGGTATCTCCTAGCTAACGGTATTAATAATAATAATCCTTGCATTTGATATAGTGCCTCATCACGTCTTCGAGACGCCTCGAAGCGCTTCACAGGGTATACTTTTCTATTCGTTGCATCTTTGATTTCTCAACTCAAACCTTACATTTTGCAGAAATTTGAGACTCTTGTAGGAGAAGGTGGGGGTCAGATGAGTGGGGGCCAAAAGCAACGCATTGCCATCGCTCGCGCTCTGGTCAGGAACCCCAAAATCCTGCTGCTGGACATGGCCACCTCAGCCCTGGACAATGAGAGCGAGGCCATAGTACAAGAGGCCCTAGAGAAGGTAAGTTCCCATTGGAGTCATAATGATGTGTCGTTATATTATTATCACTCTTTGTAGACTCTTAAGCTCCACTGGTATTGATAGCAACACTCAAGCTTTGACAAACTGCGTTATAATGATATCAGAGCAATTTGCACTGAAGGGTCACCTTTTGATACATGGCCAACCATTTGTTATCCTCCGTATTTAGCTTCTGCACAAATATAAGTTAGACTGCAGCAGATCTAAAGTGTGGGGACATCTTTATGCAGAGGGTGGTGGGGATGTGGAACTCACTGCCGGAACTGTGGTTGAAGCAAAAAGGACCTAGTTGGGACAAGTGGTCTGTGTCCGTGCTGTAATTCTATGTAACTGTGCAACAAAATGATTCCTTTCAATAACGGTTTTATAACTGGCCATTGTTATAACGTGGTGACAAGGTGTTTCTGACCACTTTTGAATTCATTAAAAGCTTCACCTCGGTCGGACGACAATCTCCATCGCACATCGCCTTTCCACAGTAAAGAGTGCCGACATGATCATCGGGTTTGAACACGGAAGAGCTGTGGAGCAAGGCAAACACAATGAATTGCTGGAGAGGAAAGGAGTTTATTTTACTTTGGTGACTCTTCAAAGCCAGGGAGACAAAGCTCTGAATGAAAAGTCGAGGCAGAGTAAGCATGATCTTCTGAAACAACAATTTTGTTTTTAGCAAAAATTACCACTGGCAACTAACATGTTGTGTACCTGTTGTGGATTGACAGAAACATTTTGGATACCTATTACTTTCTTTTATCGGCAGCAGAGACTACGCTTGAGGAACCAGCGATAGAAAAGCCACGGTCTTTCAGCAGAGGGAGCTATTGTGCAAGTTTACGGTAAGAAATAATCATCGTATTGGAGGAAACATTGATCAGGAAATAATAATAATAACAATAATAATCCTCGCACTTGATACAGCGCCTTATCACGTCTTCGAGACGTCTCAAAGCGCCTCACAGGATACACTTTAAAGTGAATTGACTGTGTATTTTGTGGGCGAAACGCAGCACCCAATTGCGCACAGCAGCTTCCCCACTAACAGTCGTGGATTGAGTGACCCAATTTTTTTTTAAAAAAAGGGTTTATCATCCCCGGAAAAGTGATCCATCAATCGACTAACAACTGACTGCTAAGTAAACAGAGACGTGTGGAGTAAGGAAGCTTACAACAACAACAACAACAACAAGATTCCATTTATAAAGCGCCTTTCACGTCAGGAGGACGTCCCAAGGCGCTGCACAGTTGGGTCATGACCCGAGCAGGGGGGAAATGGTCAGGGTGAGGGGAGGGAAGGGAGGGAGCGAGGAGGGGGGAAATGGTCAGGGTGAGGGAGGGAAGGGAGGGAGCGAGGAGGGGGGAAATGGTCAGGGTGAGGGGAGGGAAGGGAGGGAGCGAGGAGGGGGAAATGGTCAGGGTGAGGGGAGGGAAGGGAGGGAGCGAGGAGGGGGAAATGGTCAGGGTGAGGGGAGGGAAGGAAGGGAGCGAGGAGGGGGAAATGGTCAGGGTGAGGGGAGGGAAGGAAGGGAGCGAGGAGGGGGGAAATGGTCAGGGTGAGGGGAGGGAAGGGAGGGAGCGAGGAGGGCGAAGAGAGTCGAGAGGGGAGCTGAAGACTATCTAGTACAGCTTTTTAGGAATAGAAATTCCATTACATTAACATAGCTGCCATAAAGGCATCTGGACTGTGGTCAAGGCAGCCAATCACAAACCGTGAAGGCTCAAGGTATAGATTAAGATTTAATTCAATCCCTTTTCTTATACAGATCTTCCATACGACAGCGATCTCGGTCTCAGATATCCAACATGTTGGCTGATATTTCTATATCTGGAGAGGTTGGCTCAGTGCTTCACCATTCATCGGTAGATGATATACAGACGGTAAGAAAAATGTGAAATCCATGGCCATGTTATCTGATCTGAGATCTCTTATTGCGTACACAACAAATGAAGTAAATTGACAAAAAATAGGAATGTTATAGTCAAGTGGAATAATAATAAACAATCTGCCAGAATCTAGACTCGGTCACACTGTAACTTGAAAGTAAATCTTACAGTACATATACTGCAAACTGTAAAGTGAATTGACGGTTTATTTTTTGTGGGCGAAACAATCACTGACCAGTAGGCAACAACAACAACAACAACAAGATTCAATTTATAGAGCGCCTTTCACGTCGGGAGGACGTCCAAGGCAGCTCCTCCAGTACAATTGACTCTATATTGAACGGTCGCTGTCTAACACAAGTGCTTGTGAATTAAATCCGGGTTCATTTCATTCAAAGCTGAAAGGTTTATTTTTGTCACAGGCTGTAGAGGAGGGGGAAGCGGAAGATATTGAGCCAGCGCCAGTCACTAGGATTCTGAAGTACAATGCCTCCGAGTGGCCCTATATGCTGTTTGGTGCCCTTGGGGCTGCCATCAATGGTGGAGTAAATCCAGTCTACGCACTTTTATTCAGCCAGATTATTGGGGTAAGAGGCCCATGGTCTTCCATTTTATCAGTTCGGACGAAAGGTCATCGACCTGAAACGTTAACTCATTTTCCTCTCTCCATAGATGCTGCCTGACCTGCTGAGGGTTCCCAGCGTCTTCTGTTTTTATTTCTTCCATTTTATTATCCATTTGCAGGGGGATGGGGAGAGAACGGGGGGAGTGGGACTGATTGGGCAACTCTTCCAAAGAGCCGTCTCAGGCACGAAGGGCCGAATGGCCTCCTTCTGTGCTATAATTCTCTATGATTCTATGATTATCAGTTGAAGAAGCCTGACATTATTTGCATGTAAAAAGTAACCTACCTCAATGTCTCCCTGATTTCCCCCCCCCTCAGACCTTTTCTTTGTCAGATGAAGAAAAGAAAAGAAAAGAGATTAATTCCATCTGCTTATTCTTCGTTGTGGTTGGATTGGTGTCTTTCCTGACACAGTTTCTCCAGGTATAACTATTTTGGTTCTTTTTTAAGAAAGCACAAGTGCAGTTGTTTTGGAGCTTTATTTAGGAGTTTGTAACACGGGGGTTGTTCTGGAACAGATATTTTTGTGTACCCACATCAATCGCTTCACGTTCCATGTATTCTACATCAACATAATGCATCTTAATTCCATTCGCAAAATGCCGTTCACCTCGTGTGCGATTTCCATCGGTAACTTTGTCGCCCGTAGTAAAACTGAAGCATTTCTACTGCACATCATTTTAACATGTTAATCCATTCAACTGTGAAATGAAAAATTTCTTTACGCAGAGGTTTGTGAAGTTGTGGAATGCTCTGCCCCACAAAGCAGTGAAGGCACAATCAATGGGCATGTTTGAAAGCAATCAATTCAGCAAAAATTTTTTTTGTATCTTGTTGACAAAAACAAGATTTCATCTTTATTTTCCACCAGGGTTATTTTTTTGCAAAATCAGGTGAATTGCTGACCCGGAGGCTGAGGAAGATCGGATTCCAGGCAATGTTAGGTCAAGAGATTGGCTGGTTTGACGATCGCAAGAATAGTCCTGGAACATTAACAACAAGACTTGCTACAGATGCCTCACAGGTTCAAGGTGTAAGTATTTATACGAGTAGGGATAACAAATGCAGGATTCCTATCTTTCACTAGTTTTTCATATGAAGTTCAGTGTTCAAATGGACATTGAATTAGATACTGTATATGCTGATGTCCATCTCTTGCCCTTTCAGCAAAAAAATAATAACAATTTGGTCACTCAATCCACGACTGTTATTTTAAAAGAAAATGTTATTGATTCTTTTCCATTAGGCTACTGGGTCGCAGATTGGAATGATTGTGAATTCTCTCACCAACATAGGAGTGTCCTTGATCATCGCTTTTTACTTCAGCTGGAAGCTAACCCTGGTTATCCTCTGCTTCCTGCCTTTTTTGGCACTGTCTGGTGGTCTGCAAGCCAAGATGTTGACAGGATTTGCAAACCAGGACAAGCAGTCACTTGAGATTGCTGGACAGGTGAGGCTTCAGAACGTACTCGATAAGCAGAACCTTTACTTGTCCTCGACCCGGCTGTGCGCAATTGGCTGCCGCGTTTTGCCTTTCAAAATACACAGTCACTCCACTTTACAGTATATTCTGTGAAGCGCTTTGAGACGTCTCGACAACGTGATAAGGCGCTCTATCGGACGCCAGGATTATTATTGTTATTATTATGAACAGAAACTTTTTTTTCGACATTTCCTCATACTTTAGATTTCGAGTGAAGCGCTCACCAACATACGAACCATAGCTGGATTAGCCAAGGAGAAAATGTTTGTGGAGCTCTACAACGCGCAGCTGGAAAAACCTTACAGGGCTGCCATTAAGAAGGCGAATGTTTATGGGGTCTGTTTTGGCTTTGCCCAGTGTGTAATCTTTTTGGCTAACGCTGCATCTTATAGATTTGGTGGTTACTTAGTTGTTGCTGAAAACCTTCATTTCATGATGGTGTTCAGGTATGGCTACCTTGTTACACATGAGAAATAATGTCTGTATCGCACGGACCGCAGAACATTGAGTAGATGTTTTTATGATCAGCTATTGATCGGATCAGTGATAATCTCTCTTGATTACAGAGTGATTTCTGCCATTGTAACGAGTGGGACCGCCTTGGGAAGAGCCTCGTCCTACACCCCAGACTATGCCAAAGCTAAAATAGCTGCTGCACGCTTTTTCCAACTTATTGACCACGTTCCCCAAATAAGCGTCTACAGCGAAGGAGGGGAAAAATGGGTATTGTATTACTCTTTCACTAATAAAGAGCTGAGCTTCAATGTACAGTGTATAAGGTTAATTTTCCGAATGTACCTCATTAAAGACTGATAGTAGTTATGGCAGTGTATGCGTCAATTTGACGGGAAATTAATAGGTCAAAGACTGAAGCTAATTTTCCTTTTAGAGTGAGTGTTAAATGGTTTATAAAGACTGAGCTGTGTAACTTGGCTGGAGAAGGCAGCAACATTATAGTTCCATTGATTATTTCTTCTTATTATTTTAATATCATATTGAACAATTTGTTGTTGTTTTGACCTAATATTAAATGATCCAAACACTCAGTTATTACACTGGCACCATCTTAATTTTACTTATTGTGTTTAACCCACGGCTGTTTGTGGGGACGCTGCTGTGCGCAATTGGCTGCTGCGGTTCACACACAAAATATACAGTCAATTCACTTTACAGTATATTGCGTGAAGCGCTTTGAGACGTCTCGAAGACATGATAAGGCGCTATATCAAATACAAGGGTTATTCTTATTATTAAAATTCTACCATTTTATTTGACAGAGTAACTTTGAGGGGAAAATTCAATTCATTGACTGCAAGTTCACATATCCTTCTCGCCCGGACATCCAAGTTCTCAATGGCCTCTCAATCTCTGTTAAACCTGGGCAGACACTGGCTTTTGTGGGAAGCAGCGGATGTGGGAAAAGTACCAGCGTGCAACTCCTTGAACGATTTTATGACCCGAATAAAGGTCGAGTGGTATGTTAATCTGTTCTAATCTATTGTGCTAAATTCTCAAGGCCTTGAGCTAATCTCGTTCCCTAACAGTTGTTTTGTATTTTATTGCTTCGCAGTTAGTTGACGGCCATGACACAAAGAATGTAAATACTGCCTTCTTAAGGTCTAAAATCGGAATCGTATCCCAGGAGCCTGTACTGTTTGACTGCAGCATCGCCGAGAACATTCAATATGGTGACAACAGCCGGCAAGTCAGTCTGGATGAAGTGATCGCAGCTTCTAAAAGGGCTCAGCTCCACGACTTTGTCATGTCATTACCCAACGTAAGGTTCAGTGACCTCCCGCCCTGCGATCGAAAACTAAAATTGGATTTTGGTTTATAAACTGCAGTGGAGTCCTGTAGCTCAGTGGTTAGAGCACTCTCCTCGCAAGCGAGAGGACCCGGGTTTGATTCCCAGACAAAGCGAAACATTGGGCAAGTTTCCTTACTCCCCACACCTCTGTTTACCAGCAGTAAATAGGAACCCGGTGGTTAGTTGATTGGTGGATGGCTTTTCTAGGGATAATAATCCCTATTAAAAAAAAAAAATTTGGTCACTCAACCCACGACTGTTTGTGAGACACTGCTGTGCGCAATTGGCTGCCGCGTTTCACCCACAAAATATACAGTCAATTTACTTTACAGTATATCCTGTGAAGCGCTTTGAGACGTCTCGAAGAAGTTATACTGCGCTGTATCAAATGCCAGGATTATTATTATTATTATTATTATTTTATAACTTCTCTTTGTCATTGCACGGCTTCACCCTCAAGTGTATTTTTGAACTTCCTCTCTCAGCAATACAAGACCAATGTGGGTGCTCAAGGCTCCCAGTTATCTCGGGGACAGAAGCAGCGCATTGCTATAGCTCGCGCCATCGTGCGAGATCCCAAAATTCTTTTACTGGACGAAGCCACGTCTGCACTGGATACAGAAAGTGAAAAGGTATTGGACTAGAGAGAAAATAATTTGTGGGACGCTGCTGTGCGCAATCAGCTGCCGCGTTTCGCCCACAAAATATACAGTCAATTCACTTCACAGTATATTCTGTGAAGCGCTTGGCGACGTCTCGAAGACTTGATGAGGCGCTGTATCAAATGCAAAGATTATTATTGTTATTTATTATTATCTCTTGATTGCAGACTGTCCAAGACGCTCTCGATGAAGCACGACAAGGCCGGACCTGCATTGTGATTGCACATCGCTTGTCGACCATTCAAAACTCAGACATCATTGCTGTCATGTCTCGAGGACTCCTTATTGAACAGGGGAATCACAAGGAACTTATGGCCCTTAAAGGCGCCTATTATAAACTCATCACAACTGGAGCTCCTGTTAGTTAAACGCACGACAAATTCTAAATGAATTCTGACTGTTTAAAAACAGGTTGTTTTCTTTCGTGACCTTCGGGAAGTTAGAACGTAAATCACTCAACCAACCAACCAACCAACTCTGTTCCTTCATGGCTCATGTAAGTTTACTATTCCATTATCAAGAAGAATGATCTGCAAAGATTCTCCCTGATCCACAAAAGCAAAGACCTAAAACTTCTAAAGGATTAAGGGATATGGGGATAAGGCGGGCAGATGGAGTTAGGTTAGAAGATTAGCCATGATCTTATTGAATGGCGGGACAGGCTCGAGGGGCTGAATGGCCTACTCCTGCTCCTAATTCCTATGCTCCTATGTAAAACTCCACAATATCCCTAGGTCTTCATAACTCAGCTCTTTACTCCAAGGCAACATTCTCCCTCAAACTCAGCTCAGCTCAGTTCAGAATCCCATGTGAGACATCTCGAAGAGGTGACAAGACGTTATGTCAAATGCAAGATTAACATTATTGTTATCCTCTGGAGAATTTGTTTGTTTCATTTTATCCAGGTATCTCGATAGGTTCCGATGCTGTTTCCAAGCAAACAATTATCAAATTTGTCTTTCAAAGTTCAGTTTAAAAAGTCAATCAATTGTTTTTGTTACAGATTTGCTCCACGTATTTACTCCTGATCCCTGACTGTTCAGCGCCTTGGGATGTCCTCCCGACATGGAAGGCGCTTTACAAATATAATTTTGCTGTTGTTGCTCTCGGTGTGTATGTGTGGGAAGAGAGCGGAGGGGGAGAGATTGATCTAATTTTAGTTAAAGTTACTCCGATGTTTGTCACAGCAGTCTAAGGCCTGACTGCAGTAATGCTGGAATGAGCATTAAATGTGAAGAGTATTTTTATATCTGGTTGGTAACAATTAGAGTTTCAAACGTGCTTGCGGTTTTTGCACATTGCTTCATCTGCAATGCAAGATTCTGTCAGAAGTTCCACAGGTGATAAATACTACAAGGTGATCTTTCTGCAGTGCCATTGATTTTTTGTACCTATTTAAATAAAAACAGCAGCAACTTTAATAATGGAAAGGTGACTTAAAGCAAGGCATTCCGTGCAGTATTGTTTCATTTACAAAATGTTAGACACATAATTTATATCTGTCTTTAAATGCTTTGATGAATTAAAAGATAAATGAAATACTGATATTCTCCATGTACCATGTATGATTACTGAACAGTTTTACTGTCCACTTTCAATGTGGAGTCTTGTAGGGTAGTGGTAAGCATAAGGCGCTATATCAAATGCAAGGATTATTATTATCATTATATATTGGTAAATCTTAGTAAATATAATGAAAGGTACACCTGTGACTCAGTAATTGATTCACAAGAGGAATTATGCAAACTATGGTGAAATATGTTAAAGTTTATTTGACATTTAGGCTCATGTTTCAGGCACCTCTCGTATACACAGTAAAATAATAATTGAAGGATGGAGACAAAATCTAGAGCATTTCATGACAGTATTCTATTAAAATGTTCAGGTGTGCTTTTTAAAGTATTCGAATGTTTGATAACAACAGACGTGTTTGTAACATGGTTTGTGTGATATTTAAAAATAGCAAAGTTACATGCGCTTGACATCGAATCATAGAATCTTACAGCTTTTCGGCCCATCATACCTGTTAAAACATAAAGAAAAACATGCTGGAGGTTGCTTATGTGTACAGTACCAATAAAATGCTTAGAGTTTTTGTTTAATAATGTGTTAACATTATATAACAATACAGCATTGGATATTCAGAAATAGTTGTGAACAGTTTTATAATGTATAATAATGCCTACATTCTGTAAAGAAACATAAAACAACAACCCCTCACAGTGCAAATTCAGATTTGTTTGTTTTTTAACCCTCTAATTTTACTCTGCACATAACTCTATCCAACCCAATTACTTACTATCCGATTTTCATCTAAAAACATCCTGTTTTTGTTTTATTTTTTCCTTTATTTTGCTGAACCATTTGAGAATTATTACACCAATGATGTGTTCTAACTGGCTTACTAGGTTGTTAAGATTGGCACCACTTTGACATAAAACCTTTCCTACAAAGTCAGGATGGCTCCACAAGCAACCACTAGTCAGGGTGTGTGTAGGGGCTTCAAATGTTACATTCTTCTCCTCTCCACCTCCCACCCCAAATCATGGAATTGCTTGCTTCCTTTTAACACTCCAGCGTAAAAACAGAGAACAGTTAAATCAAACTTAATCAGCAAAGGAGGTTCACATGTAATCCCACACCCAGAACTTGAGGGTTCAGCCTCTACCTAGGAGTCAATAGCAATCTGTGAAAACATTTCTTCTTACCCTAAAGGTTTTTCTTCAAGCACCTGCTTAAAGATCTTTCTGGTCTAAAGGAAACCACGTCCAAAATTAATCATATTCCACAACAGTGACTTTTCTATCCCACTAAAGTTACATTCACTTACTTTGAGTATTTTGTTATGAGAATTTAATAACATTACACTGTAAAAAATCAATAGGTGTCATTTGTTTGTTGTAGATTTATGCAGTGTACAAAATACATTGTGGTCCTAATCGACTTTGTTTTCTGTGCTCCCCATTAAGAGATGAACAGAGTAAGGGATTAGTGCAACTACAGTAAGAGGAATCATTGCACTTTTACAGAAACAGAGCACGTAAAACACGAGTTCAACATGAGTTGGGATCTTAACTAAGTCAAACAGTTGTAATGTTGTCAATGAGGAAGCTACGCACATCATCTTGAAACGTGTCTTGCCCCCATTCTCCCCTTTACAGCTCTGAAGGAACATTTGAGAATTCACAGCAAGACCCAACCCAAACAGGGCACCTAGATTCCTCACCAGCCCAGCAAAAGGAGTGGTGTCTATGTGAACCCAGTCTGGATTAGCACACCATTTCTTGGCTTTCCGAACAGACCACAACAGGTCGATGTTGATCAGTTTTAGCACCAGATAAAAGCCAAGTGCAAAGATGAACAGGAAGAGGTTTATCTGCATGTACGTCTTCAGTCTTGCTGCCTGTATAGATGGAATGTGTTCAAATACTTCTGCTACAAGTATTCCTAAGGCACAGAACAAAGTCAGAGGGTATTCATTTCAAATACAAACTAAACACTATCAGTTTGCAGGGCACAGAACTCCTTTTGTACAGAGATGAGTTTAGTTCTATCTATGGAACTGTAAGTCACCAAGTTAATACCTTTATTGCAGTAAGTTATTTAACTTCATAATCCCAATTTTTCTCACTGCATGTTGAGAAAACCTCTCCATGTGCACTACGCTATTAAACATGTACGCACAGATAATAATACTAATAAACATTACATTTGATATAGCGCCTTCATGTCGGGAGGACATCTCAAAGCACTTCACATGATATACTATATATAACAATATTCCCCATTATGTACCTATTGTGCCCAATTTACTCAGTAACCAATGCAAATATTTACCTCCTATAACTCCCAACACAACTTGATGAGGAAAATGTGTAGCTACAAAGACTCGTGAGGCACAGACACTGATCTGAATGATCCAGAAAACTAGCCAAAGAATTGACCAGACCAGCCTGAGGAAGAAGAACAATAAATCTTTAATAAGACTTTGTTGAATGATTGATGACATTTCAATACATCGAGATGTTCCAGAGGCCAAATGCTCATTGAGAACCACAGTAACGTTTGTCTTACCAATATACAATGCTCTGTGATTTTTCTTTTGTTAGTCTTGAGTAGCTGAGTACAGCTGTAATCATGACATACCATACACAGGAAGAGCCCATAGCATGTCCTGATGGACTACCTAAAAAATAACATAATATACAATACTTGTTACACAAAATATTTCTTATTTCCCAAAGGATCAAGTCTGTATTTCTAGAATAAGGGTTCATTTCATTTAAGATTTGGAGGTCAATTTTGCACCAATTGTATTAAAACGTTAGTTGTAATGATCAATGGAAAACATCCCATTTGATTCAGATTAGGATTGTGCGAAGCTGAACTTTAGGTCGGAACAGTAAGTTATTCTTATCTCCACTTGATAAACAAGGACTGGTTTAAATGACATATACACCTCCTCTCCCAGCTGGTCTACAGGAACATACAACCATCCCATGGAATATAAACCCTTGCCACTGACCGTCAAAGTTAAGAACCAGAAAACAGTGGATGCAAAAAGGCAGGAAAAACAGCAATAATCCCGAATGCTAATGAATAAATAAAAAAAGATCAATAGTTTATATACAGCAAGACGTCTATTTTGGAACCAAGCCATGAATCCAATTGGTTTAATTTATACCTAGACTGTCCTATGTACTTTCTATTACAAAGGTACCTTTCAATACTGTTGTTAAATGAATTAAGATTTCAAAATACCACAGAAATGGCTGAGAACAAAAGAATATCTTGTCGTTTTCCTCTTACCTGGTCCTGTTTCACATGTTATGGGAAACTGCTGCAGTTGTGGTGCTGACAGATTGGAGTAAAATTGTGTCTCTCTGACCCACCAGTACGGTCGATGGCCAAATAAAATCCTGTCAGGATGAGAAAAATACTGAAATTGTTCAAAGCCTCTTGAATAACTTCATTCTATTCAGCCACAGACCAGTGATCATGGAGTCCTGCAGCTCAGTGTTTAGAGCACTCGCCTCGCAAGCGAGAGGACCTGGGTTCGGGCAGGGTGAAATGTTGTGCAAGTTTCCTTAGTCTGCACACGCCTCTGTTTACCTCGCAGTAAGTAGGGAACCCGGTCGTTAGACTTATCACTTTTCTGGGGGAAATAATCCCTTCAAAAATAAAATAAATTAAAAACATAAAATCATAATAATCTGGTCACTCAATCCACGACTGTTTGCGGGACGCTGCTGTGTGCAATTGGCTGCTGGGTTTCGGCCACAAAATGTACAGGCAATTCACTTTACAGTGTATCCTGTGAAGCGCTTTGAGATGTCTCGAAGACGTGATAAGGCGCTTTATCAAATGCAAGGATTATTATTAGTATTATTATTATCATCTTACAAAGGCCCTGCTTTCTAAACAGGATCACAGTTGCACTAAACAATTCACCCATCTTACCATTTAAATATCAGGTTGAACCAGTCACCGATCACTGCAACCCATATCATCTTAATGCCCAGGTTTTGACTCAGTTGAACCCAGAGTGGGAAGTAAACTGAGAAGATGTTCCGAGGATCTCCTACAGCAGACATGAAGTATAGAAAGTCCTGATAGCCCCCGTAGTTTGCTTGAAGATGTTGAATAACATGGATTTCCCAGCTGTAGAGGAGATCCATGATGAATATATACGGAGTATCACTGCTCTGGTGTCACCCACGCTTGTCAGAACTAGGATAGCACCCGGAATGGATCAGGTAAATACAGTACTCAGCAATCTGGCTGATTGAATGAACCTGCTTTTATATTTCACACTTCTGATCTCTGGGTAGGTTTGCTTGATGGGATTAAGCACTGTTCCTGTGGGTGGGCACGTGACCCACCACGCATTAGAGAAGGCCTTTGCCGTTTAAGTGGGATGTTGTTCCAAGACACAGAAGGTAGCGCACATGCTTACGTGAGGTAACTCATGGGTAAAAGTTCTCTGTTATTTACATTAAAATTATCTTTGCTTGGTTTCTTCATGATGTCAGAATTTGGAGTGGCTGAATATTAGCCCGATGCATGGTTTAGCAAATGATAATGATTCCATTAAAGTGCGGTTAATAGTTTAGTGTCACCCTCTATCCTAGAAATACACTATATATAAAACGTTGAGGTAGGAGGTACAGTACTCTTCTATGATACTGAGGTTATTGTACAAGGAAATCTGAGACAGGAGCTGCTGCAGATAAAACTAATTGACATGGAGAAAGAACATCAAGTACATTTTGCCATCTGTTCCTTTTAAATGCAGGTTCAACAATCTCTCAATTACCTGCATCACCTAACAGTGAGGAGACTTTTTTTCCCCATTAGACAAGATCATATTAGATGCATTAGACGTGTGGTCCGAAATCTCAGCCGAGGGACATTAATGAAAGGAAAATCCCAGAGCAGTTTGCAGTTCAGATCAGCCTGCGATTCTCGACTACTTTATTTCCAAATCCTTGACGGTCCAATGCCTTGGGACGTCTTCCTGACGTGAAAGGTGCTATGCAAATGTCATTTGTTGTTATTTTGGGGGGATATATCAAAGATGCTTCAATGAAATGGATGTACAGGTGCACAATGGTGTAAGCTAATATATCACAGCTCTATTGGACTGAGTTTCTATGCAGTCCAGAGAGATGATGATGCACTTACTTTACTTACTTACTTTACCAATCCTAGTTCTATAGTTTGGGACAAAAGGGGTCACATTTTTATTTTTTTGAAGGGATTATTATCCCCGGAAAAGCGATCCGGCAATCGACTAACAACAGGGTTCCTACTTACTGTCGGGTAAACAGAGGCGTGTGGAGTAAGGAAACTTGCCTAAGTTTTCGCCCCACCCGGTAATAGAATCAAACCCAGGTCCTCTCGCTTGTGAGGTGAGTGCTCTAACCACTGAGCTACAGAACTCCACGAGAGCAGAGCAGAGGACTGAACGTTCATCCACAGATGGTGGGGCAGACAGAGGGGGGGGACAAGAAACAAGCTGTGAGTTTGCTTAGTGAAGGCAGAGGCTGTGTCTGTAGGGTTGCAGGTGGCAGAGCTGGAGCGGTGGGAGGTCACGGAGAGTTAAATGGCCATATCCCATAATCACTTGTTTATGTCAAGCGCGGTCCTAATTCTCCTTTGTCCTTCGATACGAAATTTTCCAATCACTCGTTTGCTCTCTGCGATTCCACATTTCCGTCAGCATTTATCTCGCGCGGGCCGGCTGTCTACTTTTGAGAGCGCAGCTCGATGTTCACGCGGCGGCTGGGCTCCGCGTGCAGGTGCCACTGGCGCGGCGAGCCTGCGAGTGAGCTTCCAGCGCTTTCGTCTCCTTCAACCTCGGAAATTTTCATCCTCTTAAAAGTGGACTTTGTGGAGTCCTGTAGCTCAGTGGTTAGAGCACTCGCTTTGCAAGTGAGAGACCTGAGTTCAATTCCAGGCAGAGGGCCAAACCTCGGGCAAGTTTCCTTACTCCACACAGAGCCTAATAATAATCCTCCAAAACAAAACAATAATAAATTGGTCATTTTCAATCTATGACTGTTTGTGGGACATTGCTGTGCGCAATTGGCTGCCGCGTTCGCCCACAAATATACAGTCAATTCACTTTACAGTGCGTTCTGTGAAGCGCTTTGGGACGTCCTCCCGACGTGAAAAGCGCTATATCAAATGCGAGGATTATTATTATTATTACAAGTGCTAAAAAATGGTGGACCCCCGCAAACGTCGCGTACTGGCGAGAAGCTCAGCGGGCAGCGTGCAGGAAAGAAAAATGCTTTCGCCGCAGCATCCGCTAACGGCCTCTACCTGCCGAGTCGAGCGCAAAGGGTTAAACAATCTGGTTATGTAAGCGGTGAGAGTGCGATGTGCGGAAAAAAAAAAACCATCAACGAAGGGAAGAGGAAATTTTTCCGGCTTCACTTTGCTGATGGCTGTCTGAACGGTGACTGATCGTGTGCAGGTCAGCGGAGGACAGGGGGCAGGTGCCGCTGCACAGCTCTCGACGGCGCCGGCAACACTGACGCCGCGTAAATAATAGGGCCCCCATCGGGTCAGGTACCAGAAGGGTGACGGCTGCCATTGGAGCTGTATCCCCGGGCGGGCGGCGGCGGCAGAAATAAGTCAAGTGCGTTCTGAAGGCGCTTTAGAGGGCGCGGGGCCCGCGCGTGGAGGGCCCAAGAGGAACGCGCGCGCTCCGGGGGTTCGCTTCCCGGAATAATTATAATAATAATAATAATCCTCGCATTTGATATAGCGCTTTTCACGTCGGGAGGACGTCCCAAAGCGCTTCACAGAACACACTGTAAAGTGAAGTGACTGTATATTTGTGGGCGAACGCGGCAGCCAATTGCACACAGCAATGTCCCACAAACAGTCGTGGATTGAAAATGACCAATTTATTATTGTTTTTGGTTTTGGAGGATTATTATTAGGCTCTGTGTGGAGTAAGGAAACTTGCCCGAGGTTTCGCCCTCTGCCTGGAATTGAACTCAGGTCTCTCACTTGCAAAGCGAGTGCTCTAACCACTGAGCCGCACGACTCCGGGGGAACAATCCCCTTCGAAAATAACACGTCTCGGGGTCCATCACGGAGTCTCCCCGAGTAACACACAGCGCAGTACCATCAGAGTACACAGTAAAGGAGAGTTAGAGTTAAGTCACAGTGTAATACACCACATTAGAGGAGGAGTTGTTGTTGTTGTTGTTGCTGCTGCAGTGCAGAGCAACGCGTCCACACCGGTCTCAGCACTGACACCCTCAGGCCGGGAGGGGGACTGCAGCCACGGCGGCGCCGACCATCTGACAGCAGCCAAAGGGGGGGGAGGGGGGGAGACACACACACACACACACAGAAGGTAATCAATAGCAACATAACTGCAGTCCGTTGAGTCCGCGTTGTTCTGTGATTGACGCGCACTACACGTACAGCGCGGTGTGATGTGGTGACAGAGAGAGAGGGTGGGGGTGGGGGGGGTGTAATATACCGCCCCCCCTTCGGAGGTGGGGGATGTGGTGCAGTCTGACGGCCGCCATGTTTCCCGCGGAGCCCACGTGACCCTCGTGGCGGGAAGCAGCTCAGGTCCCGCCCGGTGTGTGGGCGCCGCATACACCACACACAGAGGTGGTGTACGTTATACACCGTACACCGACTGCACGTCGTGTTGTACACCATTATTTGCGGAGGACAAGTTTGCAGCACTATGGGGAGAGCGCGGGGGAGTGGGGATGATTAGGGCTATGGGGGGAGGGGGGGAGGGGGTTGATTAGGGCTATGGGGGGAGAGGGGGGAGTGGGGTTGATTAGGGCTATGGGGGAGAGGGGGGGAGGGGGGAGGGGGGGGGGGGGGGTGGGGTTGATTAGGGCTATGGGGGGAGAGGGGGGAGTGGGGTTGATTAGGGCTATGGGGGGAGAGGGGGGAGTGGGGTTGATTAGGGCTATGGGGGGAGAGGGGGGGAGTGGGGTTGATTAGGGCTATGGGGGAGAGGGGGGAGTGGGGTTGATTAGGGCTATGGGGGGAGAGGGGGGAGTGGGGTTGATTAGGGCTATGGGGAGAGAGGGGGGGAGTGGGGTTGATTAGGGCTATGGGGGGGAGGGGGGGAGTGGGGTTGATTAGGGCTATGGGGGGAGAGGGGGGAGTGGGGTTGATTAGGGCTATGGGGGAGAGGGGGGAGTGGGGTTGATTAGGGCTATGGGGGAGAGGGGGGGAGTGGGGTTGATTAGGGCTATGGGGGGGGGGGGGGGGTTGATTAGGGCTATGGGGGGAGAGGGGAGAGTGGGGTTGATCAGGGCTATGGGGAGAGCGGGGGAGTGGGGTTGAGGGCTATGGGGGGAGAGGGGGGAGTGGGGTTGATTAGGGCTATGGGGGGAGAGGGGGGGAGTGGGGTTGATTAGGGCTATGGGGGGAGAGCGGGGGAATGGGGTTGATTTGGAAGCTCTTCAAAGAGCGGCACAGACATGATGGGCCGAACGGCCTCATTCTGTGCTGTATAACTATCATTTATTCTCTGATTCTATACCATACAGAGTTGACACACGGCTGCTCAGGTACCTGCTTCGTAATATACAAGAAATGTATTTATTGACCGTTTTGCTTTTTGACAAAATCCTCCCACAAAGGCACGCTTGTATTGTTTTGCTTGCAAGCGTGTAAGAAATGAAGGTATATTAAGTGAACGTGTAATTTTGCAGTGGACTGTTTCAATAAATGGTTCACCTGGTGCACGTTCGTACACTTCTCTAAAAATATTCAGGATAATTTAGCATAAAATTGTGACAGATCACTAAAGTAATGTTTCTTTAATGTTGATGAATTTGCTTCCTTTCTCAAAATAGGTTGCTCAGAGTACTGGCATCGCTGCCGATTGCAGACTGGCCTGAAACACACAGCCTGCCAATGTGGGAACTCCCTCCATAGTAAGTGGGAACTTACTGAAACTTCTACTTTAAAACACAGCTGTTTTTTTTTCTCAACGGTATTATATTTATGAGCAAATTATCTGATTTGATTGTTTCCTGACATTTTGTTCTTTTGACAAAATCCTCCCACAAAGGCACGCTTGTATTGTTTTGCTTGCACGCGTGTAAGAAATGGAGGTATATTAAGTGAATATGTAATTTTGCAATGAACTGTTTCAATGAATGGTTCACCGAGTACTCATTCATACATTTCTCCTCATATTCTATATAATTAGCATAAAATTGTGATAGATCACTTCAGTAATGTTTCTTCTAGCTGGTTTATGATTTCTCTTGGTATTTATTTCAGGTGCCATTGGGATGGCAGAGAATGGCTAACTACAATCTTGCATGTGCAGAAATGATGCGATCTTGGAAACTGGAAGTACAGAAGCAAATGTACGACATCACAGAGCCTTGGGACGTCCTCCTGACGTGAAAGGCACTATACAGATGTAATTTTCTATTGTATTGTACAGTATAAGCAGAGAAAGCAGAAGCTACAGTTGTCACCATATTTTAGGCATAATAACTTACTTTTCATATATTTGAATCACTTCTGAAATGTGGCTTTTTGAGGAATGAGCTGAAAGAGTATATATTTCAACACAAGTATTAAGATTGTGTACTGCTTATAACAAATAAACAGCCTTTATTTGTTACAAATATCATATTGTGCTTAGCATTGCTTCCTGACGTGTGAATTGCATTGTGGCAAATCAACCCATTCATGAAGTAACTTGATGTACAACTTTCAGAGCACATGTAAAAAGTCTGGTTTCAGAGCAGCTCGTAACAAATGGCCAATATCTGCGGCTGACAAACCTGATCTATGCAAACTGATTCACGTTCCTTCCCGGCTGTTAGTTGTGATAACGGAGGGGGTAGAAGTGGCTTTTCCACACAATAATTTGGGATTCTAAGGACATATTGCACAACATTCCTCGCCTTTGATATCGTGCCTTATGTCGAAAATTTCGAAGTGCTTGACAGGGTTGGCTGTGTCTTTAGGTGAACCCGACAGTCAGGTTTGCACAACGCAAAGAGGCTTTTAAGTGTACGACTGTTGGCCAAGATACCGGGGAAAAACTCCCTTCCCTTCCGAGTTACAACAACTTGCATTTACACAGCGCCCCTCATGCCGGACAGCGGTGGGAGTCACGATGCCAAGCCCCGGGGGGAGGTGACCGTAGCCCCGGCCGAAGAGGAGGGTCTTCAGGCGCGACCTGAAGGATGGGGGAGGAAGGAAGGGGCACACAGCGGAGAGAGAGAGAGAGAGGAAGAGTGTTCCAGAGTTTCGGGGCGTAGTGACTTGGAGTTGCGGCCACCGAGCGGTGGAGCGGAGGGCACGAGGGGCAAACTGGAGGCCTCGGGCACAGAGACACAGAGCCGAGTCACCCTCAGGGGCACAGACACACAGAGCCGAGTCACCCTCAGGGGCACAGACACAGAGCCGAGTCACCCTCAGGGGCACAGTCACACAGAGCCGAGTCACCCTCGGGCACAGAGACACAGAGCCGAGTCACCCTCAGGGGCACAGAGACACAGAGCCGAGTCACCCTCAGGGGCACAGTCACACAGAGCCGAGTCACCCTCAGGGGCACAGACACACAGAGCCGAGTCACCCTCAGGGGCACAGACACAGAGCCGAGTCACCCTCAGGGGCACAGTCACACAGAGCCGAGTCACCCTCAGGGGCAAAGACACACAGAGCCGAGTCACCCTCAGGGGCACAGACACACAGAGCCGTGGTTGGGTCCGCACCCACACCCCCATAGGCCGCCATTACCCGCCAGCCATCTCCTTCCGGTTGCTGTGACGGCGGTACCGGAAGTGGCTGCGGGGAGGCGGCCGTTACAGTTTGAATCCGAGCGCGAGCCGCGGAGCCCCGACACCGGGACAGGGAGAGAGCGGGTAATCACCACAGCCCGGGGCCAGGGGGACAGGGGACAGGGAGAGAGCTGGGGTGCGGTGTGAAAGGCGGGGAGCCTGGTGGGGGTGAGGGTGGGGGTGATGGGGGCGGGGAGCCTGGTGGGGTGAGGGTGGGGTGATGGGGGCGGGGAGCCTGGTGGGGGTGGGGGTGAGTGTGAGGGTGGGGGTGATGGGGCGGGGAGCCTGGTGGGGGGGGGTGAGTGTGAGGGTGGGGGTGATGGGGGCGGGGAGCCTGGTGGGGGTGGGTATGGGGGTGATGGGGGCGGGGAGCCTGGTGGGGGTGGGTATGGGGTGAGGGTGGGGTGATGGGGGCGGGGAGCCTGGTGGGGGTGGGTATGGGGGTGAGGGTGGGGGTGATGGGGGCGGGGAGCCTGGTGCGGGAGAGGACGTTCTGGATGATCTGCAGCCTGCGGAGGGAGGGGTTGGGGGCCGACAAGCGGGGAGTTTGCATAGTCGAGCCTCGATGTAATTAAAGCGCAGATCACGTCTTCCAGACGTCTCAAAGCGCTTCACAGGAAATACTGTAAACGTGAGCTGCCTGGAAGATGTTTAATCTGAATTGAATGGTTTGCTTCAGATCAAATGGGTAGCGTTAAAGAAGATGCCACTCAACTGAAGGAAAAGCTAAATGAAACCCGGATCAAATTTTTCACTTTGTGGGAAAGTGACTATAATTCAGCGGGATTCAAACAGCAATACCGGGAGTCCTTAAAGATCACAACAGGTACAGGCGGTCTAGTTGCAAGCAGATATGCGCTGTTTATGGAACTTCAGCTAACATTTCATTGTTGTAAAGTTTATGAACTGCAAATGGGAGAATATGTGCCATCGTGCTCTATGTTGGGTGAACGTGTAAAAAATAAACTGCAATTCTGATTTGCAGAATAAATACTAATTTTGTCTTCATATGCTAAATAACACGCCTCACACGTACGCGACATCTACGTTCTGAAGTTTACTCAGTACTACCTGTGTCATTATCACTTTAATATTCAAGTACACTCCAAAGCTTATGTTATAAGCTTACTTTGTAAAGAAGTTTACTTTACACTTGAGTGACGTCTTCCCAACCTGAAAGGCGCTTTACAAATGTAATTTTGTATTGTATTAATTTAAATAAATGTTCCTTTTACAGACAAATGTTTACAAAAATATGAAGAAGAGAAAGTAATGTGTGCAAAGATCCAACAAACCAGTAAAGGTACTTGGTAACTTATTGCATTACTTTTTTATTGTGGTATAAATTGGATTGTCGATAGTCGTCTTGTATTTTGATTGGAGCAGGTCGGCATGAAAAAAATATGGTCTCTGTCTTTCAGCTATTTCCGAGCACAACATTCTTATCACAAAAAGATATGCAGATCTGAAGAATGCACATTCAGACTTCAAAAGCTCTGTACAGCAAAAGGGGGAGCTTTTGGAAAAGATCAAGGAGCTGAAGGAAGGAATTGTCAAAAAACAAGGGTGTATGTATAATGTTAGTGGATGAAAATGCTGTAATTGAGAAATCAGAGGCATAAATGACCCTCAATTATGTATTTAACAGTTCAAAATTGTGTTTATCAATACATCTGTATGGCCGAATTCAGACTAACTACATTCTGATAGCAATGAAAGATAAACTTTGTAAATGTTTACAAAATAAGTTGGATGCTCATCTGTGATTTCTATCCCAAGTGCTCCTTGTGCAAAAACAAGAAAATAAAGCAAGACTGAAGGAATTAAATAAAGCTGCAGACTTGTTCAAGAAACGCATGGGACTGGAAATACGAAAAGTGCAGGGTAAGACCGAACATCTCATCAACTGAAAAAAACACTGCTGTAATCTTGTATAATAAGTGGAAATCATCAAAATTTAATGATGAGCATTTTCTATGTTGGTTTGTTAGCTATACTGACCCCCAGTTCCTTACAGAAATGACATTTATTTTGACTAGTCTTTAAATGTGTTTCCCTCCCAAGTTTTATGTTAGGGTTTTTAGTTCATGCTTTTTCAAATAAACAGCATTGCGGTTTTAAAAATGAAACATTTAAGCAATGTCCAGTACTTTTCAGTCCTTTGATCAAAGCTATTTTCTACTTGGTGGTGAAGAATGTTAATTTAGACCAGGTTCGTTCTCTAACTCTCAGTATTGTGGGTTTTCAAAATGTAGCTCAATTCCATTCTTTTTAAGTGAAAATATTTGGAATTTACATTGAAATTTCCAATGTACAATTTAATGACAATTCGTCAGGAGATCATTGCAACAGGGAGAGCGTGAAAGTGTTCAATCCTGTTCACCATCTTAAAAACTTTAAGATGTAGATCATAGGCATCGATAATATCAAAGCAACTTCTGTAGTTTATTAGTTTTGAACAATAGACCCATAACACAATAAGATATTTTAATAACTCAAATCTTCATTATCTATTTGAAGAATGTATTATAATCCCTGTTATTTATACCCCCTCCACTCACTTAATTGTTATTCAATAGGTGAACAGCTACAGTTTATCTTCAGATACATCAATCATAAAAATCCAGAGCAGCCATTTACATTCCTATTGAAAATCAATGATGAAGGAAATTACCAGGGTATGTATGTCTCTCCAAGAAGTTACATCTGAAGTTTGTGCTTACAATGGCTGAACCAAACTCTTCCCCCAAGTGATTGTATCTGAAGGTGATGCAACAGTTGACTACTGGAGCTCACAACAGTCTCTCTGGGAAACATTACAATCATTATACTCGACCGTGCTTACGGTCAGCTCCCCTCTTTCTCTGACTCTCCTTTAAGCTCTGTCAGTGCCACAAATGTAAATGCAAGTTGTTGTTGCCATGTTGCCGTGAATCTGATCTAATAAGAGCATTTAAAGGCAATTTCGATAAGGGGGAAACGAGTGGGGTACACACAATGGCCAAGTGATCTTCTGTGCTATGAATATTCTGTGATTTTGAGAAATGCCAGGTGTTCTTCAGCAAATTCTTGTCTTTTCCCGATAGTGTTGTCGTGTGATCCACCTCTGGAATGCATGACCGTGCTGCAGGAGAGACTGAGACAAAGCAACAATTTCTCTGCTTTTCTTGCAAATATCCGGAAAGCCTTCACTGCATTGATATAATTCAAGAACGCCTTGACAGCATTTATATTACCTGTTTCTCTAATTATGTTTAACTTATTCAGCTGTTTGTATTTTCTCTTCTAAAGAAACACAAAGGAACTTCTTCTGCGTCTGTCTTTATATATGTTTCTCTAGTGGATACTGTTTTGACTGTAATATCTACTTGCTGACATTTATACAGCAAGAATTGTGTTCAGTTTAATTCTGTAATATAGGCTGCCTTTTCACTGTCGTATACATTCGCTGCCTGTTATCTAAACTTTTTTCTTAATCATTGATATTTCTTATACAATATATTTTTTATCTACATTTGGTGGATTGGTACTAAAGTATGTTGTACGATGGCCGTGATCAAACCTGTATAAGTGATAAATGACTGGCTATGTAGCCATGAAACAATGCTTCTGCTGTAGTGTTAAATAAAGTAATTTTCCAAGTAAAGTTTGCATCTGTTGCCAAATATGTCTAAACAATAGTGAGATTTGTTTGAGGAGAAAATGGATGTTACATTCTGTAAGGTTGCAAGCAGTGACTAAGTTGATAGAGATGAGCATTTTGGACAGTAGTTTTATTTCAACTTCTAGTATTATGGTGTGTTTCTACATAAGCTGTTCCTTGGGTTTACCAATTGACTTATTGAGCAAATTAATTAGTATGTAAAATGGAAACGTTTGTGCCAGTAACTTTTTGGAAAGATTAAAGTAATTTCCAGCAAGAGAAACTGATGACGCCAATAACTTAAAAGAGATTCACAAGAGAAAGAATGAGATCCACACATCTAGAGATGGTTATAGCCAGGCCAGTGCCAACTCCTTCAAGGTGTCAGATTTTCAGATCTCACATCTCTGGGGGGCTTCAAACCATTTATAAAAACAAATCATGACGGGTTTTATGGATTAGTTTATTTTGATGGTGCTGGATGTGTTTGGTTCAGTGTTGCTCAATTTGACTCTAAACAAGAGAGTCACAAATGGTTTAAATTCAGAACATAACCTCCCAAAATGCTTTTAAAATGTAGTCATAGAAGAACGTTTCAGCTATTCGCTAGTTATGTTTCATGTTACACTAGCATCTGATTTTAATTCTGAAAACCATAGAAATTGCGGAATGCAGTAATTGAACATTACATAAACGTGAGTGAGCAAAAACGTGTAGATTATTCTCTGAGGGCAGTATTGATACTGTGGCATTGCCCAACATTACCACTTGTAAACTTTTGTGCAAAGCCTTCCTTCTGCGTTAAATTTAGGAATAACAGAGATGTTAGGGCCAGATTGTGAAACGTTCATTTCTGAAGGAATGCTTCTTGCTTTATAAGATTGAGGTTCACAATCGGTCAGTGGGTTTCACCAACATTTTCCATGTTTTAGAGTTTCAGTAAATACCTTGCTTTCTTAATTTAAAAAAAAACAACACGATCAGGTTGTTTCATGCCTCGGATGATCCATATTTTGTGTCTTGTGACAGTTCTTCTACATAGGTGGCTGGGAACATTCCCTTCTTTCCTTTGAAGCTTCCAAACCACCACCCAGTGATATCTTTCCTGTGAATCCTGAGAATATCACCTACAGACAGCAACAAAAAAAAGGATTTTAGCATAAGTTGTCCTTGCCAGTTTCTGTGATTTGCCAGGGATTTAGAGGTAAATTGTGTTTTAGCATAGATGCAAAATCTCCAGGATTAGAAGTCAAACTTCATAGTTTGGGATAGTATGGGACTTATTAAAGGTCTTTGTCACAAGCATAACAAGTGAACTGCAGCATCAAATAAGCCCATATTTTAATTATTGATTTGGCTCTACTAGACTGGGTTTTAAGTTCATTCCCAAATAAAGATGGTGCTGTTCATTTTCAAAAGATCTGAAATTCCACTCATAAAATAGTCAATTCACTTTACAGTGTATTCTGCAAAGCACTCTTGAGACGTCACAAAGATGTGATAAGGCGTTAGCTATATCAAATACAAGGATTATTATTGTATTATTACATTTTTGGGGGTTTGGGGAATACCATCAAACCGTATAACCATGACACATGACAGTTTAAGTCTTGTGAGTTGTCAAGAAATACAATTTTAACAGAACCACACTATCAAAATGCACACAGACATTATAATTGTATATTGCAATACCACTACTCTTGGCATATTCTATGTATTCCGTTCAATACAAATCTGGATTGAGACCTGCATTGATTTAATTACTGTAAATCTTACCTTTCTTTATATTAAGCTCATCTTCTCTGCCTGCTTGATAAGTATATAAAACTTTACATGTTCCAATCTCTTGAATAGGACAAACTCCTGTAGGATCAAACAAATCATTTTTTTAAAATGCTGAGTAAAAGTATTTCAAAGTAAATTCACAACATCTCAGTTTATCTACACATTTCAACCATTTTCCTGGGCCTCAAAACCCCCTCATTGATGATCATTCTTATTTTTATGCTTTGCAGCTGTGACACAAGTAACTGGACAGTTATTGAGGCAAAGTTGTTTATAAACCTTAGAAGCTGCAATATTTATCATACATCTTGGCTGTCAGTTTCACCCACAATATACACAGTCAAAACCACTTTTAATATACCCTGTGAAACTATTTGAGAAGTCTCGATAACACGATAAGGCACTATATCAAATGCAAGGATTATTATTATTAATATCACATCAAATATACTGAAGGCTATAAGCTATTTACCCACTGTTTCCCGATGTTGATGTCTTGTACCCTAATTGTTTTTAAAAATCAATACTTTTCATTACAATTGTACATTGTGAATTCCTTTTTTTTTAAAAAGTGATCAACTTATGTATGTATAGCCTCTAATTAATTCCAGCCTTGATGGATTCCTTATGTTAAGGCCTGGTTGAGAATTGAAAGTAAATATATGTTTGGTAGCGCTTTCAAACTTATGGATATCCTATTATGAAATGTTGTGGAAGCTTTTGGGAAGAAGTTATATTGCTTATTTAAAAATATGCTAATTGCAGAACACAAGTGATAAATAGAAAAGTTTATAAATAAATTACAGGCATGAACATAACAAATGGCGATTGAAAGGAAAGGAAAACACTTTTTAAAGGTATTGTAACAAGAGTAAAAACAACTGTCCCCGTAATCCAAAATAAATCAAACTGACTGTTAACATGTATCTGTCCTTCTTTAGGGATGTGCATGCTTCTCATTGCACTAAAAACCCAGTTTGCCACCAAAAGCATTCTTTGCATAAAGCAGGTTTAGCCAAGTACTCACCGTCAAGCGTACTACAATCTCGTTCATCTAATTGATCAGAGTTATTTGAAGCTGTATCTGCCCTCATCTGTTCCTGCCCCAGTGAGGAATGGTTGGAGTTAGTTGGCTGAATGATGCGAATGGGCTGGTTTGCAGGTTGGGGACTTTGCCCTTGATGATCTCTTCTGGTGTCTGAGGCGATGGAGTTTGTCAGGCTTCTGCGATGCTGCACATTCTTCATTTTCACAGGACGCGAGATCTGTACCACACTGTGGTAATATTCCTGCCAAAGTAACGTTTTTGGTATCTGAGTAGGATTTCAAAGCCAGAACTGCTTCTGGTGTCTTGAATACATGACATTTAGTTGCTAAAAAGGTTTTACTACTTATATATAACTGCTCATCAGTGCTTCCTGCTTTGACGTTACTCTACCCATCGAAGATTCACCAGCTGACTATGAATTGATAAGAGTAAGACACAAGAAATATATATTCTCAACACTGGATTTACATGACTATTTGTAGTCTGAAGTGCTTCCATTGTGGTCAATGTGGCCATTATGCTAAGTATTTTCAATAAATTGTAGAAGAATGAATGCATTTACCAGTGAAAGGCACCTCTGATTTGGCTGGATTCAAATCCATATAATCCAACAACCACAACAACAAATTACATTTGCATAGCGCCTTCCACGTCAGGAGGACTTGAAGATATATATATATTGATCATTAACTTACACTACTAAGATGCCATATAAGAACACAAGTGTCGTGGTTTAATTAGAATCAAAGAAATTGATTATATTTAACATCTACTTGTTCAGACAAATAAAGGAATGGATGCTTTGGGTTAATCAGCTGCACAGAAAAAAAAATCATTATTTTTTAAGTGAAACAGACAAAATAATGACGTCATTAAATAGTTAAATTTCACTACTTAAATCTGCGCATTTAAAGTAAAGAATAACATTGATCTCATGGCAGTGTGATATTAATTTAGGCTCTTGATGAGATGCAAGAAAAGCCATTAGGAGATGTGCAGTTTGTATTTCTAAATACACAGCAAATCATTCGAATCATTTGGAAGCACCTTGTCTTTGCACTTGGTGATGCTGCCATTGAGTGGGTGGGAAGGTTGCCCAGCTCCCTCTAGCTCAGCCACACAGAGCGAAAGCTTGTAGAAATTAAACTCCAGGAGCGTCAGCTTCAGTGTTATCTAGGAATGGAAGTGAGATTAATTATTACTCTTACAGACAAAACACTCCACACAGAAATTAGAGTAAGCCTGTCGTAAATTGAACTTGTCAACTTCTGGGAACACTCCGCAGGTCAGGCAGCATCTATAGAGAAAGGAAAGTGAGTCAACGTTTCGGGTCCACCATCAGAACGAAGGTCGTGGACCCGAAACGTTGACTCCCTCTCTCCATAGATGCTGCCTGACCTGCTGAAGGTTCCCAGCCACTTCTGCTTTTGTTTCAGTTTTCCAGCATCTGCAGCATTTTGTGTGTTGTCAACTTCTAGTGTTTGGTTATTATTTCAATTGAGTTATATTCTTCATTACTTCAGCTATTGGGCAATCCCAATTTGTTTGTTTAGTTTACCTGCACGAGTAACACTGTACTGCCGTATAATCCATGTTAGTATCTTATGCATCAATAATCAATGGCATGTTATTGAGCTGTGTTTGATATTTAAATATTATAATCCACTACCTGGATTAGAAATTTCGGAACGGGTAATGCAAAGTCATATATTTTTTCGAACATGTTCAGAGATATCTTGTTCAGTATAAAAATACATAATATTGACTTTTACCTCATTCAGCTGCATCACGGTTTCTTCTAACTTCGCTGAAAATGAAGGATTTTCCGAGTACGTTCTAACCATCTTCTCTAGCCCTGAAAATTATCAAAAACATTTATTATTGTTATAATATTCATGTGAATCAGACAGATAACTTTTAATAGTAATTTAGAGAAAGGAGACAGACACCTTCTTTGTCCTTTAGTGACCTGGTAATATCTTCCTGAAGCCTCTGTATTTTCAATGCTAGTCCAGTTCTTCTCCGTTCTTTATCCATTGAGTTTCTCGTCTCCTCTTCCTGTTAGATTAACAACAGCTTCTAATTTAGCATTTGCAATTTAAATCAATGCTGTTTAGAGAGATGGTTATTTTTAATAGATTAAAATGACTATCAGTATAATAATAATCCTTGCATTTGATACAGCGCCTTATCACGTCGTCAAGATATCTCAAAGTGCTTCGCCGGTTAAGCTACAAAGTGTAGTAGCTGTACATTTTGTCGGTGAACCCAAAAGCCTGATGCCCACAGCAACGTCTCACAAACAGCCACAAAAAGCGAGTGACCAATTTTATCTGGTGGCTTGTTGGCCAGGACACCAGGAGAAACTCTTCTGTTTTCTGTTCTATTTCTGTATGAAGTCATTAGGCATTTTAAAGAACATATTATCGTCTACTTACATAATAATCTGTAAGCAGAAATTCTGTTTTGTTTTCATCTGATAAAATGGATCTTTCTTCTACCAATATCAAGATGTCTTTCTCAATGTTGACATTTTGTACAGCTTCGTGGATTTGTCTCTGACACTGAAAGACAACATACTGCAATCACATCGGTGCTTCAGAGTTTACAATGAATTTACTTAAATATTAAATAATAACAATAATCCTTGCATTTGATACAGTGTCTTATCACATCATCGAGACATCTCAAAGCCCTTCACAGAATATATTTTAAAGTGAATTAAATGTATATTTTGTGGGCAAAGTACGGTAACCAATTGTGCACTCAGTGTCCCACAAACAGTTGTGGATTGAGTGGTTTATTATTAACATAAGTATTTGTTTTTGAAGGGATTGTTAACCATAGAAAGTTTAATATTAGTTTAATATTAATATAAGTTTAATAATCGTCTGTTTAACAGCAATCTTCAGCTCTCAGAGTTGGACTGAAATGTCCTGTCAGGTAACTATTCTTACTTCTATGAGTGTTCTTCCAAAGCAGGAGATGTGATGGTTGTACTTATTTAAGATGTCGCACAGGAGGTTTATTTTCTCTTTTTCCAGTTCACATATTTTCTGTTAGAAAAAAATTAAATACTGTATCTACGAATGACCAGCGATCAAAGGGATTAATGTTAACGATACAACAACAACAACAAATTACATTAGTAAAGCGCCTTTCATGTCGGGAGGACGTCCCAAGGCGCTGGACAGTCAGGGATTTGGATATAGTAAACCACGCATTTCCACTGGGACATACATCTATCCCCTGGCTTTAAGACTTGGGCACAGTAATTGAAGTGTGTGCAGGTTTACATTTTTGAAGCAAAGGTGTCTCAGAAAATAATGAACTGGCCTATCCATACTGAGAGGTACCAGCTCTGTATCACATTCAACACAACTAAACATACACTCAATTCTTATTCTTTCTTTTGCACGTTAAATAAATGAACGGTTTCACTTTGGCAATCAATTGATTATTATTGTTAGCTGTGTATGGAATCAGCCACTGTATCACACACTGTTCTCTATCTATCTTTGAAGCCTGGATGGGACCTGTTCACAGGGATCTTACTGTCGGTGTCTTTCTATGTGTTACCACTGGGAGGTGCGGAGGATCAATCTCAGCTGCTTGCCAGATTTTAGTTACTGAGTCCATTCACCAGTCAACACATTACATTAAACCGTGTTTCCCTGCCAAGGCCCAAAGGTTGAATTTTTCTGTGCTCCTATTAGATCTCCCCTCCCCACCGCTCCGTACACAAGCTTGTACTTACTAAGGTTCAAGGCAAAATTGTAATGTGAGAAAAGTTCATCTTGGTGAGTTAGAAACAAATCACAAATCAACATACATTGTTCCAGTGCTGGTGAACACACAAATGTCTGTTCTGCTTTCTACTCCACCAAACACATGGCATCCACGTGAAGTTACAATAATAGTCATAATCAACATTAGCATCTTCTGCCAAGTCCAGAACTGAGAGGCAGGAGAGAGCATGGTCTCAGGATTTCAGTGTTGAGGTTTTCTGGTGATATTTAAATTATTAATTACTGTATTAACCAATTACCATATCACAAACGGGGTCGGTCTTTTTTTTAAAAAACTCGCACAATTTTATTTAAGTAAAGAACTGTCGGTGGTCGTGTTTTCTGCTTTAAGACACGTGCGTGCAGAGTTTCTGTTTGTCTTTGAAAACATTCCTGTTGTATTAATCATGGGATTCTGGTAAAATGGTTTCCTTTAACCATTTTGCTACTCGCCTGATAAGACTGCTCTAAAGTCAACTCCCACTTCAGCCGGGTGTCCTCACCAGTCCTGTTCAGCTTGTAGTAATGATTGTCCATTTTAGTCAGAGCCTCAGTAGACTTCTTCAGTTTACTGAGCAGCTGTAAGAACAAACAATAAATAACAATATATTCTGCGGCTAAAGTAAAGCAATTCATAGCAAGATTTTTAATAACAACTTGGCATCAGTAATGAGGTCTCTTTCCAGTAACTGGATGCAGTTCTCATTTACTTATTCCCTTAAGAAGTCCCCTAAATTACATCTTGGTATATAAATAAAAATGTTACTCAAACTTCCCTTAAGAAGTCCCCTAAATTAGATCTTGGTATATAAATACAAATGTTACTCAAACTGCCTTTAACCACCAAATGTTTATTCCTAAAATTGGCAATCTGACAATAGTCCATGGCAGGCATGTGGGTGGGTTGACAGACTAGGCTCCTCTCCTTCTCACACAACTACAGATTCACCCAAAACATACTCACAAAGAACAATGCCTTTATCTCTTTATCTCACTTCGTTTTTTAAAAGTAGTTTTACTCGCTTCATTATCGAAAGTTAAATTTCGTAGCTCGTATAATAATAAAACAATAAGCCTTGCATTTGATACAACGCCCTATCAAGTCTTCGAGGCTTCTCAAAGCGCTTCACAGAATACACCGTAAAGTGTAGTGACTGTGATTTTGGGTGAAACGCCTGTATACCGTGGAAGATTCGGCCTTTTTCCTTTGTTGTTGAACAAACTGCTGTACCCTATAAACCAGGAAAGGACTAGGTCTGTTCCTTAGTCTGTGTGGAGTCTGTTATATCCAGGCCAGAGTGGCTTTAATTTAAGGCAGTTACATTGTTGAGCTCCCATTGCTGACCCTGAATCTGCTGTAAAGTTGTTGTGTATGGACATTGGCCGAGGGAAGGGTGGAATTTGTCTGATGATTCAATAACCTGCTGAAACTCATTGCATCGTACGTGAAGGATGTCCACTTGGGAGAGGTCATGTCTGGTGCCTGTCGACCCTTGGAGACAAGATAGAGGCTGCATTGTGGGGTGCAATTTGTTGTTGTTGTTGTGCATTAAGTTGTTCTGTGCTTATGCTCTCTCCGGCCTTTAGCTTAGGGAAATAGCTTCCAGTAAAAAAAACTATGGTGTAAACGTGGGTTAATATTTTGGTGATAAATAATCCGTTGAGTCCATTTTGAAAGGTCAATTTCGCCCCTAATTTTTTTTTCATTCATTGCAGCATTTACTCAGCATCAATTAGAGTTATATATTACATTTGAAGGTGATTAGTTTACACAATCCAGTCTAGACAACCTTGCGTTTCTCCTTTTCAGTTGCCACTTGTGTGTTGCCGTCTACAAAGTGAAAGAGGACTTCATGATTCTTGGTCGACGTCATCAGCTTCTTTTTACACTGAAACCCAGAATATGTGAATATGGTTGCAAAGTTAATAGAAAGTAGTAACAAAAATAATCCTCGCACTTGATACAGCGCCTTATCATGTCTTCGAGACGTCTCAGAATATACTGTAAAGTGAATTGATTGTATGTTTCGTGGGTGAATCAGACATTCAATAAAACTCTAAAATATGGAAAGCTATGGTGCTGATTATGGTACAAAATCAAATGCAATTGTTTTGTATTTTTACTAAATTGACAATGACAACAGCCTAATTAATGACTTTCAAACCAATACTGCATTGTTAGTGAAATTGACAGCTGAGATTGCAACACTAAATACATTGATGGATACCTTAATCTGCTGACTCCAATTGTCTATCACAAGCTTCGATGCCTTGTCGACTGCAATGTCCAACTGATATAGAATTGTAACATTAGCACAGAGTAAGACGCATACAAGTAAAATATAACTGAATTAAGTCAAATAAAAGGAAATGCTCAATAATAATAATTAGCCTTGCATTTCATATAGCGCCTTATCAGGTCATCAAATGATTTCCCGGGATTTACTGTAAAGCGTAGTGACTGTACGGGCTAATGCGGCGGCCAATTTGTGCAGAGCAATGTCCCATAGACAGCCAGGAAGTGCATGATCAATACCACATACCGGTTTTCTCCTTTTACTATGTTCATCCAGCACTTGACGGATTGGTTTAATGGCTTCTTGCTCAATAGCACTGCCTAATTTCCTGTTCGAAATAATAAAGCGGTTCAGGTTAATCGCACAAAAGATTTGTTACCTCTATCTGGCGCTGACCTTTAGATACAAAGAATATACATACACAGTAATTCATCCACACCAGGCCCTTACCACCCATTACCATCACAAATTGAAATACAATGCAGCACAGGCCTTTCCAAGTGAAATTATAGTTGTCACAAAAGCACGTTACAACACTAGGAGCATTGCTAGTTGACAGATTAATGAAACACAGGAAGCAAAAAGTTCAAGTCGGTAAAAGTAAATAATGTAACGCGCTTGGAATTGCCATATTATACTTAATCATTCAGTCTCTCTAATTCCCGATGCAACTCTCTCTTTTTTCGTGCCATGAGCGGAAAAAAAAGGATACGATATTGAGACTATTTCTAGTGCTGGGGGCTGCAGTAAACATTCTTAAAAGGGGAATGAAGAATAACAGTAAATGTGAAGGCGGAGATTGGGAAGGAACATAGAAGCAAACAGGAGGAGGCCATTCAGCCCCTCGAGCCTGTTCCGCCATTCTATAAGATTATGGCTGATCTGTACCTCAACTCCAATTACCCGCCCTTGCCCCATATCATATCCCTTAATACCCAGACCTAACAAATATCTATCCAACACAGTGCAAGTTCTGTGCAGCCCATATTGGTATAAATGTCAATGTTCCTATGGCCACATACAGTACAGTGCTGGTGAAATCAATATGGCTCCAAACTATTGTTATTAAAACAAAAGGATTCAATCCCCCACAGCTGAAGCCTCTCTGTACTCACCTATGCAAATCTGCCGTGGCTGCCATCTCTTCAGACACACAATTCCACACATCAAAAATGGAGCTTTGGAGACAAATCCAGAATGTCAGACACTACAATTAGAACATTAACCTCGTGAGCTGAAGCCTACAGTCCCTGTGGGTGAGGTATAAAGTTCACACATGCACGCACAGGTTGAGGGCTGTCTGACAGACTGTGGTATTGTGGTAATCCCACTGACATTTCCCTGCCTTTAAATAACTAGGTAAATAATTGAAATGAATTCGCCGGTGGTGTTTTACGTTTCAGATCTTGAGCAGACTGTTGCCTTGTGGTATCTTCCTCAGCTCCTCTGTGCTTCCAGTAAACTGAGCTGCCAAAGTGTAAGCCTCGTTCAAATATCTTTACTTAAATAGTTTGCATCAGCCTATTCAATGATGTCAGTTTGACGCTAAACTGACTTAACTACCCCTTAATCCATTTGGCCTATTTCGATGAACATCCATACCACCCCATACAACACTCATCCTCAACAGTGAACTGTCTAATGGGTGATATTTTTTGAACAGGATTCCTTAAGAAGAAATTCCATTCAAATTATTTTATTCTGTTCAAACTGTGTTTGAAAATTACAATTACGCTCTGTCAAAGCTGAGTTCCTGTGGGTTGGCACCTGACCTACTTCCAGTTATCAGCAATTTAGATACATACGAATATACTGAATGATACTGCAGAGTAAACCTCACGTTTTTTGTCTCAGTTATTCAATTCCGTTTGTACCTATTATTTTAACCGTACAACACCTTTGCAAAGCAGTTAGTTAATCCTGTTCTTTTTGGATGGAATCAATCAAGGCTGCGTTAACTGCTTTAAAGGAACAATGTGATAATAATAATAATGTTTGCAGTTGATACAACACCTTATCAAGTCAGTGAGACGTCTCAAAGCGCTTCACAGATTATACTGTAAAGTGAATTGACTGTATTATGTGGGCAAAACGCAGCAGCCAATTGCCAATTCCACGAAAGATGAAAATTGCAGGTAACACATCAAGGTGTAACCTGTCAACTTATCTGCAACTTGTCGCAAACGGTGATGGGAGGGGAAAGGAAGGTGGGCATTCTGGAAGGATGAGATCAAATAGGCCAAAGGGTCTCCTTCACCCCAACTTCTCTTTATTTTCTGTGTTTCATCTCGTGACCTGTTTATTACTGTCCACCACTAAGCACATTGTCTCCACAAGCTTGAGATCAGCTCTGCTTTCCAACATGGCGTTTGAATGACAAAAAGGCTTATTTTTCCAACGCCGCTTACTTTTTCATCATGTTGGCGGATGCCTTGGTGATCTTGCTGGCCAGTCTGATGAGGCCCTTGGAGTACCTCTTTTCTAGGTCAGCCCTTTAAGCAAACACAATTATATCAGACATGATTCACAGTCGGCCAATGACATTTGCTACAACTCTGGATGCCACACAATTGCTCATGTTTCTTCCTCTTACATTTCCAGTATTTAATAAAAACCGCAGCCCCACACAGTTGCACCTGTGCCAAATGAACAGATAGTAATATAATAAAATAATAATCCTTGAAAGTGATACAGCGCCTTATCAAGTTTTCGAGCAGTCTCAAAGGGCTTCACAGAGCATACTGTGAAGCCTAGTGACTGTGTACTTTGTGGGTGAAATGCATCAGTCAATCGCGCGCAAAATATACTTTCAAAACATATTTAAAGGTTGGACGGTTTGCACCAAAGAAGTTTTTATTCCCCGGTTTCTGTTTGCCAGTGAGGATCAGTTCAGGCAATGCTGATGACTGCTGTACTTTGCCTGGAGATCGTTGCAGATAACCACACAATGACTCAGGCTGTAGGGTGGAGCTCGACAGGAGTTCCCAAAGTCTGTGCGCTACAGTTTTACATGTGGTGTATAACTCAGCATAACTTCTTCACAAACAGTTTCTGGAAAACCATTCCAGCGATAGAACAAACACATTTCCAGTATTACAGAACATTTCAGTGGTAAAGGAACTTTCAGTACTCGAGGAAGGACACTTTAAGCGATAGGTGGGATAGGGGAACCTTTCAATTATATATCTGCGATAAGGACACTTTTTATGATAAAGCAGATAACAACAACAACAAAATTACATTTATGGATAAAGCACTAACAGGCAGAATGATTCAATGATGAGATAAGTTCAGTCATATGAGATATGGTTGGGAAATACAAAGAGGATTTCAGTAATCGAGAGAAGCAAACTTTGATAACAGAATATTTCAATGACAGAATTAATGTTTCCGCAATGGAAATATTCCCCTTTGCCAGTTTAGACACTTAGTTTTTATTTGTATATCATACTATTTTACTAGAGGCCACCTGTTTTGCAGCTGGAGCTTTAAAAATTTGACTTCCGTAGAATTTGTTTACTTGCTATATGTCCTCTGTTAACTGTTTCAGTAGTTACTTTCCACTATCAACATCCTCTGCTGAAAGTCTGAAGTTGTTTTGTGTGAATACAACAGTTCTTTGCAACAGTGTCTCTTACTCAGCACATTCTGTGAGGCAGAACATAGGTTGATTCTTTGTAAATATATGTTAAAACCACAATTTAGTCTTGCGATAATGTGCTGTGAATACGTTTATCCAAGCTGAAAGAAATCATCAGAATGAGTTTATGATTCAACCAACCATTAATAATTGTCGCAACTATTGTTTGGCGGTACTCAAGCAGAGAGTGGCAATCCTAGAACTCTTCATTTAATCAGCGACCGGTAAATATTAATTCGTCTCGTCCATTCACCTGCATCACCGAGTCAATCGGTTTGTGGTTTTGCTACGCTCTTAAACAACATTTTCACAAATACAAATACAAAGTTATACTTTGTATTCCAATGATTTTCACTGGCGCCGTGATACATAGAGCTCCCTTTAGTGTTTCAAAGGAGAATTAGTATCTCATCCTTTAGTTACACAGTAGAATGCAACAAAAGCTTAACTGATAAGACAATAAGTTTCTACGATATTCGTGAATGTTCAATGTACCTTTGCTGAAGGACGGATATGAGTTCTTTGCAGTAATTGTCGCCATTTTTGGAAAACTTCTTGATATGTTCGTACACTCTTCCATACTGAAAATAACCACACATTAATTATAATAATCTCTGCATTTGAAATAGCGGCTATAATGTCAAAACATCTCAGTTAGCTTCACAGGGAATCTCTGTAATGTGTAGTGACCGACCACTCATAAGCAGATGTGACAGCCAATTTGCTCCTAGCAATATCCTACCAACAGACATGGAGTGGATGATCAATATTATCTGGAGGATTGCTGGCCAGGATACTGGGGGAAGCTCTTATCTCTATTTGAGTGGTGTCGGAGAATCTTTAATCTCTACCCGAACAGACAGACAGGACCTGGGCTTAATCTCTCTGTGGAAGGATGGCATCTCCAACAATGCAACCCTGGCACTGGAGCCTCAACCTAACGAGTGTTGGCCAACCTTTTTTGTCTTGATTGACTATTTTTTTGACTTATGGCCACACCATAAATACCGCTACTCAGTGTGTACCTGCTGATAACACCAAATATTGATTTAACACAGATTTATCTAGACTAGTGCGAATGTTCAGCGTGCCACGTCTTGATCCTTGAGGGCCATATTTGGCCCGTGGGCTGGCTACGTGTTGGCCATTACTGACCTAGACTAGACTATATATTTAGAATATCATAATCATTGGGCTTGAATTCTTCATCTCTGAATCACATGCAAGAGAGTCACCAACTGAGCCAGGATGACACATAACTAACATCCACCATCCCAACCCACACAGCAGTCTGTGGTTAAAAACAACTAGAATTCTAACATCTGGCCCTCAGTTTGTCCGAGAACCAGAAAAAAAGGGAAAGCTGCCTAAAAATTCAGTTTGTCTCTGTCATTTGCTGCATGCAATTTGCTTTGATGCATTTTTTTTCTAGGTTGCCACTTGCATTTTCATGACCTCTACTGCAACGAAGATTAAGTTAACACTTGCAGCCCGGCTCGGGAGAAGTTCTTTGAAAGATCTTCAGGAAGCTTCTGGTGTAGAACTTGCGCTGAGACAAGCTGGAAATGTTTTAAGTTGGGCTCCGCTGCATTCAGTGTACCAGGAAAATGAAAATGGTAACATGGCAGAAAAAAGACAGAGAAAGTTAAATGAAATAAGTGATACAAATTGAATTCTTAAAATCTTAGAATTGACAGTAGTGAAGGTCATTGGCTTGAGTCACAAGTACCATTGTTTTTGTCAGAACTGGGAGAAGGATACTTGTTGTGAGATAAGATGATTCTAAATAACAGCCGTAAGGCTCACTTGACCCCTTATGTACATATAATTTTGATCTATATATTTGTGGTGAAGCTTGTGTTTATGTTTAATGAGCCTAGAAATATCAGTGTTCAGGAAATAATAATATTCCTGGCATTTGATGTAGCGCCTTATCACGTCGTTGAGACGTCCCAAAGTGCTTCACAGATTATACTGTAAAGTGAATTGACTGGATATTTTGAGGGCGAAACCCGGCAGCCAATTGCGCACAGCAGCGTCCCACAAACAGTGGTAGATTGAGTGGCCAAATTATTATTATTATTATTTATTTTTTGAAGGGATTATTATCCCCGGAAAAGCAATCCGACGATTGACTCACAACCAGGTTCCTATTTTCTACGAGGTGCACAAGAGGCGTGTGGGTAAGCAAACTTGCCTAAGGTTTTTTTTTGCCCCCCAAAATGGAAGATTTTCCCCTTTGCTAAATTATTGCCAGGACTTCAAGCATTCACTCCAATACTCTGGCCTGAAGCCCGGACGGAACACTTCCTACTATTCACTGCTCACACCAGGTTCCCCTATGGGGTTCCTGGGTGAGGCTGAGAGTTCCTGCTTAACATGGAAAAGTCCTTCAGGATCCTCAATGACAACAGAAAGGGGGAGATTTGCCCTCAGCAATCCACACTAGCCCTCAAACCCAGCTCCCAGAGACCCCCCACCCACCCACTCACTGCTCCCTCTCATCATTATTATATTATATTATTATAATATATTGTTATATTATTATTATCAATGTCTGGGCTGGAATCACACCATCAGATTCTGACTGACACCAAAGCTTAACTGAGAGAGTTTCACTAAAGTTGTACTTGATGCTTGACAACTTTAAGTTTAAAAGTTTATAACTTTAACTCTGATGCATGATTAACTTTCCTCAAAGCAGAGTGGGTTTAGGAGGAGCCCAGCCAGAGCAGCATGCAAACACACCCAGAGTCAAACTCAAACACAAGCCTCAAACAAGCAAGAATTCTGGTTAAGCAATAAAACTGCACCTTACAGTGATTCTCCCCCCACCCACTGCAGCCAAGTGCATTCTCTGGTTAATGTCCTTGGGTCAGTGTTAGTTAGCTCGTTGCAGTGGTTTAAGACAAACAGTGCAAACAGTCTGAGAAAGGACAAAAAAAAGATGAAAGATAAAGATTTCCTTACTGTGCATCCACTCACAGGGTCTTTCATACTGACTGATTGTAGTGCTCCCTCGACCCAGGACAGTGAGTGAGTGAGTGAGTGAGAGTGAGTAGTCAGTGCTGACAAGTTTACACTTGAACTTTGAGCAGTCAGTCAAGTCAGTCATCTGATAGCTCAGCAGCCAGCAAACACACACTGTAGTTCCCTCAGGTCCTAATGCTCCTCACTGTAGCCAAACACATTGTATTTGGCCAAAGAATTATCGACCAGAGAAGGGACTCATTATATTGTACCCTGAGCCCAGTGAGAGTGAGGGGCTGATTGATCTATGTACCCTGTTGTTGGTTTTTTTTTGTCGTCACCGTTTCTCATCAAGGGGAGAAATTTTGTAATTCATTATGTTTTATTTCCCCACGCCCTCCGTTCCACAAGGTGAATCAAAGAGAATGCATCAATTTGTGGTTAACAGCAGTTCAACACTTTTTTTCAAAGAATGTGGTTTCCGGAATTATTAGAAGATCGCGAGATTTTTAAGTAGCAGAATAGCGTTAACGTGCGGAAAATAATAATAATAATAATAATAATCCTTGCGTTTGATATAGTGCCTTATCGCATCTTCGACACATCTCAAAAGCGCTTCACAGGATACACGATCAAGTGAATTGACTGCATATTTTGTGGGTGAAACCCAGCAGCCATGTGCGCACAGCAGCGTCCCACAAACAGCCATGGATTGAGTGACCAAATTCTTCTTAATCATGTTTTTTGAAGGGTTTATTACCCCTGGAAAAGCGATCTGCCAATCGACTAACAACTGGGTTCTTCTTTACTGCTAGATAAACAGGTGTGTGGAGTGAGGTAACTTGCCTGGGAATCGAACCCGGGTCCTCTCGCTTGCAAAACAAGTGCTCTAATCACTGAGTTACAGGACTCCGTGTCTTATACATTGTGCCTTCTCTTATGAATCAATGTGCATTTTAGGTGTGCTTCTTCCATTTTCTAAAATCCTTTTTTAAAAAATCTTTTGGTAATATTTCTGAACGTTTGGTGGTTGGACTTTCTAACCACACCGCAGTGCTCTTACCTCAGGCAGTTTGTTTTTCTCCAGGCGGTGAGATTTATATTATTTGTGACGCTGCATTGATTTATAGTTTGGTACATGTCTCCATTGCTACACAGCTCCATACAGGAATGCAGATTGGATGTGAATGTAAGTTGGTGTGGTATTGAAGGTTTCTGACATTCCTTCATGTCCCAACACATAGAGCAGGACAATATATTAACCTGGTAGATAAATACGGAATTCTATAGACACATAGAAACAAGGAGGCCATTCAGCCCCTCGAGCCTGTTCCACCTTTCTATAAGAACATGGCTGATCTGGACCTCAAGTCCAATTACCCGGCCTTGCCCAGTGTCCCTTAATACTCGGACCTAACAAATATCTATCTACCTTGAAGATGTGAATGGATCCAGTATCCACCACCTTTTGGGGGAGAGAGTTCCAGATTTCCACCACTTTTTTATTTTTTATCGTAACTGAGAGCTTGGCAGTAATTGCTGAGGGAAATAAAGAAACAAACATGCGCTGGTTCTAACGCAATCTAACAATGTGCTGTACGGACAGAAATGATGGCGTTAAAGACAATAAATGCAGAAAAAAATGAGACATATGAGAAGCAAATGTGAAAACAATATGTAAAGATATGAGTTTTTTTGTCATGTGACCTAGAAAATTCTGGGATATCATGATCTTTCACAGTTGAGCAAAAAGGTGATTATTCATCACATAATGATTTGATCGGAGTGATATCTGCTGCTTCTGATGTTATTTATCATTTTGTCAGATAGCAAACAAGTTACTCTGGTAATATCATCATCTCTCTCCACATTAACACTACTACTGTATGAGGCATTTATTCTTACCAGCTTCAGCATGGATATGGTATATCTATTTGCCCCCCCCACCCCATTCCTATTTCCTTTAGCCTCACTACATTATATTCTCACAGTGCTGCGCACCATTAATCTGTGACCTCTTTCAACACTCGTGTGAATCAGCTAGAAACAAGTGCATAAGGTGCTTGTGGAATAAACCGTCCTCCAATCTGCCCTGGCCCCAGCAGGGGAAATGTCTGCCCTCGATTCAGTGCTTCCTCTGACAGCTTAGCCCGGTCAGGATCAGACAGAGGGAGAATGTATTAATCATTAGGAAAGTGCGGTCGGAATAGATATCTATAGCGAAAAACTGAGGGACCTGAAGATTTCAGTCAGCTGTAGTAGATGTGATCTACATAACCTGCCATTGTTCCCTATTGTTTGAGTCTTTGGGGCTTATCAGATGCAAGGATTATTAATATCTTTCAATTATATATCATTGTGTATACTAGATTTTTTATATATTTTGCCCACAAAACATACATTCAGTTCACTTTACAGCATATCCTGTAAAGCGCTTTGAGACGGCTCGAAGATGTGATGAGGCGTTGTATCAAATGCAAGGATTATTATTATGATTATTATATATTTTTACTGAATATACTTGCAGTGATCATGTCAAGGATAAATGTTAACTGTGATTACTATTTGTTACCAGGAAGTATACAAGCTGCATATTTACACAGTTTACACATTTATTGTCAGCCAATAAATACCCTGGAGTGATTTCAAGAATGCCATCTCTCGTCTCGGTAGCGATGATTATTAGTTCATTAACTTTTCCTTCTGTCGTCAATGAAATCGTCCCAACTCCTCCCAACTGATTTATTCCTTGCACCTTGCAAATCACTCTCAGTGAACGCCTTCAAGCCTTGTTCCTTCTTGCATGGACTTGCCTGAAAAACTGAAACACTTGCCCCGTTCTGTCACAGAAACTCACCATTTATTTAAAAATCCACATTTTGCCTCCGAGTGTTTTGAATCAATATATAACAGGATGACCGTACTTCCCTGTTTCCCGAGGACAGTTCCCCGGACGAGGTATTATGACCCTAGGGCTACATCTGCTCCGCCTTGAGTTCAGCAACAAACTGAACAAGAACAAGAACATTCCAAAACACATACACCCATCAGAGAGACAGAAACACAGCCTGTAATCCAACACGCTTCTCCAGTTATTGTGGTTGAGTTCCATTTGTTTATATATGTGGCCCTTGGGTTTGGTTTACAAAATACGGTCACCCTAATATACACAGGTCCCCATTGTGTGCGCAAACTGCAAGCCTGTTCCATTGCCAACCTGTCAGGGCCTCTCTCAAGGCTGCGCTCTAGCCTGTCACTGAGAACTAGCGTCGGTTGCACTGTCCCATCCGCCCGCCCTACCCTCCATCTGGTGACACGGCCCACATCAGTGGGTTGACGTCAGGTGTGAATAGAAATCCTGTCGGGCCATGGGATGGTACGTCTCAAACAGCAACACATCGCTTCACTAAGCAGCCTATCGAAGCAACTCTCTCACAGGTCTGCCTCATCCGCACCCAGTAAGATGTAACTTAACCCTGTTGTTATTGTTGCCATGTAATATCAGTAAGAGTTATCAAAGAGATTTTACTGTGTAGTACTAAAAACAACAGGTCTAACCCTGGCTGTCCTGGCTCATGCTGCTACCTGCCACTTTATTCAGCTTTTTTTCTTAACAATTTGCCCATATAAGTTGCAACTGGGCCTCAAAGCACTGATTTATGTTTTTGTTTCACAGGATGAGGAATAAACATTCGTACATTTACAATTATTCCCATTGTGCTTTCAGGATGTTGTTGATGGGAAGGGAAAGGAAGGGGGGTGGGGGGGGGGGGGGAGATAAACTGTGCACCATGTCTCCTAAAGTCATTTCCTTTCCAGCATATGAAGGAAACAGGGTCATGTCCACTTTATTTAAAGACACAGTATTTGGATAAGGAGAGGGTCTGTGTGTATTACTATTAATATTTAAATGTGCAATTTTTAAACATCGTCAGTTTGTGCAGTGAGTTGTCATTGACGGACATGCAGTCTTTTATTACTTGCAAATTGCTTAGAAGATAAATTGATGCTGTCCTTGCCCAATCTCCCCCAACGAGATAAAGCAGTGGATAGTGGGCAGAACATGCTGAACTGTTTGTATTGTGGTGAAAATTTATGTGCATCGCATTGTTCACACAATGACAGAAGGGGAACGACACAGCTTTCCTGCTTCTGTGCTGCAGTTACTGCTTTGAGATGATCTGATCTTATTGCAGGATAGATATTCTCAGTGCTAACGCGGCTGTGATCCTCAGGCAGGATAATAATAAGCCTTGCACTTGATACAGCGCCTTATCGCGTCTTCGAGACGTCTCAAAGCGCTTCATAAATGGATTGGGTGCAGCGTTTCGCCCACAAAATAGTCACTACACTTTACGGTATATCCTGTGAAGCACTTTATGGTCACCCTACTGTACATAAGTCCCCATTGTGTGTGCAAACTGCCAAAGTCTCGAAGACGTGATAAGGCACTATATCAAACGCAAGGATTATTATTAGGATTATTATTATTATTATGTGATACGAGAGCTCAGAAATGGTTGATCAAGTTTTGATACGAAGCTGAATAAATTTAGAGTGAGTGGTTCAGTTTGCAGTAACAGAATTAGGATTTTAAAAATAATCATTTCATGTCAAATTAGTCTCTTTGTAACAAAGACACAACAGTTTTATTCGGCCCTTATTGCATTTCCAGCAGAGAATGAAACAGTGACTTTTGCATTGATGTTTACACAGAAAGAAGGTTTTTATTTATCGGGAATCGGCGGCAGATTTCAAAGACAATTTAAATTGTTCCACAGAAACATAGTCAAAGCAGTCTTGTTGTATGATGTAGCACTGTGTTTCAGGCATTCACTGTGGCTGTTGATTTTCTATGAGAACAAGATGGCTTGGGTGACGATATCCTAGTCGTGGAGAAACTGAAAGTAAATCATTGGAAATACAAAAAAGCACAAATATACCTACTGCTGGTTAAACCACAGTACTTGCAAGCTAGGTGTGGTTCTATTGCATGTGGCAAGTCACAGATCACAGCAAATTGAGTTGTGCACAGGATAAATGATTGAACACAAAACATTTACTCTTCCAGAAGGAGGAGTAACCGAGCGAGAATTTCCCTTTTTTTTCCCACGAGTCTCAAACATATAAAAATAAATAATGCCGTATACAAAGACAGTACATATGAAAATACTGAGTCAGACAGACTACATATACACACACGGCATGCTTACATACGTGTACATAATGTGTATCGTCATTCGTTCTCAAGACAGAAAAATGGCAGTGCACTCTCGGAGATAGTTTGATACTTCCAATAAACCTTCGTCTGATTCTGAAATACATGAGAAAATGCATTCAACAGTACATTTTGTGGAATATGTCCAGGATCAAGCTGTCAAGTTTGTTCGTGCCTCACATACAATTAGATTACTAATGGCTTTTGCAATATCGTACAGTACTTTCCCATTTGATTGATTAGTTTTCCTCTGAATAGACACCGCTGGTTAGATAGCCATTTGTGCCGTTGGTTCCGTTAGTGTTGTTGTTATGTCCGCTTTTTGGAGTTGCTGGTGTTGAATCCTCTTCGTCTGAGCTCGATTCAATATCACTTCTGTCGTCCTTTGATACCTGATGTTCAGAAGGGAAAGAAAAGTCTGCTTTAGGGCAACACAAGCAGCCAACACATTTACTGTATGTCCATCACATCACATCGATCAGAAACACACCTAAAAAGCAGCACACACTCTCAGACCTCTGAATTAATAAAAGTCTTAGATTGAAAATTACATAGGTTTTTTTTAGTACTAAAACAAGTTGAAATCTGATCTGGCCAAACAAGTCCTACTGGTCTTAGAAAGATTGTTGCTCAGTCAGGAATTGCGAATGCTGCTTTTTCATTGTCAAAGCTACTTTATCATTCAGATATATTGACAATGAAGGTATTCACTACAGGAAATCCACTACAGTATCTCAGGCACTGTCTGCTTTGAAGTGTTTCTGCTGTTTCTCCAGGGGGCATTCATATTAGTGTGTGGCTTACCGGGTGATGAAAGGCAGAGGTTTGAGCAATAAATGCACAAATCCCGTCTTTCCAGTTACAGGAACCAGTATGTAAAAAAAAGGACATGAAAGCCATTTTTTTAAAACTATTTTTTAATGAAGTCTTTTGTATAGAATCTATTGAAGAGTAGGCGTTGCAATTTTAACACTATCTTTGATCTATTTATCTGTATTTACGTACTGATTATAATAACAAACCACTGAGAAAAATAATGAATAAGAGTACTAAAAGGAGTTTAATACAATCTCATTATATTCCAGGCTACAAACAATTGTGGCTCGCCAATACAGGAACGTCCAACACAAACTGTTGATGCGCAGTGTGTTAGTAAGAGCTGAATACATGGAGAGTGAATGCTAATCTAGTCCATGAGCACATTGTCTATATGCTGCTCCCCCAATTTCAGGACAGACACCAGGAAGTATTGTGTTTTGACCAAGAAGTATTTCTTTACCCAGAGGGTAATTAACAACTGGAACAGTTGCCAGGAAGGGTTGTCGAGGGCACGGGATTAATTTAACAACAACGTGTTACATTTACACAACCCCTTTCATGTCGGAAGGACATCCCAAAGCACTGAACAGTCCCCAAAAGGCTATAACTCTGAACAATGTTCATCTCGGGCTGCTTTTGGGGTGGTTTGACTTTCTCAGGGGCAGAAAGGGGGTATTGACAAAACTAAATAAAGCAATTTCAAACCTTATCTCATACAAACATGGACATTGAAAGGGCGGTCGAGGCCGATTCGATAACTACTTTTAAAAATGCGGTGGACTGGTATTTGAGGAGGACGGGTTTGCGGGTTATGGGGAAAGGGCCGGGAGTGGGACTGACATTAATTGCTCTATTCAAAGAGCCGCACAGACTCGATGGGCCGAATGGCCTCTTTTTGTGCTGTACGATTCTATGATTCTATGATTTCTTTCCAGTAAAAGAAAAATGATTCATTGAAACCAGTTGAATGTTTACATTGGACAGAAAATCTGGGAGTGCCTTAATAACAAGTCAATGTTTTGGTGAATGTCACTGCATTAGTTTTATTGATATCTATCTTATAGAGTAGTCTCGCTGAGACAGATCTGAGGAATTTGTGGCACTTTATTGCGGCAGGGTGTGCAGTAGCTAAAGTCCACATAGAATTGACTGTTCTAATGGTTACTATGGACACAAAAATACTTCTCCGGTTTCTCCCATCTCTTTGTGCTGAGGATAAGGTAATAATAATAATAATAATCCTTGCATTTGATATAGCGCCTTACCATGTCTTTGAGACGTCTCAAAGTGCTTCACAGAATATACTGTAAAGTGGATTGACTGTTGCAGTCAATTGCATACAGCAGTGTCGCACAAACAGTCGTGGATTATTATTATTATTATTACACAGAAATAGATGGAATGAGACTTACGTGTAATGGGTTCCACTTCCCGGCCTTTCAGGTTTGCACAAGAGAATGAACAGAAGGAATAAGAAAAACTGTACAAATTCACATCAAATTGTTTGTCATTAAACAGTTTCAGCAACAATATTGATTATTTATGTACACTAATTTCACCACTGCATACACTGGCACCTTTTTCACTCCATCCTGGCAAAACATTAAAAAAAACTGGGGAATACTGTACAAAACATTCGGTAAACACAATTTAGGATGACTTCTGTACAATTAATCTTCCTGCAGCAATTCAAGGCTAATAGCAGACAATTGAATCCAGAGATATCCATTATAATAAATCTCCGCGGCTTATTTTCCTAAACTAATCCTGAAAAAACAACTTTCAACTAAAATTGAATTGAAGAATTTTCCAAACTTAAGACAATGAGTTACGTCTATGAAAAATTTCAAGCATATTAAAAACAGAAATTGCACCACTGTGATTTAATGCCCTGATTATAAACAATTTGATTTAAACTTGGGTCCCACTGGCAACTCCTACAGAAGTTTAGATTTACTGTGTAAACTCGACTTCAACTGAGGTGTCGATTGGGTTGAATGTAAGAACATGAGAATTTGCTAGACTTTCCACCATCCTGGCAGTTGCTTGACATGTCGTGTCCCAAACTGTATACTGTATCCGCAGATATTGTTTTCAATCTCGGTGTATACATGTCCAGTTCCTCTTACACTCTGGAACTCACTCCCTCCCTTCCTGCCCGCTCTCAAATCCCACCTAAGGACGTTCCTTTTTGGTCAGCTTCACCCCTCCCTCTCCACCCCACTGCCCCCCACCCCGGGCTCAGGGTCAGGCTCCGCCACTGTCAAGCACTCCGGGACGCTACCACACGCGAAGGGCGCTGTGTAAATGCAAGCTGTTGTACAGCCGGAAAAGGAGACTTACTTTTCCTTTAGCGATCGCTCTGCAAGCAATCCTTATGATGAGATACGACCAGAAGCTGTGTAACAGCTGAAGCAGCAACAGGAGGACGTTGAAGACCCACCATGATGGATACGGCCCCACAATCTCCCAGCTTTCAATCAAAGTCGTATTTAATATCCTGAAACACAAAGGGAAATGATCCAATATGCAATCCAGTTATTTAGCCAGTTCCAGCAATCCATGAAGAAGGAAGGAAGGAAATACAGCATTTCTCAATATTTATTTGGGAAATAAAATGCTTGTGCGTTATTAATATTAATGATAATAATCCTTGCATTTGAGACAGTGCCTTATCATGTCTTTGAGACGTCTCAAAGTGCTTCACAGAATATACAGTCAAATGAATTTACAGTACATTTTTGTGGGCGAAACGCGGCAGCCAATTGCACATACAGTGTCCCACAAACAGTCATGGATTGAGTGACCAAATTATTTTTTATTACTTTTTTGAAGGGATTATTATTGTGTAAGAGCATCACTTTTATACTCTTAGACAATAATATTCGTTTAGTAGAGCAAATAGTAAAGTCATCAATAGCGACTTGCTTTTCTGCTCGTTTTTCAGAGACGGTGTCAGTTGCAATGTCTTTATTTCACAGAGAATAGTTCTCGCTATCTATTCCCGTGTTCCAAGCATTTTCCTATTCACTGAACCACATTGTTTCCCTAACCTGCTCGTTATAAAGCATGTCACTGTGTGGAAAAGATCTGCAAGGCACGGTTTGCTAGTGTGTCAGTAAATTCTGCCTTCGAATGTCTAGTTAATTATCAGCACAGTGTCGGAAGCGATCATGGATCCTTGGGGAAGGATTAGTGAACCTTAAATTAGCCTAGAAATCACAATGGAGGGAAGAATAACAGTCGTGCAAATTGCCAAATAAAAGTTGTAATGAGGATCTCTGTACAATTGTGTTGATATTTTTAATTTGAACCTCTGAGTCTATGTATAGGTCACGTAAGGCAATTGTGAATCAGGAAGGAATTATAAATGCGTTCAGGTGCTAAATACATTCTGGCAGCTTGCAGAATTACATGAAATAATCTTTAAATAAATGGGAGATGTTTCGTGCTCCATTATGGGTTGCTCTGTACACCAGACACAGATACTGCTGAGTTTTCTTGCATTTTATTTCCTTCCTTTAATCTTAAAGCACGATTTTTTTTGAAGAAAACAATCAGTTTCTAACATGCCATTTTTAAATGTACAAGTTAATAAACTTTCATTATTAGTAGGAAAATATGGGAGTCTTTTTCTGGGCTGTGTGTGATTGTCATTTCAGTGACTATTGTGGCGTAATTATAATAATAATCCTTGCATTTGATACAGCGCCTTATTACTTCTTCGAGACGTCTCAAAGTGCTTCACAGAATATACTGTAAAGTGAATTGACTGTATATTTGTGGCAAAACGGAGCAGCCAATTGCACACAGCAGTCGTGGATTGAAGTGACCAATTTTTTTTTATATCTCGAGCGATTATTATCAGGCGTGTGGAGTAAGAAAGCTTGCCCAAGGTTTTGCCCTACCGGGAATCAAACCCAGGTCCTCTCGCTTGCAAGACGAGTCTCTAACCACTGAGCTCCAGAACTCCACGTACTATACGTATGCACTATATGAACATTCACTGTGACACACAGCTCTGGGGCTGTGTCTGACAAGTCTATCTGCAGCGGGAGACATGACACAAAGACATTCCGGTTGACTGTTTTCTGATGGCCATAACTATAATTTCTCCTCTTAAAAGTTTAGCACTCGTTCTCAGGGTGGGAAATACTTCATCTCCCTCCAGAATACCATTGTTCTTCCATCAACGCAATACCTCAAACAATCTCATGGAGGAAGCAGGAGCAATGAGCAGCTTAATTGTGGTGATTTGAAACGTGGCAATTTTAACCCATCGAAAATCAGTTCAGGGTACTGAGCTGGAAAAGGATGTCAGTTACATGTGGGCCAGATATATTTAGCTCAAGACAAAGCGACTCTCTTCCAGAAGTAATTAGGTGTCAAATCTGCTTCTCCATTTAATTGTATCTATATTTATGGAACTAACAATCAGATACAGAACTTGGACAGGTGCAGAGAGTGCATTTATCTGAGTCAGCGCAGCACTTAATGTGCCGTTGTTATCATCCCACTTTACAGTATATTCTGTGAAGGGCCTCGAAGACGTGATAAGGCGCTATATCAACTGCAAGGATTATTATTATTGTAACTGACTAGTAACATTGACAAGCTCAGGTGTATCAGAAAAAGCCTGGTGTTTTAAAGCTTCAGTTATGTACAGCTGGATGATCAATGTGAAAGCCAGGATTGTGTGCCATTGGCTGCCGCGTTTCGCCCACGTCTTCGCGACGTCTCAAAGCGCGTCACAGAATATACTGTAAAGTGAATTGACTGTGTATTTTGTGGCCGAAACGCGGCAGCCAATTGCGCACAGCAGCGTCCCACAAACAATCGTCGATTGAGTGACCATATTACTATTATCATTATTTATTAATTTAATTTATTTCAATTTGGGAGGAGCAAAGTGGACAAGCATGTTGTCTCTCACTGGCCCTCAATATTCTTGCGGATCAACCCTGTGTTAAAGGTGTCAAGTCAGACCTCAGAACATGTTTAGAAATTGTGGGGAGTTGCATTTGGTAAATTTTGTTTGCCAATAAACCACAAAAGCAAATAAATGTCAGCCAATATTTCTCATGGTTAGTAAAGTTCGACAGTAAAATAGTGAGGGGTTAGCAAATGGCAAAGGGTGGATGATCTTCTGTAGTAAAGTAACGCTTTTCCATGGGTTTAATTAACCTGAGAATATGAGGTGGTACACTCCATCTTGCTGAGCTCGTTGAACAAGCAATTATTTAATTATTCGGCACAGAGCACGGAGGTTTAAGGTTCAGTAACCTAAACTCCTAAATCTCTGAACCAGAGCACCGTTCTAGGAATTTATATCTGCAGGCGAAAGCAATCATAAATTATAAAGGAGATTTGCTTTATCAGCAACAACAGATAATACACATAAGGCCAGACCTGAGTCACTGTGCATCTTTGGAGCTGAACTACAAACAGCTACCAAGGCAGATTGTGTAGGGAGGAAAACTGGAAAGATAATAGAACAACATAAACAGGGTAAAAGGAGAGCTGTAAAGCACTGACAATGGGAAATTGCATTGTGCCAATCAAAACCGGAGAATATAGGACGTGAATAATCATTAATCATTTCAAAAAATCCTCTGTGGATTAGCCGCGATTGAGATCAATTAATATTGGATTCCATTTCAGCCTCAGGGTTTCTAAAGAATGCAATCATTTAATTCTGCTTTCATTCCATTCTTTGAGAGCAGAAAGCACGCACCCAGAGAGAAAAAAAAGCGAGTTGTGGGGGAGGTGGGGCAGGGGGGGGGGGAGACACGTCCTGCAGCTCAGTGGTTAGAGCACTCGCCTCGCAAACGAGAGGACCTGGGTTCGATTCCCAGGCAAGGCGAACCCTAGCGCAAGTTTCCTTACTCCACACACTTCTGTTCACCAGCAGTAAGTAGGAACCTGGTTGTTAGGAGATTTGCAGATCGCTTTTCCCAGGTAATAATCTCTTCAAATTAAAAAAAAATAATAATAATAATTTGGCCACTCAATCACCGATGTTTGTGAGACGCTGCTGTGCGCAATTGTGCGGTCAATTCACTTTGCAGTATATTCTTTGAAGGGCTCTGAGACGTCTCGACAACTATATGTAAGGATTATTATTCTCATTTAGAGAGAGGGAGAAAGAGAGGAGATGGTGTGAAGTAAATGAAGCAAGCTGATTAGCAGTGTACTCACCATATTGGATAAAGACCCAGCCTTGTGCTGATGAATAACAAGCCGAACATTACAAACAGGAGGTCACACAATCTTTGACATTTCGCATAGTTTGCCATTTTAGATGCCTGCGAATTAAAAAGAAATGAAATACTGTTTTCGATCTCTGCCTATGGTAAGCGTGTCTTCAATTTGCATCTCTCGAGAGTAACTCTGACACAGTCTGTACAAAAATACCCCAACCTGATCACTGTCCTGTTGCATCTGATCAGAAGTAATATTACTGTAGTGTGGTAATTAATGTAGTGTGGTCAAGGACCACGGAATAACCTCTTGTTCTTAGTTAATTATAAACTTTGTGACTTGCCTGCGGTCACACGAGGACCAACGTATTGAACAGTCCATAGTTAGTGATAGTTTATAAATGGAAATAGTGTCAATTGTATTGTATAAGCTTGTTACATTAGATCTAACTTCGGTGCTCAACAATGTGAGAGGACCAACTTCATTCTATCTAGTCAGTTCTGCGAAGCAATTTTTCCCCCACCCCATGGACTGTTTCAAAGCCAATTCAACAGAATGAAAACTGGGATGATGATACATTCAATCTAAAACAGCTAACAACAGAAATCCAATCAGTAAAACAATCCGAGTCTTTGCTCTGACGCTGAAATGAGAAACATCAGTTCCTCGGAAGCAGTATATATTTCTTCATATATGACCTTAGCATAGAGCACTTCCAGCTTACATGCAGAGTAAACAACTCGATCTTTTCCTGTTCAACAATCCATCTTATCCCGCCTCAGAGCAACCCCTCACTGAACTCTCTATGTCCCTGTGTGGGTGAGATTGCCAATTACTACTTAATTATTACTGACAATTTGATGCTGTAAGAAATCCAAATTAATTGTATTTCATTCTCTTACCCACATCAATGAGAGGAAATGTGTGTCCCTTTTATTTGGCCTAGATTCATACCTCAGATATAGAGCTGAGTTGCAGCACTTTAACCAAATGTGATACCAATATTTCTTTTAATTGGTCGTTAAAAACTATTCGGATTTTAAGATCTCTCTTTACATCAAAAGTATTTCATCGTGCCATTCATTCACTGCAGGTATCAAAATCAGTTCTGTAACTCCCACTTCAGAAGATGAGCACTTTGAGACGCTACCCTGCATGAGAGGCGCTATATAAAAGCAAGTTGTTGTTTTTATTGTCTATAGATCTATATGGGTCTTCGCTGTGTGGTGATTCAGAGCAACCCTGTGTCTACACGGACTGATGAAGATTGATGAAAGCCTTCCTTACCTCTAACAGGATATCAGATGCATCATGAAGACACATGACAAGTGTTCCTATACGCACCATATTATTGACATACGAAAACGTCATCAGTGCAATTGTTGCGAGATGATGTACAAACATGATGGCAAAGTCCTAAAAAAGGCAAGAGGACATAGCAAAGTAACAGCACAGTGCACACAATACACCATAACACAGTGACTTACAATCATATATGGTTATTGTTCTACAATTAAAAGTCTACGAGATGGCGTGACAATTTTTGGCAATAGTCAATAAATCTAAAATTATGCTCATGAAAACTGGTGCTTTGTAGCATTTGAAGCAATCAATTTTAAACACCATTGTATAATGACGAAAATATTTCAGAATAGAGAAGACCTTTAACAGGTGCCTTATCTCAGTCAGGCACACATCCATATAATCATTCTGGGATACCTGCAGCTCATTGCAAGCTGGAGAGTAACAGGGAGTGATTGTTAGAGAGAGAGAGAGCGGGGGAGACACCACTGAACACAACACTGATAACCTCTTTGTTTGTGAACTTTCTGTAAAATGATGATTAGGTTTTACTGAACTGAGCAAGAAAAGTCTGAGAAGTCATTTCAAGTAATGAACAGTGCTTATTTCCTTTTTTTGCGCATACATGCCTCGTGTTTGTTTAAGGTACAGCATCACAAGTGAATACTGTATATTGATTTCTAGCAAGGGGATCTTATCTGAAGAGTATTTCGTGTTTCTCACCAGATTAGTTTGGATGAGGAAGGCCCTTCGGCCTATTTGATCAGATCCCTCCAGAATATTCGCTATCAGAATATAATTCTATCAGAGTGTTGAGCTGATTTTTAATTGAGTCCAGTGGCCTGGCCTAAACCATCCTTTCTGGCAGCCGTTTCCCAGCAGTTATTTACACTCTGAGCAAAGAAGTGCTTCCTGGTGTCTGTCTCGAAATTACACACTGCATAAAGCAAAATCTCCTGATATCTGTCCTGTAATTTTCCTTTGCTATTGTAAACCTATGTTCTCGTGATCTGCTTGTCCTGATGGATCCTAAAGTATTAATCTGGGTTGATTTTTTCATTCGTATTTAAGTCTGATAAATTGTTTGCTCCCTGACTGTGGGATGAAAAAATATTTTTCCAATTACTTGGGGAAGCTTCTTCTATGTTTCTAGCAAGTTAGAAACCTACACAAGAGATTTCTATCCCATTAGTCTTTGCAATGTGTTCACAGATTTTAAGCAAACAAAATTGCAAAAGAAATGTAAAAATCTTTTTTAATAACTTTTTCACACCAATGAGCATCACAGACATATAAGCAATGAAGTTGTGAAAATGAATTATTACTAAATGCCATATTCTATTATATGCTAGAGCTGTAAATAATAATCCTTAATTTGATATAGCACCTTTCACAAGGTGAGAATGTCTCCAATAACATTCACACACAGTATTTCTTTATGTAATTTTGTGTTGTATTTCCATATCCAAAGGCTAACTAACAGCTGGATCAGATTATTGGGAAGGGTGGTTAAGTTCAGGAGGCTGGAACACATTAAAAAAAAACGTCTGGATGCTGTGATGGGAAGGCAATAGGGTGGGTATTCGGAAAGGATGAGATCAAATAGGTCAAAGGACCGTCTTCATCCTAACCAATCTGGAAATATACTGTAAAGTTCTTGGGCCGTGTATTTTGTAGACAAGCATGGTCTACAGGACAAGGAGCCACTGTTCATCAGCCTATCTCAACTCAAATCTCTATTCGTAACATGTTTACAACTAAAATGTGCTGAGAGGGTGACTGTATCCCGTTAGAAAGTTGCAGCGTTGCACTTTTCTGTCCAAAAGATAGAGTTTCAAGCATCCCTGAACAGGGTTTACATGACAGCAGTAAGGGAAGAATTCTTCAATCTTCCCAGCAGGACTGTGCACCATCTGTTTATGTAGTTCCAGATGTGATGTCAGGACAATTTAGAACATTAGATGGTTGTTGCTTTTCCACCTTCCCCATGGAGCAATTCTGCAAGAGGTCTATGAACGGAATGGCTCCAACACTGCAAGCAGACTCTCTAGCTGAGCTAAGTATAATTGGTGGAAAAACATTCTATCAAGTCATATTTGTGGCCAGCTGTGGCCTTTATCTCCTTAATCTAATCCACAAAATCCCGATGGAAGGTTTATCTTGTTTTTTTGTTCCACCAGAAGAGATGCAATTGATCAAAATCAAGATCTCTGACGTTTTCAAACCTTAAGAGTTTCCAAATGAGACCAAATAGGTTCATGATTGCCAACCCCCCCCAACCCTGTCTCCCAAGATCTCATTATTTTAAATTATTTTAAGAAAAAATACAATTTACCAGAGGTGATGAAGCTTTAGATAATTAATCGAGTTGATTTGAATCACCCTCAAGTACAGTACTGAGTGGCAGTTTAGAATTTTTTTAGCTTGATTGTAAACTGAAAAAATCATCCTCACTTGCCCCAATGAAATAATAATTATAATAATAATCCTTGCATTTGATATCGCGCCTTATCACGTCTTCGAGACGTCTCAAAGAGCTCCACAGAATATACTGAAAAGTGGATTGACTGCGTGTTTTGACTGTAAATAATTCCCAGATGACTCAAATAAATCGAAAAGGCAATTAAAGGAAATTTCACTGCACCTGAACCAACACGAGCGAGGAGCTAGCTGTTTAATCTGATGTTGGACTGAGAGAGACGTGAGGGAGTGGAAATTAAGTGAGAGAAAGGAACAGAGAGCGAGAAACATACTGTATTTGGTTGGTGTGCGGTGATGAAAGTCTCCACACTGAGCAATATATGGATGGAAGAACTGAAAGGAGAGAAAAAAACAAAAGCACAATGTACATACAGTCAACAAGTACTGTACAAGAGGGTGAATGTAATACAATAATAATAACCAAATAATAATCCTTGCATTTGATACAGCGCCTTATCATGTCTTCGAGACGTCTCAAAGCCCTTCACAGAATATACTGTCAAGTGAATTGACGGTGTATTTTGTGGGCAAAACATGGCAGCCAATTGCGCACAGCAGCGTCCCACAAACAGGCGCGGATTGAGTGAAATATTTAAATTTATTTTGAAGGGATCATTACCCCTCAATAAAAGTAATCCGCCAATCGACTAACAACCAGGTTCTTATTTACTGCTAGGTAAATAGGAGGAAGGAAACTTGCCCAACACTTTGCCTTGCCCGGGAATCAAATCCAGGTCCTCTCACTTGTGAGGCAAATGCTCTAACCACTAAATTGCAGGACTCCAGGATAACGGTGTGCCAAGTGTGACTGTCTATGTGGCTTTAAATAGGCAAACTGTGCATTGAGTCCCAGAGTCCAAAGATGTTCTGACTAGTATTGGATTTGGAGCAGGAAACATGAAGAATGAAATGGACACTGCCAGGCCTACAGTACTGAGGTGAAGCACAGCAATGAGAAAACAAAGAGGTCTAAAGTAATTACAGTCTGATACCCAAGTGCATGCAGAAGATAATCAAAACGAAACCATAAGAAATAGAGAGATTGGACAAGGGTGACATAACAACACCTTCGCCAATCTGCGAGCTGCTGATAACCTTTTCAACTGTGTGGCAGCTAATGAACCACAAACAACAGATGCTGGTCTGAACAGGTACGTATTTCACCTCCATTAGTTATAATAAGGTCAGGTTCAGATTGGAAGCACTTTTAGTTCTTTTTGAACTATGCTGGCTGATCGTAATGCTACCGGTATAATTACTTGTCTCTAAATTGCTTACGGTCCCTGATAGGATTGCCATTGTTCCAAGATTCAATTTGATTCCCTCTTTAACATGTCTATTCATGATACAATAGCACTGACAAATGGACAAAACGATCTGGTAAATGTAAGTGCTTTCTTACTTGGAGACAAATATACAGACAGAGAGAGAAGCCAAACTGCTAAAACCTTAAGCACCAATAAATCTCGGAAACGATCCACCGTTAATATTTGTTCTGTGATACTTCATACTGTGTGTGTTTCTTAGAACAATAATTCCAATGAGAAGAGTCAGCAATTTACATTTTTTTNATATCAATGGGGCCTAAAAGTAATGTTCACCAACTAGATTTGGGGTGTAAAGTTAGCTTCCAGTTTATCTTTATCTTTAAGATGTACCGAAGTTGCTATTTTAGTGATCAGTGTAAATCAGACAGACAGACAGACAGACAGACAGACAGACAGACAGACAGACAGACAGACAGACAGACAGACAGACAGACAGACAGACAGACAGACAGACAGACAGACAGACAGTGAATCTGGAAACGTTGGTAGAGGCCAATTTATTTTGATGAAAAAAATTGGGAAGGAAAGGCAAGTAATGCGATCCTGAAAAATGAAATTATCAAATGTATTGATATCGACCCATATCTAACCATATCATGTAAATAGGTCAGTACAGCAGTGGTTCCATTGGGTAGTGTTGGAATAATGTAATAATAATAACATACAGAGTTGACCGCTAGAGTAATGTGCCAGTGTTTTGAAAGCAGCGTTTGCGGTCACTGATCAGCACTGGTGTATTGTATACCTGTCAGTGCACATTGCAATAGTGCGACCAATCAATCAAATTCAGACCTGCTCTTTCCTTCATGTTTCAATCTGCCTCCAATGCTACTAAACTCCCGGTTTAGCTTGAGGGATAATGCTATTTGCACTCCACAACCTTTCCATACAGTACGCTGATTGATTGCTACACAGTCCAGCTTGTAGCAATTTTGTGTTGATCAATGGTCTCAACCTCGGACTAGGTTCGTACGTCGTTCTGTCTGTGTTGCTTAGCTCACGTAGTGAAGTCAAATGTACATTCTACAGAATCATTCAAAGTCTCATCTCATCCACAAGTCAAGCAAATCCTGATGGCATAGTACACTTTATTCTTGTTGTTGGAAACCACAAGAACTAAGTTTCACAGGCAAGTACAATCACATCAGTCAGTTCTCTAAAAAACAATAATCACTAGTAAAAGCATGTTATATTTAATATTTGAATGATCTTGCGATACAAACCTATAGTGTATGATCCCTAAAATTAGACACCTAATTAGATTTTGATAGGGATTTTAGTGTAAATGGAGGAGAACACATCAAATACAAACGAGCAGAAATGGGTACCTGTTACTATTATGCTATTATTATATTATTATTAACTGTAGGTGGCGAGGAGATTGGTGTGCTTATACTAACAGTGCCAAACATGGCACGTTTCTGATCTTCCCTCGATCATCAAGTGCCAGCTTTGAGAGCGAGAGGGCAGGTGCTTGCGCACAGTGAGAGAGGAAGAACCACAAGCCAAAGCCTCCAGCTCACCTTATGTGCACAGTGGTTCTGGCAGAGGACACAGAGCCAGGCGCCTGCCTGTCCCCTGGGCCAGACAGGGGCAAAGGAGTGGAGTGGGTGGGACATACAGCGTGGCGGAGAGGGGTGAGAATAACAGGGTTAGTTGGGTGGGAAATCACTCAATTAAGAGGTGGACAACATACATTTAATAAAGAGGAATTAGGTGAAGTCAGAACTGAAATTAAGGTGTCACAGTCACTGATGTTGGGAGTATAACAGTGGAGCGGACAAACTGGATTGTTAATGTGCAGTATGACAGCTATTACATTTGGATGGGGTCTTTCACGTCGGGAGGACGGCCCAAGGCGCTGAAACAGCCAAAGGAGCCTTGAGAAATTATTGGGAATGTGTCATGAACAACAGAAACACTTACGTACAACTAATAATGTGATCATCATCACGTATTGAAGGGGGAAAAATGCAGTTCTTTACCTTTCTTTTGATATCAGTGAACTGAGAAAACATCAAAGACCAGTAGAACGCCAGCTCCATAACGTAATAGTAATGAAGATCAGAGGTTAGAGACTGTAACAAGAGAGAAACATCAATGACTCAAGTCCATACAGAATGTGTCTCTGAACAGCAGCAACAACCATAATTAGCTATTTAAATTGTCCTGAGTGACAGTCTCTGGTGAGTGCACACACTCATAATTCCACAGCTAGTGTCTTAACGATTTGACCGAAAAATAATTTTAATGATTATCTCCAGCGTTTTTCCAGTTGTACGCATTTTGCAATACTGTGCCAGACCTGTGAAGAATGAATTTTTACAATATACAGTCAATTCACTTTATAGTATATTCTGTGAAACGCTTTGAAACGTCTCAAAGACATTATATGGCACTATGCCAAATGCAAGGATTGTTATTAATATTAATATGATGGGGTTATATCATCCAATGGCACTCAGGCTCCTTTACAGCTGTGTTTATTTGCTTCCCCAAAATTGGGTTGTACAACCAGAATATTGAAAAGAACAAGAAATATCCTGATATCATTGAAATACCCCAAATAAAATCAATTACTCAACATTACATTTCATGTGAAGAACTTGTTTCTTAATTATTATTTGCAAGTCGTAGTGCTTCACGTTTCCTCTTGCACAGCTGTTTCCTCTACACAACAGTCCATTTCTGAGCATCAGTGAACAACACCCTCAGGATACAGATATGGTTCAACAAAGATTACAGTGAAAAAAAAAACCCAAACATGTTTTAAATCTTTCAAATCACAAACAAAAGTGATCCTTAAATATCAATCCATACCTGTCAGCGCTCGGGGTCTGCGATAAAAGCTTTATATTAAAAAACAATGGACCAGGAAAGAGGTTCAAATGGCAACGGTGGATTCAAAAGCCTCATCTTTTCATTACGTACAGATAGACAAGAACAGTAAAGAATAAAATTTTCCCCTAGGTTTGAAGCTTTAGCCATTATGGATATAACATTACAGTTTTTAAAGTGTGCTTTTCATTGTATCCTAGTGGAAACACTTAACAAGTGCTCTATTTTATTTCAACAAACTGCAGTAGAAGCCTTTTAGCAGACATCCCTTTATAACAATGGTTCACTAATAAGATGGATGTCCTATAGACCTCCAGCAGGCTTTGGCGCACGGACCTTATTGACTTCCTGCCTGTTGGCTGGTGTCATCTGCACTAAAAACTGCCCCACTTCTGGGTCAATCTCACTTCCTGCGAGTTGGAAGTCATGTCAGAGAGACCCCGATGACCCTGAAACTTGTCATCTTTTAGCAACGGAAGCCAGTGGACGTGCAGAAGGAAAACGGTGGGTTTTCTGCATGTGCGCTCAGTATATGCGGAAGCATCGACTGGCAATTGTGCCTTATTATAAACTGGGTTGGGTTTGCAGTAATACAGCAAAACGCAGCAAAACGTACATTACATTACCTGGTAGGGATAGTTATACCAGCAATGCCTGGTGTCCCAAAGCCAAGGAGCCTGGAGAAGAAAGAAGCAAACATTAAATAGGTAGGAAAGCTCCTTGGCACAGCAACACACATAGCTGTAATTCCAGATAATATAGGAAAATTAGAAAAAAATCCAAAAAGCAAGGAAAGGCCCAAATCGACGTGCTATCTCCTGAATTTGAAGCTGTCAGCTAACGATAAAGGGAGCAGAGATATTGTGCAATCACTGAAATTCTGGTTGGCATTAGGCCGTTGCTGGAATTTCCCATTTTTAACTGTACTTCGCCAAAGTCACTACAAATAATTGCTGCTCAAGGGATTGAGTCTTCTGGAGCAGCCGCATCAAGTAACCTGACCTTTTTGAAAGCAAATAAGAAGTGGGTTGGTGCCCAGAAGAGGGATTAAGACATTGGGAACAGGCCAGGAAACTGCAATAACATAATAATATTAATCATTTGCACTGTAATATCCCCTTGAAAACTATGAAGTGAATGATCAATGTTATATGGAGGATTGTTAACCAAGATACACTCCCTTCTCTCTTCGAGTAATGCTATGGAATCCTTAACATCCACCCAAAGCGGAAGTCGGGACCTTGGTTTAACATCTCATCAGATGGACAGCACCACCAACAGCCTTGGAATTGCAATATCAGCCTAGCCTTTAAATACCAGACATCGATCAGGCTTGAACCCACACTCGGAAGCCAAGCTGACTGATACCCTTTTCCTCTCACCATTGTTTGGACATCAAAGATTTAATACAAGTCCACCCGTGGCCGTATTAGAAAAAAAAGCATTGTAAGTCCTCCATATAAAGCTGCACCACCTGACCAGACATCCCAATAAATATTCTTTTATCATGATTAGTAATAATAATTAAGAAGACTCTCTCTCTCCTCGGATCAGATTATTACAGTTAATGGTGAGGCTTTTGATTCAGGTTCGCTTCCTTTAAAGTGAAGTGTCAGTTCCCATAGAAACCACTGGAGAGCAGAATGGATATTCCTAATGTCTACCAATTCGAATGAACCCCATTGCACTTTATTTACATGTTAATTACAAATCCACTCTTGTATGAATCACTGAAATTCAATTACAAGCCTTCCATTGATTCTCAGACAGGCCCAATTGAATTTATGATACATGTTTAAGTAAAGTCCCAGGTAAGATAGAGACTTTCAACTATTAGAGAGAAAATCATATCTTGATCTTTTTCATACTCTGTATCAAAGCCTGAGTTTGGAAAGTAACTGATTCCGGGCAATCGATTTATACGAAGTAAGTCATCAATCCTATACAAACTGTTTGGCAACACCATTTGCTTCTCAATCAAAACACAACCTGCTGTACTCCTCCCAGTTTTGTTTTAAAAATTTGGTGAATTTGCTGAGTGCTAAAAAAAAAATGATGATCAGCTTCACATCAATTTTCCTCTGTTTAACAACGTGTCCCATCGCTTAGTGGTTAGAGAACTCGCCTCGCAAGGCGAGAGGACCCGTGTCATCGAGACGGCTCAAAGCGCTTCACAGAATGTACTGTAAAGTGAATTGACTGTATTTTGTGGGCAAAACGTATCATCTAACCTGACAAAGTGACTTTAAGACAAAACTGTCACAAAGAGACATGTAACCTTTGTCAGCTCTTAGATTGGTTTCTGGGGCATCCATCCCTGTTGGGAGAATAGAAGCTGCTTAAAAAGAATGTGATATCAAACAACAAATTTACAGATAAACTGACACATCAGAATAATCATTGTGAAATACCCAACACGATACAGCTCTTAAGTCGAACGCTCTGTCATTGTATCCGGCATTGCCTGTAGGTCTCTCTTAGTGCTCTTCCGAATCTAAGCATTTTACATGTCACAGCAATTCATTCCACAGATGAGAACTATTAAAAAGATAATCTTGTCGTTTCTACCAAGAGAATGCCTAAGGTTATCTTATATTTACAGCTTTGCGGCCCACGATAATATTGAACAAACAGACCGGGGGAGAAATACTTTGTCACGCAATGGAATCAGACACTTATCTTGAAGGATGCAAAGTGTCACATTTACCAACCTGCATAACTCATGCTCCAAACCCATTAGCTTTATACAAAGTACCACCTTATTGCACTGCAGCATATCCCCTTTATCTTACTGAAGCCCCGGTTTTGGCATTTAGCTCATTGGTTGATGAATTATTTCTTCCTTTTAATGCACATTGCACAGGCATGAACAGGATGGGAATAGGATGGGACACCAGAGTGTCCTCCTCAGGGCAGGGAAACAGGTTTCGCACCATCAGAGAAAACACAACAATATCTTTGGAGCCTAAACAAAATGTAAATGAAATTATTTCCCTGATCTCACATTTAATTTTGCCTTTTCTTAAACACGTTTTGATTTAAAGTCTCAATGACGTGGCAGGATAGAAGCCTGCAATTAAAAATTGGTACAAATGCAAAGGATCTGAAAGATTACTTAGGGCAAAAGATAAAATTGATCATTTTGTGGCTGTTTATGGGACATTGCTGTGTGCAAATTGGTTGCCACACTCGACTGCAACATAAGGTCACTACAGTTTACGGTAAAAACCTGTGAAGCGCTTTCGGACCCTTTGAGAATGTGATAAAGCACCGTGTCCAAAGTAAGGATTCTTCTTATTATTATTATACAAGCGCTCGATTCAAAATAAAATAAAAAAATGTTTTGTTCAGTCAGGTGTCTGACACGGGTGAAAACCCATCACCATGTTTAAGATAGGCAGATATTTGTTAGGTCAGAGTGTTAAGAGATACAGGGCAAGAGCGGGTAACTGGACTTGAGGTACACGTCAGCCATGATCTTATAAAATGGCAGGACAGGCTCGAGGGGCTGAATGGCCTCCTCCTGTTTCTATGTTTCTAAAAGTATCCAAACCAAGAAGAGAATTCCACCTACACATGGAAATCCCAGTGAGAGATTGTTGGAATGGAATGCGCTCTCTCTCTCTCTCTCTCTCTCTCCCCCTGGAGGGACGCCCCCCGCTTACCTAATTCCGGAAAGTAGTAGGCGCAGGTTGGCGAGCGCCAAGGCTTGGGTGGGGGGGGGGAGCCCAGAGTGTGCGTGGGTTGGGGTAACTGCTGGAGCCTAACCAGCTAAAACCACATAGCTTGCCTTTGATATTGCTGTCCGGCAAGCTTGATTCAAAATGAAGCATCGCGAGCACCTTAACGTATTCAGATGGCCTACTGGGTTGTATAATGAGGGTTCCTCATTGCCAAATAAGAGGCAAGGAAGAGCATACAAAAGTTAGCATCTGCACCGCTTGTTTAATTTGCATTCAAATGCAGTTGTCAGGAGAGAGGAGCTTGTATAAGGTTGTCATTTCTGCTCTAATTGCCCCTTTGTTGTTTTCACCAAAGCACCTGTGACAGCTTGGCACACAGTCGCTAAGCAACAAATTGCAATGAAGCTATGCTTGCTCAGAGAAAATAACTTCCACTGTTCCACTGACATAAACATAAAATAACTGCTTTCTTTATCAGAAAAAATACAAGGCTGTTTTGCAGTATAAAAAACATATTGTTGTATTGCTACAACAGGGACAAAAGAAGGATTTGAGGCCTGAATTTTTACAGAGGAGTCTGTAAAGATATGGTCCAAAGATTTAATAATATTAATCCTTGCATTTGATACAGCGCCTTATCACGTCTTTGAAATGTCTGAAAGTGCTTCACAGAATGTACTGTAAAGTGAATTGAGGGTATTTTGTGGACAAAACACCGCAGCCAATTGCACACAGCAGTGCCCCACAAACAGTCGTTGACTGAGTAACCAAATTATTATTATTTATTTTGCTAGGTAAACAGAGGCGTGTGGAGTAAGGAAACCTGCCCAACATTTCACACTCCGCCACTCTGAACCACTCCGGGACGCTACGCAACATGAAAGACATGAAAGTGCTATATAACTGAAAGTTGTTATTGAAGAATCGGACTCAGGTCCTCTCGCTTGTGAGGCAAGTGCTCTAACCACTACGCCACAGGACTCCACTAAATCATCAGGAAAAGCCATGGAAGTAGTCAGTGTATATGGGTTCTAGATACAAGGTACCCATTGAATTACAGGCTTCTGATGATGCTGAAAAGTCATTTTAAGGTTAGTAAAGCTACCCAAAGCTTTAAATTGGTGCTATCGCTTGCTATAGACATTGATACTATTGTACAATATCTTTTTGCTTTCTGTTAATTTATGACTTCAGCATCATTCTTGCCGTAGAGCCAATACTCCAGTTCCTTTTTTGTTTGTGTTTTGTTAATATTTTGAATGGGAGGAATGTTAACTGGGCAAAGCATATAAGGTTACTACAGTACAGTACGTAAAAATAGGCCAATAACTGATTCTTACATAACTAGCGGGGGAAGTGGAAGGGTTTTCTTATTATGTGCTGCAGGCAGCTCCTGTCACACATCATTTGAAACCATGTATTTCAGTTTGAGTTTGATCCCTTTACAGTTGCTCTAAGTTCCAGACTCTGACAGGCTACGTTTCTTCATTGCACCACATATTGGGATTTGCGTACGTGTCAAAGCTTAAGTTTGGGAGGAACACCATGTTTTTCCCAAAGCACAATCTTTCACTTTGATCGATTAATTGGCCACAGTGACTGCCACACTGAACTGTTGACAGCATTCACACTTCAGAAGCGAGGGCAGGTTTTTCAGGGAAGGGATATGGCTCAAGTGGATGTTTAGCTCAACAAGCGAGGATTAGACATGTATTCCCTCAACATCACCAGAAACTAGCAAAGATAAGCCCTCACAAACTTCTCAAAGGGGAAAAAAACATCACAGATTATCAGACAGCATTATGATTTGGAACTTGGTTTAATAATAATAGCAATAATTTGGTCATCAATCCATGACTGTTTGTGAGTCGCTGCTGTGCGCAATTGGCTGCCATGTTTCGCCCACAAAATACATCGTCAATTCACTTTACATACATTCTGTGAAGCGCTATGAGACATCTCAAAGACGTGATGAAGTGCTATATCAAATGCAAGGATTATTATTGTTTATGTTGGACCATGGCCTGAAATTGCCCAGTACGAATCTTCTGACCATTTCCTCTATTCCTTAACGTTTTTACCACTGTATCTATCTATCTAAGCTGTCATTTTTTGGGGGGTGTCTGATTATTTGTGAGTAAAATTATAGTCACTGAAGATAAGTTGAGAGCACAACCGAAGCAAACAGTCACACATTCATCAGCAATAAATACTGACAGTGCAGTGACCTGGGACTAGAACAATTTGGTTTATAGATGACATGCCCCCGAAGGCACTGTCAAACACAACAGAAATATCAGACAGCACAGCAGGGTGTTGGTATTCTAAGAAACTCCGAACAACGATCAGCAAGACTGCTCAAACCAGCTCTGCGCCACTTTTCTTTTTATCATTATAATCTTAACTCTGTGCCATTTGGGATACTAATTGTTGCTGCGATGCTCAGAATACGGGGAAGGATGCAGTAATGAGATTAAAAAGAAACATTCAACCCATGGAGCTCAATTCCTCAAACAGGCCCCATGCAATCTGTATCCACAACAACAACAACTTGGATTTATATAGCGCCCTCCACGCCGGACGGCGTCTCAGAGCGCTTCACAGTAACGGATCCCGGGACCGAGCCAAGGGGGAGGGGGAGGAAGGTGACCAAAGGCTCGGTCGAAAAGAAAGGTCTTCAGCAGAGACCTGAAAATGGGAAGGGAGGGAGCGAGACGAAGGGAGTGAGGAAGGCAGTTCCAGAACCTCGGGGCATAATGGCTGAAGGCACGGCCGCCGACGGTGGAGGGAAGGACTCGGGGGACGAGGAGGAGGCCAGACCCGGAGGATCGAAGGCACAGTCTGTAACGCAAATTTAATCCAGCCTCCTAACAGAAATAAAGTAAACATGTGAAACATTAACTCACTAATGCCACTTGAGGCTGCTAACTTTACTTTGAATTTCACCCACAAAATACACAGTCAATTCATTTTACTGTGTATCCTGTGAAGCACTTTCAGACGTCTCGAAGACGTGATAAGGCGTTATATCAAATGCGAGGATTATTATTATTATTATCTACTATAGTGGTAGGAGGATAGTGAAGTAGCACAATTATCCTTCACTGGGCCTCCATTAATGAAAGCAGGCTTCCCTGAAACTAGTGCGGCAAAATTAGGCTTTCACAATAGACTAAAATTGACCCAATTAATGTCACTTTAGGTTGGAGTTCTGACTGAGCACAGAGTGTGAGCACAGCTGACAGTTCTGGAGTGTCAGAAACACTTGATCTAATACGAGAAGAGTGCATCAATAACATCACTGTAATAAACAGTGTCAAGTGGTCGCTATGAGCAAAGTCTAATGCCTTCCTTCTTTAAATGCACCATCAGCTTGCGGCTTTGTTTCCTATATACAACCCACGGCAACTTAGGTCAGACCTCTCCTGTTGGGCGTAAAATGTATTTATCCTCAATTCAGTATTAGACAGTATTATACCAATATTATATACTTCATAATCACACCCAAAATATACAGTCAATTCACATTACAGTATATTCTGTGAAGCGCTTTGGGATGTCTGGAAGATGTGATAAGGCGCTGTATCATGCAAGGATTATTATTATTATTCAAAGTACAACATTCTCTGTGGAGTGCTGAACCACAACAGTTCCTCTGAAAAGCAAAGCAGTTTGACTACAAAATCCTATTTCATCGTAAATGGCTTAGCCTGTTTTTTTTGTTTGTTTTTAGAAATAATCGGTCGATATTGCTTACAGGCCCAAATGGATTGAACCTAGTTCTCAAGCTGAGACCTAACCAGTGACTTATAAAGGTTCAGTAGAACATCCTTGCTTTCGTACTCTGCCTCTATTTATAAAGCCAAATTGATTTTATTTTGGAATACACTGCTGCTGGAAGACCACAACCTTATCAATTTTGTCCGAGTTGAGCTGGGAGGTAAACATTGCTTATTCTGCCTGGGCCAATTTGTACAGCATAACAGAGATCAACACAATGATCAATGTGTGTGATTTAATGGCGCCGAGGGTAGAAGCCTCAACCAACCATTTAATGAACACAAACAAACTAGATGGCATGCAGAGAGGGAGAGCCTTACCTTCTTCAGGAACCTTGCACCATAGGAGAATGTATAAAGGTAAAATGTAAACTTCCACCTGCAGAGGAAGAACACACAGAACACAATCATAGAGAGGCAGATGCTCATTCATCGGCTATTTGGGAAACCAGCAAAGATTCCTCATTCGTTCAAGTTTTTTCCTACAAAGGAACAAGTTAAATGGAGTGACCGTGTAGATCAGTGGTGGCCAAACTTAATGGTCAGCCAACAAAATAAATGTTCTGGAGTGAATGTTTCTTGATTTATGCCATGAATCGAGAAATATTCAATCGAGAAAAAAACCTGAAAACAATCGAAACTGCATCAAACTTTACTTGACTCAGGCTATGTTTCAGTAAAGAGATGAAAGAGCTGCAATTAGGTATTGTTAGTCACACAACACAGGACGTAAGCACCTATATTAATTCTTGGTTTCACTCCTCAGAGATTAAAGCGTAGCGTCCGACTGACTGTTTATCATAGAATTAGTGTACTCCTCAACCAATTTAATGTGTGAAATTTAAAAAAAATCTGCTATCTAAATTGAATAAAACGGGAATAGTTGAGAATAGCATATCATCAGTAGTTTGTAAACACAGTAACAGTGCCAGAAATCTTCTGAAACTCATAGGACAGAATGGGATGTGCCTCACAATGTGAATCTGTCATTTATTCCATACTCCTCCACTAACAAGCTGTTTAAATCATCCACCCGCAAGATAAAGACCCTCCTAGTGTTTCTACATCATCATTAAATAATATTGCCACTGGGAAAGTAGAAATTACTGAGTGGTGAGAAGCTAATAAAAAGATGATTTGCAAAGTGCTAAAAATAGATATTCCCTGCAAAGATTTGCAAGCTCAAGGGTTTAAAGATACACGGAGGTAACAAAGACTACACAGAAGGAGACATTGAACCAGTCAATCAATATCAATCAAGAGAACAGTTTAAATTCAACAACAATTACATTTTAATATAAAACTCCATTATATTGCTGCCCCTGTGGCAGATTGGATTTCAGTCGTAAGGTTTATCCTGTTTGGTTAGAAACATTGGGTGGGGGGGGAGGGGGAAGGAAGAATGTGGGATAATTTAAAATTAAAAAAAGCACTCGCCAGTGATCACGTAGGGTTGGGTTGGAATTTATGGAAACTGCCTACTGCGTTCTAATGGGTTTATGATAAGAATAATGCTTGCATTTGATACAGCGCCTTACCCCGTCTATGAGACGTCTCAAAAGTGCTTCATAGAGTATACTGTAAAGTGCAGTGACTGTGTATTTTGTGGGTTCCACAACATTAGTCAAATAATATTTGCAAATCAAAGTTGCTTATGTTGTGAGTGCTTGCTCTACTGTATTTCAAAAACAACAACTTGCATTTATATGGCGCCCCTCACACAGGGTAGGGTTCCAGAGCGCTCGGTACTTTAAGCTGCTCTGAAATAGCTGAGGCACAAGAGCTGCTTTGAAACAGAAAGACAAATTTGCTGCAGTACATTAGGAAATTAAGAGCAAAGCGAGTGAGCCAATATTAATTATTCATATTTCTAGACACAGAGCAGACCGAGTCAGCATAATATAATTTTATCTTATGAAAATCGATATGCGTTCATCTCCATCTTTCATTTTGTACAGCACATTATCCTTTTCAGCAAAATTATTTTTCTACTGTACAAACAGACGTGAATTACATATACAGTGTGTGTAATCAACCATCTGTGCTTTAACAGTCTTTGTATAAGAAGGTATCTGGAGCCAAGACAAAACACATTCAGAATTCGCTCTGTACTCCCTATTGTTTCTCTGTCAGTGAAGGGCAGGTGTCATTCACTTCTTGTGAAATCTACATTTCACTTAGGAGTAAACTACAGGGGTATTGGAAAAAGCTACCTAAATGGGATGGAAATGAAGCAGCACAGACACGATGGGCCAAATGGCCTTTTTCTGTCTGTAATATTCTGTGATTCTCTGGGACATTGTAAATTGTCTGCCAATTTTTTAAAACATTTTTCGTCAGCCGGGTGTCTGACACTTGTGGAAACCCATCACCGTGGCTTAAGAGTCTGCAAACCAGGCTGAGAATTCCAGGCCTCCCTCCTACACATGGAAATCCCAGAGAGAGATTGTTGGATGGAATGTGCTCTCTCTCTCCCTGGAGGGACACTCCTGCTTACCTCATCTGGAAAGTGTTAGGCGCAGGTTGGCGAGAGCCAAGGCTTGGGCGGAACCCAATTCGCCACCAAAACAGTAAATCCTGCAAAGTGCTTTGAGATGTCTTGACACGTGATAAGGTGCTTTATCCAATGAAAGGATTATTAGTGCAATAACCCACTCCTAACAACAATCCAGTGTCCCTTGTGGCAATAACTGAGCTTGACTATAATGACCGCATAGCCTGAGCACACTCAATAATAAAAATAATACTCCTTGCATTCAATATAGCGCCTTATCACGTCTTCGAGACGTCTCAATGTGCTTCATAGAATACACTGTAAAGTGGATTGACTGTACTTTGTGGGCAAAACACGGCAGCCAATTGCGCACAGCAGCGTCTGTCCCACAAACAGTCGTGGGTTGAATGGCCAAATTATTTTTTTTAGGCTCACGTGAGCCATTTGGGTTTGGGACTGGGAGGCAAACAGCCATCCTCCACGTCAAACGGTCACCTTCAAAGGAAGAGAGCAGAAAAGGAGAGAGAAAAAAATATTTTTTTTAAAATGAAAGGAAACATTGTTTTAAACCATTTTGTCCTGGATTCCGAAAATAAATATTTGTAAAATTAAGTTAAAAATGTAAACCATCGTGACAAGGTAATTAAAGATTATTTTGAGGCCATCAATTGAGTCAGCATTTCATTTCCTTGCTATCTGAATAATTCAGTAGTAAACGCTTGGGGAATAAACAAGATGCACTTTTGACTGAAATGCTTCTCTTGCAAAATGTCCTGGTAGTGTAAGGTTTCTCTGAAATGCATTATTTGAGTTCACTGTTATTTTCAGTTACTTTTGTCAAATTCTTATCACGAACATTGTTTTTAGAAAATGATTATTCGAGAAACTCCATCATTGTCAGTCGCTCGGTAAAGATACGGAATTAATAGAATTATCGGTCCTGTTTAATTACTTGGCATTCGCTGCTCCTACGTTCGGCCTATCATTGGTATATTGTAATGTGTGTCATTTCAGTTTGCTCTTCGCATGATTTTGGTTGAAGAAGAGCTTATTGTAAAGAACTACTTGTGCAGTGTGCCTGTCATCTGCTGACTGAGCACTTCTGTCTATGCAAAAACCCTCATATGACAACTTGAAGAGTTCACCTTTTTGCTCAGGTAAATTCTATATTGCTATAACAACTGGCTTGTAAGTTTCACTGTATGCAAGTGGACTATGCTGAGAACATAATTTGCTTGACGAAAGAAGACCAAGGTCCATCCAGTTGAATAAATTACACGTACACAAAAAAAACCCCAATGTCCTTCTGACTGCACATTATTAAGCATAATTAAAAACGTAAGGAATAACAGGATGTTTCAGAATTCTTAGCAGTGTTGTAGTGCTTAAAAGTTGATGGATGAGCTACTCTGCCTATCTCTGCAATATACTGTTCAAAATATACTTCATTGGAAGCTACTGTAAATCAGGAGAATTAGCACCAAGAATATGGTGTGCAGCCAATAAACCTCATGCAAAATTTCAAATGCAAAAAAACTTCATTTGACAAAATCATGGTATTTATTTGGCAGCTATCACTTCCTGAGCTCAAGCCCAGATGGATGGATGCATAGGGTACGTTAGTAAGGGATGTAGCTGATTAATACAGAAACATTTGGGTAAAAAACATAATCACACACATCACCTTGTAACATTGACTTTGCCTAATTATGCTTTCTAATTACAATACTAGAACACGAAAGGCTGTCCACGAGGATGGCCTTCAAAGTCACTGAACAAGGAAGGAGTTCACTTTACAGTATATCCTGTGAAGCGCTTTGAGACGTCTCAAAGACATGATAAGGCACTATAGCAAACGCAAAGATTATTCTTATTAAGACAAGCATCTTGATTAAAAATGAGCAAATTAGCCTTCACACAGGTTAGAAACGGGAAGAAAGTTGTCCATTGTTTCCGTATATGGGTTGAAAAAACACTTAGATAAAACTAAGTGTTATTGATTGCCTGACCACTTGTTCAATGCTACGGACTTCTGGTACATATTTTTTTTAAAAAAACAGGAGTATTTTATGTATAAAAAAATGTATTCAGGCGTGTGAAACGCAAGAAATGTGCTCTCGCTCTCTCAGTCTGAAGAACTGCTTAAATTAATGTTCCTAAAAGGAGTGTATTTCAATAATTTATTGCAGTGCTAATGTAAATTCCTATCTCCTTGCCTCGCACTCGATATAAATACACTGTATAATGGATAATTCAGGAGATGCTAAAGCAGGAGCTAGCAAGAATCCCGACATTATTTATCCTTGTTTTAGTATTTGGAGTGCAGAAAGCCAGGGATCTGGTAAAGTAAACTAACTGCAAGCAAATGACAAGTTATTAAAATATATTATTGCTGGAGGTGTAACCACCTGTAATTATTAATATTAACTCAAATTGGGTAAAAAAAAATCCTGTAGAGGCTGAAAGTTGCTTCACATAACAATGTGATGTACATTAATATATGGTCTGTGCTTACGAGTAAGTTGGTCTGAAATAAAATAGCAATAAAATAAAACAGCAATAAAATAAAATAGCATTTTCTATTACTTGTATTGATAATATAATGGTTTCAGAATACAAGGCAGGGTGGAATAGTATGACATAAATAATTCTTGTAATTATATCATGTTAAGCTCACTCTATGCAGACCACGTTTCCCTCAAAGAGATCTGCATTGTTTATTAACGCACATTTCAAATCAATAATAATCCTGTCAGGCCACCACTGTAAATACAGCATGAATTAGTGAAGAAATCGGTTACCATTTCTTTGTGTATTTACTGCAGCTATTTTTAATCAAAATCTGCATGAGAGAAATGTGTTCCTGATATTCTGATTTAGTCCTAACCTGCCTCCACCTTCAGGTTAAGCCAAAGGGGGACACTTCAAAATACACAATCGATCTACTTTACAGTGTATTCTGTGAAGCACTTTGAGACGTTCAAGGACGTGATAAGGCGCAATATCAAATGCAAGGATTATTATTAGATATTCAAACAGACGACAGAAATCATCAGAAGGCTTTTAATGTCCTCAATGCTGCTGTCGTATTGCAAATTATGTTTTTCGATTCCTTCTGGCTCTAACATGGTTTGAATGTGACATGGCTTAATAGCAAACAGGCTAAGTGTGACAGAAACACAAAAGAGCAAAGAATTCAGAACACTGTGACCAACAGATCTGACTATCTCTCATAGTTCGTCTTAAGACCTGTTTCAGAAGTGATGGCTGACAAGCGATTCCCAGTCTATTGGCCGGTTTTATTTTAAATTAAGGTTTAAGTCGTCTAGATTTGCAATTTCCCCTGTAAAGCAATCAGATTTGTGATTGTTGCTAGGAAAAGTGCACTTCATTTGTGAATCCTGTTGGCTTCCATTCAGCTGAGGCACAGAAGTTAGGCGTGTGGAGTTCTGTAGCTCAGTGGTTAGAGCACTCGCCTCACAAGCGATAGGATGTGGGTTCGATTCCCGGGCAGCGTGAAACGTTGGGCAAGTTTCCATACCCCATACACACGCCTCTGTTTACCCAGCAGGAAGCCAACTGCTATTCGAATGGTGGCTCATTTTTCCTGGGATAATAGTCCCTTCAAAAAACAGCTTGGACTTGTATCTACTGACTTCTGGCATTAAACCAACCTTATTCCAGGGATTAAGGTCAGTTTTCTGGAACAGGTTTGAAGAAATTAGGTCACAGTGGCTGTCACCCACTTCAGTGCTTTCCAACATGGCAATTTTACTGAGAAAAAGGAACATTCCTTTGATTGCTTTGGTTGTATCCTCACCTACCCCAGTAACATCATAGGCTCTTTGAGAAATCATGAATAGGCAGGAGACTGATTGACATATTGGGGTTTTAAAAATGATGGTTCACAAGGGGATTGTCAAGTAGCATCTCATGTTCATGCGGAATCTTGCAAACAACCTACAGTTCATCATCATAGCCCATTGACAGATGCCTCCAGTCTACACCTGATGCTTTATCAACCTGCTCGCTCCCTCCGCTCAGCAGGCTCCGGCAGTCGGGTCTTCAGCCCTCTGCCCCAACTCCCTGGAACTCCATCCCACAGTCTCTTCATGTCGCTCCCTCCCTGGCCTCCTTTCAGGCATGTCTCAAGACCCTCCTCTTCTACCGCACCTCCGACCACCCTCCTACCTCTACCTTCCCTGCCCTCCACTCTTCCCTTCTGATCCCAACCGCCTCCCCCACCCCCGCCAACCAGCTCAGGTCCAAATCCCTGACTGTCCGGCAGGGCCTCGGACATCCTCCCGACATGAAAAGCGATATTCACATTTAATTTGTTGTTGTTGTTTAGAGGACGGATCCCTATAGTCAGCCGGGATGGACTGGCAATTATTGGTGATGTTCCCTGTGAGTGACTGAGTCGCTGTTTATGAATCTTGTCAACCGTGGCTTTGGCAACCCCAAATAATTAAGCCCCTGTTTGGCCACTGTTGGGCTCTTGTTTGGTGTCTGTATGATTAAAACACAGCAGATTATATGCGTACATGCTCTCACAGAATTTGGTAAGGGTGCTGGGCTTCTCTTGGTTCCTCCTTTGCCGAAACCAGCGCTGGATTGTACACACATCCCAATCCAGCTGTTTGGACAGTCCTTCCAGTCGCTTCTCGTCTGGATGCTAAATGGAAGTTAAAAAAAAAAGAGTTAGGAATTTTCTTTAACTATCAGTGACCAAATAGAAAGAGAACAGGAGAACATACGCAATGTCTATCCTGGAAATACGATCTCAGAATTTTTCCAATGTTGGTAATAATAATAATCCTTGCATTTGATATAGCACCTTATCAAGACATGGAGAATTTAGAATTATTTAAATTGAGAACTTAGGAATGAACTGAAGGACTAAAATACAGAAGTTACAATTACGGTTTTCCTAAATGCATTCAGACCCCAAATATTGAAATATAAATGCAGGGCCAAAATGTGTAGAAGTGATACTTTTTTCTAAATAACTATTGTTAGTTTATATTTTGAAGATACTTGCCTTTGTAATAGCAGTAAATACTTTTTCCAGAATAGCGTTTGGCTGAGCTTTCTGTGGTCCATTGGCTTGGATTTTGAGGCCTAAGGCACAAGGCTTGGCAATGAACCTGTGACAACACATAAATTATGAAGAGACTTATTAATTCAGAAAGAATTCAAGTTTCAGTTCAGCCTTACACATTATGCCCGTGTGAAAAACCTGGATTAAACAGAGCGAATTCCACACACTGTCTTTTTTAAAAAAATAATCAATATAACCTTCTGTTTGTCCTTTACTGAACTGTCCTGAAGTTGTGGTACATTTTCACTATAGTCCCAATCCAATCACAGCACTGCCATTTATCAGATAAATGACAATGACACGACAAGATAAAATGGCTCTAGGATTTTTGTTCAGGCTCTGATATAATAGACTTTAAATCAAATCTTAGTGATGGCTACCTGGAATTTCGTAAAACAATAACATTTGAATTTGTCAGGGTATTTTCAGCACTCCGAGATTACACACGGTGTTAATGGTGTTATAAAAATGCAAGTTGTTGTTGTTGTAGTTATTAATGGCTTTTAAGGAGTTAATGGAAAGTGTTAAAATACATAATAATCCTTGCATTTGATAGTGCATTATCATGTCTTTGAGACGTCTGAAAGCGCTTCACAGCATATACTGTCAAGTGAATTGACTGTATATTTTGTGGGCGAAACGCAGCAGCCAATGCGCACAGCAGCGTCCCACACACAGTCGTGGATTTAGTGACCAAATTATTATTTTTTTTAAAAGAGATGATTACCCCCGGAAAAGCGATTCGCCAATCTACTAACAACTGGGTAAACAGAGTAGTGCGGAGTTGGACAAGGAAACTTGCCCAACGTTTCGCCCTGCCCGGGAATCGAACCCAGGAACTCTCACTTGCGAGGCGAGTTCATCCCAGGATTAGTAGAATTTCTAACCACTGAGCTAAAGGACTCTACTTACAAATTGCCACTGATTGGACCTCATTGAGATACTAGCGATGTTCTCTAGCACAAAGGCACAGTATTAGACACAGTGACGCACAGTTGCACAAACGAGGGCAGCTTCCAAGCGAATGCGAAACTTTGAATATATTTTACGCTCTACCATTGGCGAGTTAATAAAATGTAAGTACAGAAACCATAAAGCATGCATTATTGAGGAGGTGGTTGATTTCAGATATTTCGTCTAATAACTGTGGAGCTGAGAAATAAATGAGCAGAGAGACTGCAGGTACAAGCTGTCAATCAGTATTCAGACGAGTTAAGCCCACACCTATAATAGCAAGGGGCCATGACTCAAGACCCAAGTTGTGTCCAAAGGCACCGAGAAGTGTTGTGGGTGGAATAAGTAATTATGAATGTCAAACACAAAGCGCTTATATACTTCTCAGCAAGGCAAACACGCAGATTATGCCCACGCATGGCCGAAGAAGCTTGAGTGCTGTATTAAGAGGAGTTACCTCAAGCTAAAATTCGATATGTTAACATCTTTTTCTTTTTTTTTAAAAAAAAAGAAATTCTACTAATCCTGGGATGAACTATTAAAAGCAGCTTTCTGGAGAGTGTGTACTATATTCAGGCTCTTCAGCTTATAAATCAGTTCACAAAACTGTTCCGGATTGTTAAAAACAGAGCGACAATTTCAAGAGAAGACCAACAATTCATCCAGTCTGCTTACACATCCAAATCCCCCCCAAGATTTCTTTATGTATCTAACTCTACATTACATTAAAAATGTAGGGCTTTGCTCCTAATAACAAGATCAAGTCCCAAGGTTGTCTGAAATTGTACAGAGGTTGGGTGGCCTTACATGGAGAGATCCGCAGCAATTAGATAAATGCCAAGTTCGAGTGAAACACAGAGTCTGAGTGAAGCTCTACACTGGAGCTCTTCAAAGTGAAGGACTGGCTTGAGGGCAGAGGAGAAGGGAGCTGTTGAACTTGACAACTGATATATGACCATTATCTTAATATATCTTAATCCACTAACCGTTTGTGGAGACGCTGCTGTGCGCATTTGGCTGCCGTGTTTCGCCCACAAAATATACTGTCAATTCATTTTACAGTATAATTTGTGACGCGCTTTGAAACGTCTCGAAGACATAATAAGGCGCTGTATCAAATGCAAGTATTACTATTTATTATTACAATTTAAAAGCCTGTTTGGCCCAAAGAGTTTGGCAAGGCCTCGATTACTGTTTGTGAGCAGGGACTCACCTCTCAAGATTTATTGAGTTAAGCCAATATCCCCAAAGTAAACTCAGAAAACTCCTCTATGTAAAGTATTTTGACAAGTGTTGAACTATGTCTATGTATGCAAATATCACAGAGATCCAGTAGGCAAAATTATGGCACAAAATCAGAAAAACAATTAAAATTTCCTCTAAAATGTTCCACAGTATAATCTTGAAGATGCTGCCATTGTTGCAGTGGGTTACATTTAGGCTTCGATGCAATCTGTCATTGGGATAGTGTGTCAGTTCTGCCCTACTTTCTCTGTACTGTTTGGTATCTAAGCAATATAAAGCATTGTGTGTGTGTCTTTTTTGAGGCAACAATCGCAAGTTAACGTCTAGATTAGAAATGTTCTATTTGTTGCAGAGATCTCAACCCTCTCATCTTCTCCACTTTGGTCCTCTCCACATCGATCAACTCCATCACTCGTCATCCAAGCCTATTACTTCTTTTTCGAATCATTTCACGACATGTGTCAGATTGAACGCACTCCATACACACAACCTTCATTCCTCTCACGCACTGCGATTGCTGAATCATTAAGTTTTGTTTCTGCTGCAGATCCCACTAACTGGATTGTACAAGTCTGGCTACATCTTTAATATTCTCGTCTCCACTGGCCGCTCCCATTTTAAATGAAATTCTCAAATTATGGCCCCTTTAATTGCCCCCTTCCCCCTGGGGCAAATGAAAATCAGGTTCCGTGGCCTTTCTTTGCCCCCCACCGCCAAATTCTTTCAAGTAACAACAGTCGTGCATCCGTGTGTCACTCCACCAACAGCAAGGTGGGCTAATCCATACTGTTGGGTCAAAGCCTCTAATGATGCTGTCAAATAAAACAGCATTTGTGCCAGTTTGCTCTTTGAATATACGGTCATTCCATCATCTCCAAATGACGAATGTTCATCAAATCTAAGTAACGTCACATAAAGAGGAATAGCATGATCGCATGTGAGACTGAATGATGTCATGGCCAACAATTTTGAAACTGTTCCCAAAATCAGATCATTATTTTGTCTCCTGAGTCACGTGGCTTCTTTTGTTCTGTCGCGTAAACCTCTAGCGTAGGCAACTTTACTTTATGCACTTCCCTGTCCTATATATACATTTCTCCCGTGTCCTGATTCTTTCATAAATAGTGAGGCCTCTTCAAAGTAATCAGGTTTTGTGCAACTTTATATTTATAATAAAAATAATAAAGGCTGTCGAATCACATATAACAAAGGTTGATTGTATTTCCTGACTTCTTATCAAAATGAAAGGTTATCTGATAGCATACAAAGTGTTACCTTCCTTTGTGGCACACGTCTAATCCATTAAAAATTAATTTGGAAGATGGGGGATATGTGTTTGCAAAGCTTTGTAACATCAGTCTTGAAAAACTGACTAGTCTTTCAAAGTGTTTATCCCAAACGTGGAATTCATAAAATTACCAGCAAATCTGGCACATATACATACAGATGCGCCTCACATCAGTGTGTCGTAACTCATCTCTGACACTAATATCTATCGATCTCCAGTTTTGAACTCCTTTGAACTCTCCTGACTTGGGAAAGAGACTGATGTTCAGTGAGGTCAGTAAGCGATGTATCTGGGTGCACACTGGATTCATTATTTGGAAATCCTTTTGCTAATCCTACAAACTCACCCCCAGGGTCAGCATGAAGCAATGCTAGGTCAACTAGAAGACGGTCTGTGTGCAGTTGTGAAGCTCTGCTATGAATTCATATGCCTCAATTCTAGTCTCAAAGGACAGTCATCATCGTTGCCTTTCTGTCTGAAACTTTGAATTTAGAGATGATTTGTGCTCAGTTCTCGGTAGCCTCGTGCTCTTTCACTTGGAAAAAAACCCAAGCTGGTACATTCCCCTTCCGTCCATACATTCAGAAGGGAACACAGATTTAAGATAATTGGCAAAAGAGTCAGAGGGGTGCCGAGGAGAAATTGTTTTACCCAGAGAGATGTTACGGTCTGGAACACATTGCCTGAGAAGGTGGTGGAAGCAGCTTTCAAAGGGGAATTAGATAGGTACTTGAAAAGGAAAAAATTGCAAGGTTACGGGGAATGAGCGGGGGAGTAGGACTAGTTGGTAGCTTTTCCAAAGAGCAGACACAGGCACGATGGGTCGAATGGCCTCGTTCTGTGCTGTAATATTCTATGATTCTATTCTATAACCCGCACTGCGGCCAGAAAAACAAATTAGACTAATAAATAGTTGGAAAACTTACAAGATCAAACATTAATACGGATAGTATTAATCAGTACTTAGTATTAAGTAACAGAACAGAGCTGAAGTGTAAAGTACTATCTTTATGCACAAAATGAAGTAAATAATAAATGAACAATATTAAAAATACACTATTGCCTATGGTCGGGGAGCATCAGCTCTCAGAGTAGTTTCTGAGCACTTTTCTGGCTGCTGCACTCAGCATTAGTGACACACAGGAAGAATCTGACCTGCTGATCGCAAATTCTACACGTTGATATTATAGAACAGCGGGAAGCAGACCTATACACACACATTAGGGAGATTGAAATTGTAAATGTGGGATTAAAAACACTGCACCAACAAGAGAAATGTTGTTAATAATAATAATAATAATAATAACACAGCAAGCAAGATAATCAATGTTAGAATAGCAAGCTTACGCAAATTAAAATGAGCATGCTGTAACGATAAATTTTATGGAATCAATTTTAATTAGCAGTTTAAGGAAACGTGTTGTGAAACATCGCAAACAAAATCCATCTCTCAGTGACCATTTCTCACATGTTCAAAGGTATAACCGGTCCATGACCTAAAAGGGATGATATTTCCGGATGCTAGGGCATGGATACTATTAACATTTGAAAATAGTCGC